GTTTTTATTTAAGAATAAAGCAACGCTTTATCCAACAACATATGGTTTGCTTGATCTGCACCTCTGACAATGCTGATGCATTGCTTTAAGTGTTCCAGATCACTTTGAATCTACCCATGAGATTTAGTGTTAGTTAGTTAGTGTTAGTACAAATCTGATAGTGACGTGCAAAAAGGGCTCCAGCAGCGTGACTGTTGCTGGGCTGCTGACAACACTGCTAGCGATTTCCCTGGGAATTGCTCGTATTGCCATTTGTCCTCGAGACTTCAGCGCCGATGAGGTCTCAGGTCTGAGCTGTGGCTTTGGAAAGGGGAATGAGCATGCACTGAAACTTGGAAACAGCTCAGCCTGTTTCAGACGATCCCAGACATTACATACACACCAAGACCAGATGTCGCATTACACAGGGCCTTTCACTCTTTCCATTTGGCAAAGAAGGGTCTTTAGGGGCAATGGGGTAGAGGGGAGGCGACAAAGCAAACAGGAACTGCTGCAGACAGGACACAGATATTATCTACAAGGAGAAAGATGAGGCAATCTTGACAAATGTACTGAGGTGGTGGCAGAAAGTTGCAAAGCTTCAGTAAACTCAGGGGAAGGTTACACTGTGTAAAGGTTATGTTCAGAAATCTTCTGATGTGGAGTGTTGGCATAATGTAAGGTAAGTAATGTGTGTACATGAGGTGTATAGAGTGTCAAAGTGTTTTCTCACAAACGAGAAAGACAAGACAAAACCTGGTCCCTTGGGCCACTCTTCACCATCACCTGAATTCCAATAGTGTAAAACCGGCATTGAGCAGGCAATCAGTTATCAGCCTGGCTCGGTTGGGTAGCACACTCAACTCTGAGTTAGAAGGTTGTGGATTAAACGCCCACATCAGAGCTTTGAACTCACAATCAAGACTGACACTCTAATACAGTACTGGAATAATGCTGCATTGTTGTGCCATCCTTCAGATAAGACATTAAACAGAGGACTCATCCATCTGTTGAGGTGCATGGGAAAGATCCCACGACAATATTTGAAAAAGGAATCGAGTTTCTCCCTGTGTCCCAGCCCAATTCTTCCAAAATTGATCGTTGACATCATGGGACATTGTTGCGCGCAGGTTGGCTGCACTGTTAGCCTACAAAAAACATAGTCGCTACACTTCACAGTAAATCCTGTGAAGCAGTTTGAGACGTCCTCCTGATGTGAAAGGTGCTAATGTCGAATGCAAGGATTACTCATTTTCTTTTTTAAAATGAAACTGGCCAGTTTGACATTTTCCTCAGACATCAGAGAAGCCTGAATCAAGGTAATTGATAGTCAAGTGCTAACAGGTGATTGTAAAACTGGCTGCAGGAGTCCTGGTTGTTCAGAGGGAGTCAGTGCATGCTGCAATTGGCAATTAGCATTGATTTGGTTTAGGGCAGCTCAGAGAAACTGACACAGTATATGCTACAGAATTTCTCCCCTGCACTTTGTTAAAAATTGAGGTCACTTGAAATTATTACTTTTATAAAGGTAAGCATATGTTCAGTTTCTACTTTTTTTGTTTTGTGTTACTGGCAAGGTTCGGTTGCCAAGTTCCCAAGAAAAGTTCATGTTGAAGAACTCCCTTGGATCTCACCCTGCTGACTGGGAGACAATAAAGTAGGAGTTCTAAGTTAATAAGTTCAAAACTCGATTCATTCTCAGTCACAAATGCAGTTGAACAGTAAGTTTTTAATAAGTGACAATTGCACAGGTCTATCTTGACTGAAGAGGGGTCCTGTACTGTTGGAAATATTTCTGTGTAAGGTGAAGAATAAGGGAAGATTATAGATAAACACATTTCAATAATGAATTCTATTGCTGTAACAAGAATGACAGGTATTACATTGGTTGTGTTTATAACAGCAGCTGTGCAAAATTTGTTGCAATTTGTACTTGGTAGTGTTTGATTAAGATGGTATATGAAAAAGTTTGTGCTGAGCTTCAGGAACAGATGGATTGCTCTTCAGTCAGTAATATTATCTACTAAGCTGTTGTGTAGCCTTACACAAGATCAACCATTGTATTTGGGTTTATTACACATTTTTCCTCTTGAATGACTAAAACCTTGCTGTAAGTTCAGTTTTAGTCCCCCTACATTAATTTATTTCACTAAGTGCAAACCTTAGGCACTGTGAGAATTAAGCATCTCCATGGTCTGTAACTGTGTAATGTAGACTGACATGTGCCATGTAATTTTGAACAATATGAGCGTGGAAAATTCTTGCTGTGTGGCTGTCCATTTGAATGAAAAAATTGCCGTCTAGAAATTGTGTCTCTGCTCAGTATTTATAAAGTGTTTAGAGAGGTTCTCCCAACATGAAAGACGCAATATAGGTGTTTTGTTTCCTCCGCTTGCCTTCTATCTCCTTCCAAAGCCAGAATTTCAATCAAGTGGCACATTTTTTGGGGGTGTGATCCTGGATTGTAACATTGCTGAGGTTGATTTTTGCCATCACCCAGACATGTGATTACATGCACTTGCCTGCAGGCGCCGCTGAACGTCCTTGCTCAAGTGCATTCACCCATTTACCTGAGCTCAACTCGTGGAGCTCAATCCTCCGATAATAATCCTTGCATTTAATACAGCGCCTTATCATGTCTTCGACACGTCTCAAAGCGCTTCCCAGAATATACTGTAAAGTGAATTGACTGTATTTTTTTGTGGCCAAAATGCTTCAGCCAATTGCGTGCACATCTTTCGTGTTGAGGTTAAATAATAAAAATAATCCTTGTTTTTGATATAGTGCCTCATCACATCATTGAGATGCCTTAAGTGCTTCAAAGCATATACTGTAAAGTGGATTGACTGTATTTTGTGGGCAAAAAGGCAAGTACGTGACACATGACGGCCGATTTTCCTTGTTTTTCTTCCTTGATCAAGTAATTTAACACAAAACCTTTCTTGTATTTTTACAATCTCTAAAAGCAAGGTTTTTTTTGGAAAATCCACAAGGAAGGAATATTTATCAGTACAAAGTTTATTAATGGCCATAATGGTATAATACAAAAAATACCTGCTCTCGTGAATATTGGAGCCACATTACAAAAAATGTTAATATGCTATGTAGTAGTTATTGCCAACTGACCCAAACTCTCCATTTAACATTTTTCATATTTATTCTTTGCATATTTTTTCTGATCCTTTCAAGCTAAGAGACAGTTTTATATACAGTTGTTGAATATGAGATCCCGGCCCCCCATGATAGTTTAAGGGGCGAAGGATAAGAACAGGAGTACAATTTACATTTATCATAGACAGCGGGTGAAAATGCTCTTTGGGGAGGCTGAGTAAAAACTCAGTTAAAGAGTTGGACCCCTTTAAGACATGTATGACTAATAGATTCATCGGTCAATCAGAAGTGAGGGCGCCCATTGGAAGAGGGGTTCCGTGTGTGCCGTGGGTTGGGGCTGCTGGGAGGACTGGCTGTTGTCCTTCTCAGGGCTTTCCCCTTGTAGATAGATTGGGGTGGGATGCCTGATCCCCTTCTATCCTAATCACTTGCCGTCTATGATTCATATTAGCAGCATTCAGGTTGGGAAGATGTCTCAAAATGCTTTACACAGCTGTCTGGGAACTTGGGTCAGCCGTGTGGGGGGGGTGGGGGGGGACCAGAGCTTATCGTACTTACTCCTCCATTAAATCTGCAGAAACTCCCTTTAATTCCATTTCCCTGCTTTTCTCCATATCCTTCAATATATTTACTTATCAAATATGTATCCAGTAAGAACAAAAACGGAACAATAGAGATGTTAAAGTGGAGCTTTATGAAACCCACTTCATTCAGAGTTGCAAAACAAAAACAATTGTTGTTTAATCTATTTTGCAAATTCATCATGATAAGCAGAAGATTTAGAAGCTAAAATAATACCCAGGAAGATTGGCGGTAGATCGTCAGTCATAAAGTGGATTGTAACCTGGAGTATTTGGAATATCTTGCATTAAATGTTTATAAAATAACAGTAAATACAACGTGTCCATGTCTTGATCATCAGGGAATGCTGGATGTTCCTTTATTTCTGATAATGGGGCTAATAGCCACTAATACCATTTGTGGAGTCCTGTAGCTCAGTGGTTAGAGCACTCGCTTTGCAAGCGAGAGACCTGAGTTCAATTCCAGGCAGGGCGAAACCTTGGGCAAGTTTCCTTACTCCACACAGAGCCTAATAATAATCCCTCCAAAACCAAAAACAATAATAAATTGGTCATTTTCAATCTACGACTGTTTGTGGGACATTGCTGTGCGCAATTGGCTGCCGTGTTTGCCCACAAATATATACAGTCAATTCACTTTACAGTGTGTCTGTGAAGCGCTTTGGGACGTCCTCCCGACGTGAAAAGCGCTATATCAAATGCAAGGATTATTATTATAATACAAGGTGTTTCCTAGGTGGATTTCTTAATTAATAAATAAATGGGAAACGCTGAACAATGACTGGAGGGAATTCTACTCTGATGATATTTTGCTTTGGAGCAGACTTGTGAGTTGGTGTAATGTACGTCTCATTTCTAAACACCTTTGAGACATGTAGAAGGTGTGAAAAGTGAGATATCAAATGCAAGGATTATTATTATTATCACATATTAGAACTTAATAAAATACTGATAATCCATTTGTTAGAGCGTTGACATGTCAAAGTCCTTCACATGATTTACAGTAGTGTATGAACTCCATATTTGTAGACAGACGTGGCAGCCAACTTGAAATGAAGTGAATGACCAATTTTATCTGGGGAATTATTGGCCAGGACACCAGGAGAAACTTGCCATTGATATCACTCGCCTGAGTCTAGGCAAGTCCGTGTTCAATTGCTTGTGAGTTTTCAGTTGTTGATTTGATTGATGGCATGAATCAAGAAATATTCCATCAAGCAAATGTATTTTGTTGGCCACCATAAAGGTTGTCCACCAACGATATAAAACACAAGAAACATTGCAGCCTGGATACCCATTGAGCCTCGTGCGTGTCGGTAGATGAGTATCTTATTCATTGCCCGGATTATTTTGCAAACATTGTGGCTGGAAATTTGTGTTCAGAATGGCTTTCAGTCGCTTCCAAAAGAAGTTCTGCTGGAACTCGCCCTGCGGCCACTCCAAGTAGGTTTTCCTGTTCATCAGCTTCCTCAGTTTGCAGAATCGATCGGGAATGGATTTCGCAGGAATGGGTTCAAGGAGGAGCAGGATGAGAGAGTCTTTCTTTTTGTCAAGTATCTGATTGTGCGCAAAAAATAATTCGTAGTGGCACCACTCGCTCTGCACAAAGCTCTTTGACAGGACAAATATGGTTTTGTAACTCTTTGATATGCAATCGATTATGTTGGCGATGATCGACTTCCCAGGCCTGAAGTCTCTTTCGTGGATACAGATGTGGAATGGCGGGTTATTGGTTTCCAGCTGTGGCAGCATTTTATTCTTTACCCAGTCAGAGTCGCGCTCACTATATGAAATAAAGGCATGATACTCGAAATTCCCTTCCATGAGGTCATCTGGATGCCTTTTTGCATTGACCCAAAGCCAGAGTGTGTGGATGTACCAGGTGACCTTGTACTTAATGCACAGGATAACGCACAAGGCTACTACAAGTGCTATGCAGGCCAAAAGGACTCCAACAAATAGAGGAATGTTACACTCGACTGTTGAAAATTTCAGGTCTTTGATGACTTGACCTTGAATGTTTAGCGGACTGGCACATCGATAGTCTGCCGGCCAGTCAATGATCTCAATGTGCGAATGCTCAATATAATCAATGACTGACTGAATTGCGCAGGAGCACCGAAAAGGGTTGTTGCCTAATTTCAACTGGATTTGATTCATGGACCGCAGCAAGTCTACGTCGATGGTATTAATCGCATTGCGGTCGATGGACAAGACTCTTACGGGGTGGCCTGCTGCGAATTCAGGAAGAAATGATATAGCATTCCCTGTCAAAATGATTTCTCGCAGGTTGCTCATCTTCTCAAGGTTTGGCACTGTGCTGATGGCGTTGTAGCTTAAGTCTACCGATTCTAGCGAGGACGGTAGGCAGCTGAACACATTTGCTAAAAGTTTATTGTGCGAGAAATTGATGTGCCTTAAACTCCGAGACCAACTGCACATCCCTTCTCCAGGTAATTGAAGGGAATTAGAAGTTGCGATTAAACGGGTCAAGTTCCGCATCTGGAATGTCATCACACTGAGCTGTCGTAGGTGTGAAAATTTGTTGTCATTGAGTACGAGCGAGGTTAGGCCAGGGAACGGATTCGAACATTTTGGGATGAAGCTGAATTCTTGGAGTAAGTTGAAAGAAACATCTAAGTACTTTAAATTGATCAGCTTTTCCGATACCCCACACGGGATGTAGTACATGCTTCCATTTATGACACTCAACTTTGTCAGCTGTTGGAACAGGTTCTGAATGTATTTGAGCGAGTAAAATTTGAAGAAGTTTGGATTGACAATGTTGTTGATATAAATTTTATGCAAATTGATCTGCTGGGATGAGATTATTTCAATATCCCATTTGCCAATGCTGTCGATGTTGATGTTGGACAAATGCATTTCCACTATAGTTGATCTTAAAACGTTTTCAAACAAATTAATTGTTATCCGGTCATCGAGAGTGATGTGATTTAGGCTAAGAGTCGACAGATTTAATTTTTTTAAGGGGGTGAATAATTCCATACTGGTCCTGTATTTGGCTAAATTGTAATTTATGATTTCCAATGTGGTGGTTGTGTTTGGTAGATCATTTAATATCTGGGTAAGTATATCTGGTTTCTTCTCGATGTGCAAATCTAAAATAAGATCTCTTAAATTCTCCAGAGCAGTAAGTGTCCCAGGTTCATACTCTTCCAGGTCTTGAGTGATCAGATGGACCTTCTGTAGTGGGAGTCCACGAAGCATTGAGAGAGATCCTACCTTCAAGAAGGAAACTGAAGGGGTTCCAAGCATTAGAGTCTCTAGTTTCTTCAGCTCCTTAATCTCAACTCCCAGATAAATTGTGTCATACAAGTTGTTGGAGATATCTAGGTAGGTCAACGACTTGAGGTGATTAAATGGCAAAATTGCAATATCGTGCAAAGAATTATTCGAAAGGTCGAGGTGCTGCAGCTCTGAGTTATTTGCAAATGCTCCAGGTTCTATAGCAGCGATCTTGTTGAATGAAAGAATCAGCCTTTTCAGTTTGGAAAGTGTTTTGAAATATTGCTGTTGGATTCTTGTCATTTGGTTGTGGGACAGGTCCAGGATCTCAGTGTATGGTGTCACGGCGCACGGAATATTTGGAAATCCAATTCTTGAGCAGTTCACTGAATGAGCGCTTCTCTTCTCCAGTGGTGCAGAGCAAACAGTCATGAGCAGAGAGCTCAAGATAGCAACTGAACCAATTGCTACGATCTTGGCCTCTGGCCTGCCTGTCATGGCGACTGTTGAATGTTTTAGCTTTTCCAGGGCTTAATGCTGGCAATACAGCCACCTTCGCAATTATCCTGCCAAATGAACCAAAAGGGGGTGAGGGGAAATTAAAAATAACTCAGAGGAAATATCAGTGCATTATAGCAAAGCCTGCTGCTCTTTAAGATGCACCCTCTCCACCAAACCACTGTCAACTGCAACATTACTTTGTTTCAAGACACTGGACGTCTATTCGATTGAGTACCAAATGCGTTTGTCATTTGGCAAGTTTCCTTACTCCACACACGCCTGTTTACCTAGAAGTAAATCTGAAAACCCTGTTGTTAATCGATTGGTGGATCGCTTTCCAGGAGTAATTATCTCTCCAAAAAAATTGACAACTGTTTGTGGACACTGCTGTGTGCAATTGGCTGCTGTGTTTCACCCTCAAAATACACAGGTGATATATACAGTAAAGTGCTTTGGACGTTTCAACGATGTGTTAAGGCGCTATATTGAATGCAAGGACTATTATTAACATGGTATATTATTCGCACACAGTTGGTGCTTGTGTGCTCATTTAAAGCATGGGGTGTTGGTGTGGGTAAAGGAGCACTTTTTCATTGCAACTGAGGATTGGTATCAAGATGCATAAATCATTTATGACACAGTCAAATGATGATCAAAGGTCCCTATATTCCGTGAGCCGATCACCCCATCCTCGCCCGGCTTCACTGGCTCCCCATCCCCCAGAGGATTGAATTTAATATTCTCTGCCTCTCTTTTAAAGCTCTCCACAGTCTTCTTGCTCCTCTCTGCCTCTGCAACCCTCTAAAAGCTGACCAACGTAGCCGCTCCCTCCTCTCGGCGATACTGGCCTGCTCCATGTCCCCCGCCCTGCCTTCTCCACCATTGGCTGCCCGGCCTTCAGTCTTTCTGTCCCCACCCTCTGGAATTCCATTTGGGAATCCCTCCATCTACTGTCCTCTCCCTTGCCTCCGTTTCAGATGTTCTTCCCCCATTCACTTTACTCTTTCGGTCGTTCTCTAAAAACATGTTAAGCAACAGTGGGTTTTTATACATTTTTCCTAAAGTCTGCTTAATACAGTCGTGAATCTGTGCCCATTTCTCATGTTGACACACTCTGATCCCTTCTTTGTGTGGATTTGAGCCACTCTGAAGTTAAAATAATTTGTTTTTAATCTTATTTTACTGAAATTTCTTCCGTCGGATTATTTTAATTTATAATTCTTTGAAGTGGTGCCATATGGACAGTAAAACAAAGAAGTAACTTCCTTTTAAAACCAAAGAATTTAACAAAAAACGGCACAACTGATGAACCAGGAACATTCGCTTTATACAATGTATGCAGCCACTCACATTGTATTGTGTGCTTACCTTTACTGGAGAGACAGGTAACCTGTAGTTCTGTTGTGTTTCTGTGCTTTCTCCCTCTCTAATTTTTCCAGTTGCTTCTCCTTTGCCAAGCCTGCTCTTGCTCTGCCCTGCCCAAGATTCTGCTCTCAGGAACTTGCTGCAGGTGTGATGTTACAACTCCCTCAGTTTTATACGTCACAAGCTTTTCTTTGAAACTCCGTAACTCTGAAAGATACAGTAAATGCCTGGCTTTGAAGATACAGAGACCAATTAGAAGGTTCAGTAAAATCTGGGTTTGGTCAAAGCCTATTAATTTGGTGGGTGGATGCCATACCGAACAAAATAAACTTTGTGAAATCCAAAATCTATATCCAGAAGTTTTATTTCCACAGTGTAATTGTCCCATTTCTATTTTTCTTTTACTGTGTGTGGTGTGTGTGTTGCATATTGAGAGGGGTCAAGGCCCCACTTGTATGGTCTAGGCTGAGCAGGTGTACAATTTATTCTGTGAAGCGTTTTGAAACATCTCAATGACGTGATAAGATGCAATATCAATGCAAGGGTTATTATTATGCTATTATGTCATTAGGGATGAATAGATGCAGCTATCAAAAAAGATTGGACAAATTGGAGCTTTTCTCTATAGAGATGAGATGATTGAGAAAAGATCCAATAGAAGTGCTTAAGATTAGTCACTAATAAGAGGCATCAATATGTGAATGGGAAGCAAATTTAAAGCAAGTTTAGGAAGAACTTTCTCTGGCAGAGTAGTGAGGCGGGGAACACATTGCCAGAGCTATGTTTGAAGTAAATGTACAGAATTTGAGCAAACTTGATCTATACATGGAGGAAGAAAGGGAAATAGAAGGGTGGAGTATAAATATTGGCATGGATTAATTTGGCCAAATGTCCTGTTTCCATGTCATACCAATCTATGTAATTCTAAAAAAAAATCATTCACTTTATGGCTGTTTGTGAGACATTGCTATGGGCAAATTGGCTGCAGTGTTTACCTACAAAATACAGTGACTACACTCTACAGTAAATCCTGTGATATGCCTTGAGACATTTCAACTATGTGAAAAGACATGGTATCAAACGGAACCTTTATTTATCCAATTGTAAATATAAAGCCAGCAACAACAACTTGCACTCAATATAGCTCCTATCATGTCAGAAAATGCCTCTAAAAGAACTTTGAATTAATCTTTGAACTGCACTAACACTTGCACTGTCCGATCTTATGTGACGAATGCTTGCTCAAAGCACTTTGATATCTTTAAAGCACTTCCCTATGAAATAGCAGCTGATCTGAGTCATTTGTACTAAGGTGAGAAACTGCACCAATACCTGCATGTTAATTATTATATTGCTTTGTAAGGGTAGGTCTATTAATAGGAGCCACTCTTAGATGGCAAGGTGTGCAAATAGACCTGCCTCTTCCAGGCTTAATTATGTTGTGCTCTTAGGTCTTGCAATAATAATCCTTGCATTTGATATAACATCTTATCATGTCATTGAGACATCTCAAAGTGGTTTACAGATTACACTGTAAAGTTAATTGACTGTATATTTTATGGGTGAAATGCGACAGCCAATTACGCATAGCAGTGTCCCACAGTCACGGATTGAGTGACAAAATCATTTATTTTTTTAAAAAAAACTTGGAAGGAATTATTACCCTGGAATAGCGAACCACTTAACAACCAGGTTACCTACTTATTGCTAGGTAAACATAGGCATGTGGAGTAAGGAGACTTGCTCTGCCAGCGAATCGAACCCGGGTCTTCTGTCTTGCGAGGTGACTGTTCTAATCAATCTGCTACAGGACTTCACTATGAGCCCAAGCATATTGTGTGGCCAATCTTTCTTTGCCTACTCTCAATCATTTGGTTGTTTGCTGCGCTAAGCAAGGCTATTGCACATTTCAGGAGTATCTCACCTTTTTCTTAAGTATGACGCAGCTTGCAGACCTATTCAGGCTTTCAAACCAGCCTCTTGCTCTCCTGGGTATTGCCCCCCCCCCCCCCTAATTTACCTATACCTTTTCTTCCCCAGCCGCTCTTCACAGGAGTCACAATAATAATAATAATCCTTGCATTTGATATAGCGCTTTTCACGTCGGGAGGACGTCCCAAAGCACTTCACCTAACAAACTGTAAAGTGAATTGACTGTATATTTGTGGGCGAACGCGGCAGCCAATTGCGCACAGCAATGTCCCACAAACAGTCGTAGATTGAAAATGACCAATTTATTATTGTTTTTGGTTTTGGAGGGATTATTATTAGGCGTATGGAGTAAGGAAACTTGCCCAAGGTTTCGCCCTGCCTGGAATTGAACTCAGGTCTCTCGCTTGCAAAGCGAGTGCTCTAACCACTGAGCTACAGGACTCCACAAATAGCCTCTTAAGTGATTTTTGAAAAATTTCTGTATGCCCCCCACCCTTCCTTGGCTTATCGTGTCTGTGTAAAAGATGTACATCTAGTTCAAATAGTTTGTGTGTGTGGGAAACAGAATGTTTACTGATGTTACTATTTTTCAAGCAGTTTAATTCCCTCTAAGAGTATTTTGTGTTTCAGCAGTCTTTCACAAGTGGAAACTGTAACAAGTACAATCATAAGTCTACACATGAGAGCTTGATATTCCAGAGTCAATTATTTTTCCAATGATTAGCTTTTAAGTTATGAGCCTCCTTCATAGTAAAGGCAGTGTCTGGTACAGCAGTAGGTGTACAGATCAGGAGGTTGCAGGTTTGTCTGTGCTGACTCTGCTGATCTGGCAGTGCATGGAAAGTGCTTTTGTGTGAATTTTGGGTAAGAACGTGGTTGAGGCTTCCCATACCACTTATTGAGATGTACCTGAAATGAAGAAAACGCATTGAGGAAGAAAAGGTTGAATTTTCAACATCATTTACAACCAACATTTTTGTAGTTTCAGATCACCATTTCACGTACATTAACCTTAGATTTAGCAAAGAAATGAAGTGCCTACAGTAACAGAGGTTTTGTGACCTTTATTTTGTTATGGTGTTACACTTTAGCCTTTTTGGGGGAAGGGGAAATATAAATGAACCACAGGTAACTGCGTAGATCAGGGTGGCCCAACCTTTTGGCTCCTGAGGGCCGAATGGCAGATTTGAGGTAAGTCCAAGGGCTGTATAAACAACATTTTATCCTGATTGGCAAATCCCGTTGCCAGGCAGAGCCTGAGCCCCTGGTGTCTATCTCATGATGGGCCAGACCCGTTTTAGAGCCTGTGTGTTGGCTGTATTTGCAATGAAGTTGGGATGGTTCACGGGCCGATAAAATCACCCCCGGGCCGGATGCAGCTAGTTGGACCACCCTGGCGTAGAAAATACAGAGAATCATTCATATGTACATTTTCATAAAGATAGAATACATCTTGGTGTCTGATTTCCCCAATATTGGCATCTTCTCATACAACAACTTGCATTTATATAGCGCCTTCCACGTCGGGAGGACGTCCCAAGGGCGCTGAAACAGTGTATTGACTTCAAATGGCTGGTGGCTATTTGGTCAGATTGGCTGAAGAATAAGAACTGTATGGCTTAGAATGATGATCTGTCTCTCTCATTGAGCAATGTGCCAGACCAGTGTCTCCCAGCTGCAAACCTCTGGTCTGTCTGCCGCCAATATATAGCACCATTTTTCACAAAACTGTATAAAACAATGGCGGATTTCAAAACTGGCATCCATCCTCTGATTTTTTTTTCTTTTTTTTTTTACTCGTGTGCAATATAAAAAATATACTTGCTGAAGTGATTTAGTATGGGTATGCAGACACTGCTATATAAACTATGAAAGTCGTCTGGTATTCGATGTTTCCGTCAGCACTGTATGACAATGCTCGCACTTTCATTCTGTACGTCTGCGGCTCCCGGAGTGGTCTGGTTGTAAAAACAACTCCTTTCAATTTCTCGTCCCGAATGGCGAAAGGAACGCCCGGGTCCTCGTCCACCACTTGGAAGATTGTTCGCGGGTGCATCACGCCGTCCTGAGTGTAAGCCACCAGCCGGATGAGATCCTGGTTCGCGGCAATGCCGAAGGGAAGGGCGACGAGCTTGTACTCCAGTGCATAGGGACTCAGAGCACACTCCAGGTCATTAGACGGGCAGTTTTTCAGGCAGAACCTAAGAGCAAAAAAACAAATCCATTTCAAATGTCGCCTATAAAAGTCAGACTTCTGTTCCTGTAGATTCTGCTCAAACCAACTGGTCACATTGCTCATTATGTTCCCTGTCCCCCACCCTCACAAACCAGACAAGTCCTGCAATTTTGAAAGGATAAGTTTCTTTAAGAATTCTCCCCTAATTCACATGTGCAGTCATAAGGTGAGGGAACTTTACGCAAGTGACTGTCTACTGGGTAGGTGAGTGAAAATTCCATTTTCCTTCAAGTATTGTGTCACGCATACATGAGGAAAAAGAGAATTAGAGAGAGATAAAAGAGATTAGGAGGGGTGGAGGATTGGGTGGTGCATAAGTGCCAGAGTGGGCTAGTTGGATTAAAGTGCCTATTTCTATATTGAACTGAAGGAGTTGCACAATTTTGTTTCCTTGCAAATAGGTGAAAAAGGTGGTATTGGTGGTTTGATGCATCTCTTAGATATGGTCAATGCTAGATTTTATTTTTGTTTTGAAAGGTTGCAACTGGAGCGAGTGAAAAGTGAATACAATTGGATGTTTGGATCACGAGGTAGGGGGTTTGCTTGGAACAAAAGAGCACAGCTGGAAATTAGGAGGATTTTGTTTTACACAAAAGCTTTAAAGATGTGCAATGTCATTTAAGAGAAAATATTTTTTATTTTGAAAGAGAGGGAAGGTAAATGGGACTGAGTCAATTGCTCTTTTAAACAGCTGGCAAAGACACAAAGGGCTGAATGGCCTTCTGTGCTGTAAAACAATTTTTGGGTTTGATTTCCTTATAAATTTTCAGCTGGTGACAATTCAGACAATAGCAGGATGGATATCATGTTGGCGAAACTTACCCAGTGATTGGATCTCGCAAGTAGTTGGGTGGGCAAGGCGTGTCTATGCACTGATAGCTGCCTCTCATGTTGAAACACATACGGTTGGCCCCACAGTGGATGTTCTGCTCCAGGCACTCGTCAACATCTGAATAATTGAATAACAAAACCAGTTTCAGTATTACCATTGGGATTCATACAAGCAAAACCGGCAATTATTATTAAATCTAGAGAAATTAAAGAATGGGAAGGCGAATTTGATAAAATATGTGCACTTTAATACATTTGTCTTAATTTTGGGGATTAATTATCTCATACAAGCCTGAAACATTTTAGAAAAAAAATCTTTTTTTAAAAAAAGTGTAAGAATGAAAAATATATGGCTTGTTCATTTTAATGCTTTTTTTCCCTCACAGCCATTTTTGCACATAGCATTGTCCCACAAACCACTGTGAAAAGTACACTATAACCAATTTTGTTTTGATCTGGGGGCATGTTAACCACGATACTGGGAGAGGATTTCTTCTGAATGCTGTGACTGAACCAAGTGAAAACACGGCATCTACTTAAATAGTCAGATCTTTTGAAGAAAATACAACCATATTTGCTACTAAATTCTGTTTTTCACCTTATGTACATTAACAGCAGCTTGCATTTATATAGTGCCCTTCACGGCGGACAGTGTTTCGGAGTGCTTTATATTACATTATAATAATATTAATAAGAATCTTTGCATTTGATATAGCGCTTTTCACGTCGGGAGGACATCTCAAAGAGTTTCACAGAACACACTGTAAAGTGAATTGACTGTATATTTGTGGGCGAACGCCAATTGCACACAGCAGTGTCCCACAAACAGTCGTAGATTGAAAATGACCAATTTATTATTGTTTTTGGTTTTGGGGGGGATTATTATTAGGCGTGTTGGAGTAAGGAAACTTGCCCAAGGTTTCGCCCTGCCTGGAATTGAACTCAGGTGTCTCGCTTGCAAAGCGAATGCTCTAACCACTGAGCTACAGGACTCCACCTGTTAATTATATTAACAACTAGGAATTGTAAATCATTTCTGAACTATAACCTTACCATGGCACGCCTTGCCATTAGTCATGAGTCGATATCCACTGGGACAGAGGCACTGGTAGCTTCCTGGTGTGTTTTTGCAGTCGTGTTGACAGATTTCCTTGTTTTCACATTCGTTAATATCTGTGAAGAGAGGTTTGCAGAGTTTAGAGACGTGTTGAATACTTTCTGTTCTCTTCCCTTCCCTGCCCCATGTGTTGGACATTCATCAGTGTAATGAACCCAGTACTCTCTCCACCAGTCTGTTTGAGAACCTTAGACAACTTGTGCAATTAATAATAATCCTTGCATCTGAATAGAATACATGGAAATCCCATGCAGAGATTTCCCGAATTTCCTGGTTTCACACTTAATGAATATTTAAGGGATTTTGCATAATTCCTGATTCACAACTTTACTGTAACACGTACAGGTCACATTTCCAACCTACCTAACCAGACCTAAGTTGGACAATAGAGGTGAATGGGAATATACTATTTGATCAGGTAAAAGGGGTGCCAATGGCTTGAGGACATTGAAGAACAAGGGAAAGTAATAATAATCTTTGCATTTAATATAGCACCTTTCACGTCATCGAGCGAATCAAAGCACTTCACAGGATATACTGCGGGTGGATTGCTTGTATATTTTGTGAGCGAAACGCAGCAGCTGCTTGTGCACAGTAATGTTCTACAAACCGCTATGGAGTCAGTGACTGATTTTATTTGGGGGATTGTTGGTCAGGGAGAGAGAAACTCGCTTCTCTTTTCGAATAGTGCCATGGGACCGTTAACATCTTCGTGGCAGATAGGACCTCGGTTTAACGTCTCATCCGAAGTAGCAAGGCTATGCTCTATGCTCTTTTGGGGGTGGGGGCATTGAGTTGCTCTAACAAACGCGATCGAGAAGGAGTTTTCTGAGCAATGCTAATTCAAGCTTCACAACCTTCAAGACATTTCATTTCACACTGTTGCATTAAAAAGAAGATGCCATGATAAATTCTGATGTTTACCTATGCATTTGCCATTCTTTGCCTCATAGCCTTCAGGGCATGTTTTTCTAACGTTCCTGCCAGTCCTGGAGGAAGCTGAACGATATCGGCTGCCGTAGCCCACGTGGGATCTATACTGTGAGGACTGACTAATGTACTGGTGCCGGTTGAAATAACCCACGTTGGGGAACTGGGCAAAGTTATAGGTGTAATAATTGCTCTCATAATTTGGCAACCTCTCTAATCCAGCGCATGATTTCCCATCGCCTAACAAATGTTGTCCAGGTGGACAGAGGCACTTGAAGCTGCCAGGGGTGTTGATGCACTGGTATGCACAGGGTTTAGGCACCCGCTCACATTCGTCAATGTCTGCTCATGGGACATGGTCGCAGCACAATGTACCATGAAAAGGAAAGAAAAAAGAACATAGAAAAAGAGGATCAGTTTGAGTTGCACAATGAGGACCCGTCTTTACTTTCAATCAGGAGTGTTTGCTGACACTAGGGTCTAATTTGTGGTATTTAACTGGGTTCCTTATTGCACTGAATCACACAAATGGTGACTGCTTCTTGTGAAAGGAAGTACATTTCGCCCGCAAAATTCAGTCGATTCACTTTACAGTATATTCTGTGAAGCGCTTTAAGACGTCTCGAAGACGTGATAAGGCGCTTTATCAAATGCAAGGATAATTATGTCTCTCCCCCCTCCCCCGGGGAACTCTGAACCGAGCGGCAATGCCGTGGGGTTTACGAAACTAAGCAATCACATTAAAAGCATTGCCACAAATTAGACCCAGTTACTCCTGACAGGAATTTGGAAAGTACAGTACAGTAAAACTCACATGACTTAAACAAAGTCTGAGTTGCAGGCAACCTGTATAAGTCTACACTATGCATGCGTAATTCAATGCAGCTAGTAAGTCCACATAGGGTGATGGGTCAAGACTACATTTCCCGCAATTCAGTGCGTCTTCACCCGTCACCACATGAGCATTGACCGGCAAGTGCTGGCATCTGGTTTAATCATGGGAAATTAAGCTCTTCTGCGTATGCATCAATCGATCAAGGCTGTTTATCGCGAGTCCATGCAGCCAGTACGGGGTCAGGCAACAGGTCAGGATGTTATTTCCCGCAATTGAAGGCAGCAGCCAGTAATTGTAGAAATAATGGAGGGGAGGGGAGCTGGGTTATGATTTAGGAAGTGATTAATACAAGTAGTGCAAATAAATCTAAGTGGTTTTGATAGGGAACTGAATGGAACTTGGGTGAATGTACAACTTGGGCAATTATACAATTTATATAGATAAGACTTACGTGAGTTTTACTGTATAAGCTATTATAGTCCAGGCTGACACTCCAATACAGTGTTGGGGGGAAGGCTGCAAAGGCAGAGGTGCCATCCTTTGGATAAGATATTAAACTGAGATCCCATTTGCCTGTCTACTCAGATTGGGTTGGGCACAGGGAGGTGATATTTGTAAGGTGATCCCAACGAAATACTGCCAACTTTTCAAACCAATGGATTGTGCCCTTATGACAAAATTCAAAGCATTATCTATCCCTTGTGTGTTTTTTAAAAGATTCAACTTGCCAGCAAAATACTGTACCCTTAAATCGTTCATTAAACTGATCTGAACAGCAGATTTTAGTGGAGAAAAGGTGATTTATTTGAAGGGTGCTGTGTGAGCAGGCTAATGTTTGCAATTGCGAAGATTTTTAAAAAAAATTTACACCTGCCTAAGTGTGTAAACTGAGATGGCCCTTTTCACATAAGCGTTGCTTTTTTTCCCCAATCACATGAGTCATTAAATAGGTCAGTTATTCCGATGCATGCACCTGTGCTTTGATGTATAAGCAAATTAAGGAATCAAATGGAAGGTCAGAGATCACTTGATAAGTACTGTCATTAATGTGTGGAGAGAAAAACCTGCCATTATTTAGTTTGTCTTCTCCAGTTCCTGCTTTTCCCTCTTTCAGGGCAGGGAGAAGCAGCATTCCCCTTCCCTGTTGGAATATTGTAACCAGCTGTTTACCATTTTGTTGAATGCTACACCATATGCAGCTGAGGAATTAGCAAGCTTTGCTTGAGAAATAGGAAACCCAACTCCCAACTGGAGCTATCTGTTTGTTATAATTTAAATTTCCTGGCCCCAATTTTGGACCACATGACTAATTGTCACAGCCTTGAGTGACTGACCACCGCCTTGCATTCGACTCTGTCAAACTCTTTCTGTCTGAATTGTTGCCACAGCAGTTTTGTTAGTAAAAGTTGCCACTTTTTGTGATCAATGTAAATGAAAATTAAAGAGAAGGGTGGGCAGACTAATTCTAACATCCAACACAGATTAGGCAAGTGGCAGGAATTCTGTCACATTTCCCCAAACAAAGCATCTCATCAAATTGGTAAGTCAGAGTAATCAGTCCACTTTGATATGTTGAGATATCAGAACAAGATGGCACAGGTTCAGGTTTGTTGAGGACAATTTCAGGAAGAGATAAGGCTGGATTTCAGACTGAAAGTGATTTGGCCTAATTAATCACGGAGGTGCCACTGTAATACCCAATTAGAAATAGGTCAAATCATTAGCATCATGAGCAAATTTATGTAATGTGGATCTTTCGTGCTCTGTATTTTAGATCTGTTGTAATATTTATCCATCGTTCTCTGCACAATCTAAATGGTGATATTGAGAGAAATCAGAGCAAGAAGCTTACATCTATTCCTTCCTTGATTTGCTTACTTTAACTAAATGACTAAAAATATTATTAAATTAATATATATATAACAATAAATGATTCCGATTGGGACGTCCTCCTGACGTGAAAGGCGCTTTATAAATGGAATCTTGTTGTTGTTCCTTACATTTGATATAGTACCTCATCATGTTGTCAAAACATCTCAAACCACTTCACAGGATTTACTGTAAATTGTAGTGAGTGAATTTCTAAGTGAACTTGATAATCCAATTTCACACAGAAATATCCCACAAACAGCCATGGAGTAAATGACCAATTTTATCTGGGTGATTATTGGGCAGACTACTGGGTATGAGTCCCACCCCAGCTCGGTCGCCCAACCACCACTTTGAGATATCCTCCTGACAAGAAAGGTGCTATTGCAAACTATTGTATCTTCTCTCCAATAGTCACTGGGTTATGTGCCTTCTGAAGCCAAGAGCAGATGAGCAGGTCTCAGACTAGCACAATACATACTTTACATTCCTGCACTGAAATGCAAGGATTATTATTGAAGGGAAAGAAGCAGGTAAACGCAGTACAGTTGAATCTCACTTTGCAACATCTTAGCAATGAGGATCACGCACTATTCACGCCACTTTTTTTTAGTCTAGAATCCTAGGTGACTATCACCTCAGCTTCACAACCCAGGCAAAATAGATTACTCTATTGCTTGCTGTCATAGTAAATTTCAACTGTACAGTGATGCCTGCCTCTGCAGTACTCCTCAATAAATAATCATTACACGTGGAAGAGAACTGATGCCCTTGTGAAGGATTTCTCTGTACAAATTCATGAGATTTCATATTGAAAATTAGTAAAAAAAAATCCTCATTGGGTTTCTTCGATATCTTGCTGCTACATTGGAGACCTGCAAATGCTTTACAGATTTAACAGCCACGTATGAGGTGGTGATAATCTAATTTCAGAGAATAAAAGCCATGCTGTGGGGAGGATGCAGCTACAGAAAGCTAAAGTGTTAATTGTGCAGTTTATAGGCTCATTCACATTGGAGTTTTATGTTATTGAGGAATGGTTAAGATGCTGAATTTTACCACTCAATATCTGCAATCAAATCCTTATACAAGTCAGGTGTTGTAACAAGGCTAAATATAAACGCCCCAAACTTTGCCCCAATAAACACGATTTTTTTGAAAAAAGCACATATTTTAAAAAATAAAGGCATCCGTTTGTTAAATCTCACGAGAAGTTTACCTCCATCATTGGGATTCATTAGAAACTGTGTTAGACTGTGAAATGAAATGTCAGCCTCATGCAGAAATGTGCTCCAATGCGAAGCTGAATGTTACTCACCAACACAAGGCCTTCCAACTCCCTGAGATCGGTAACCTCTTGGGCAAACACAGCGGTAGCTGCCTCGGGTATTCTCACAGACCTGATTGTAGCGGCACTGGTGAGTGCCATCTCTGCACTCGTTAATATCTGTGGAAAAATGTCTGTTACCAACTGCACCGATCTACAACCTGCCGAAGTGGGTTGGTAACTTGTACCAAGAGTCTATGGTTGGTAACAACATTTGCTAACAACGTTTACTAACAACATTTGAGATTCTAAAGGAGATGTTAACTGCGTTCTGCCCAAACTAAATGAATCAGCTAGTTGCGTTTGCATTTCCATTGAAATGTGACTGGGCTCCTGACATTGAAGTTGGTCTCTTTCTCTGTAGCCACTGCATATATGTAGCAAGGCATTCCAAGATGTGGTTTGAAAATACTAGGTTCTATGGCTGACACAATTCATTATTGATGTTACCACACGGCTTAATTATTCCAAATGTCTTTTCAAGTGGCAATGATTTACTGGTAAACAAATGGTGCTTAAGGATACTAATGCAGATATAAAATGTCCTGTGTTCCTTGAAACCTACCAATACAGCTCCCATTCTCTGCTTTTGTCATTCCACTTGGACACAGATCGATGCACTTGAATCCCCCTCGCGTGTTCTTACATTGCTGATCAAGTCGGCACACATTCTGTCGACATTCATTGATGTCTAAATGGAGAAAGAGAAAGTGATCGATAAAGCTCCATTTTTTTTAGTCACGGAGCACTTAGAAATGTCTCTTCATTTTTATTTAAAGAGCTTGGAGGCTCATCCTTTATTTCTATTGTTCTCTATTTCCAATTGTATGAATTTTGTAACTTCAGTTTGTTCATCTTGCTGAATTGCATTAATGTGATGAAAGGTCTGCTTGCTCATTTTGTGACACTCTGGTCTCCTCGGAAGTTTGAGGGGGTCAAGGGGCCCCTAAGTCAGGACTTTGTGCTCAAAGTCATAGAGTGAGAGAGCTGCACTGTGAGATGTCTGTCATCATGGAGTCCTGTAGCTCAGTGGTTAGAGCACTCGCTTTGGGTTCAATTCCCGGCAGGGTGAAACCTTGGGCAAGTTTCCTTACTCCACACGCCTGATAATAATCCCTCAAACAATAATAAATTGGTCATTTCAATCCACGACTGTTTGTGGGAAGCTGCCATGCGCAATTGGCTGCCGCATTTCATCCACAATATACAGTCTATTCTGTGAAGCACTTTGAGACATCTTGAAGACGTGAAAAGCGCTATATCAGATGCAAGGATTATTTATCATTCATAAGGGACATTAAATTGCTGTACTGTTTGCCTGTTTGGGTGGATGCTAAAGATCCCATGGAACTATCTGAAAAGGGCAGAGAGTTTCCCCCAGTGTTCAGACTAACAATCCCCCAAATAAATTTGGTCATTTGTTTTGTGGCTGTTTGTACAATTTGCTGAGTGCAAATTGGCCACCACATTTACCTACAAATACAGCACTACACTTAATTCTAATAACCTGTGAAATGCTTTGAGAATTTGTGGGCACTGTATCTAATTATTATATAGGTGTGAATCATCCATTCGAGTAGTTTTAGTATGTGGTGCTTGGTGTGCTATAACACTATTATTTTTTTGCATTTGATATAGCACCTTATCTAGTCGGCAATGTCTCAAAGTGCTTCACATGATTTTACTGTGAAGTGTAGTGACTATCGCAAGCGCATTGTACATGAAGTACAGTAGCTCCGGCTCTTAATGTTGTGCTTCAGCACTGTCAAGCGTTCTGGAGGGGCACTATATAGATGCAAGTTGTTGTAGATACTTATATATTGCATTCCACATGAGCTTTGTATAACTGGTCGTGCACTTACCCATGCATCTTCTACCTCGCAGCTGGTAGCCTGGGTCACACCTGCATCGGTAGCTTCCGATGATGTTTAGACAGCGCTGTTGGCATGGATTTGACTCTTGGCATTCGTTGATGTCTGTCGAGCAGAAAAGGAATCTAATTTTCACCTCTGAATATTTTTTGCAAATGTTAGCATTGCCGGGATGTAATTTACACTGTGTAAAATTAAGGCTAGTGTTTAGCCAATGAAACGCTTCAAAAAACATTGCTCTCACCTACTGAAATAAAGTTCATGGGGGGAAACGTAAGAGGTAGTAAATAGTAATGGTGTCTTATAATTAAGTTCAGCTTTCTTGTGATATCAGGTGGATGTGAAGGTCTTCTCCATTCTCTATGTGAATCCTCCCACTCAGCTCCTATTAACTCTGCAAACCAAAGCCTTAACAGGTAGGGTGGTCCTAGCTGGACAAGATTGTTAGACAGTGCTATCAATGGCAAGCTATGTGGTTTTAGCTGGTTAGACTCCAGCAGTACATCAAGCACACCCTGGGTCCCTAAGCCTTTGCTCCTAACATGGCATGGAAATTGGTCATTCAGGTCTGCTTCTCTGTGTTGGACTAATTAGAGTTGGTCTCCTCGTCACTGACTTATGAGTTAGTCTCTGTCACTGATGTAGGTAAGTTAGTCTCTCAGTCAGTTAAATCTTAGTAACACAATTTGTAGTATTAACGACAACAATACCTTGGCAGCTTAAACCCTCTGATGTCCTCCTGAAGCCAAGCCCACAGCGTACCACACAGCGATACGAACCAATAGTGTTTTCACAGTCTTGTCCGGCATGGCAGGTGTGACCACCTAAAGCGCACTCATTGATGTCTGAAAACCAATATTAAATAGTGATGTACCAAAAGATTCAAGGTGCAGTTAATCTGAATGTAAAAGAGTTTTATTTTGGATGTGGCTCCTTCAGCAAAATTTAAATCGACTGGAGTTCTGATGAAGGATTGCCCCTGAAATGTTGACCTTTTTCAAATACTGATCAACCTTGTGCTTTGCTTTTTTCTTTGTTAACTCCCTATTTCATTTGCTGACCATCAACCTTTTCAACACCCGGTCATTTCATAGACAGGATGTTGACATGGCCACTTCCAAGTTTTAACACTTTATTTTTACATACAAATAGTCACTGAACATTGTTATCGCTTCTCTGACTGAGCCTTTCTAATGGTAAGCAGTTTCCTGCTGATCATTCACTCCCTCTCCCCATGCACCTTTAACCTTTCATATGTCTATCTACTTTGCTCTTGAAATTCACAATGGACTCTGCCTCGATCTCCTTAGTTTGGCAGGGCTTTGTACATCCCAACAACTCTCCGTGTAGGGGGCCAAAAAATATTGCTAAGCTCCCCTTTTGCTCTGACTATTTTATATCTATGTCCTCACTGACTCCTCTACCCGTAGCTTCTCCCCATTTATCCTGTCAAAACCGTTAGTAATTTTATACACCTTTACTAGGGTCCTCCTCTGCTCCAATTTAAACAGACCCAACCTCTCCAATCTCTTCCCAGAACTACATCCCTGATATCAATGTAGCTAATCCAATCAATATCCTGGAGTTGGGAAGGACAGTATGCCATCCAATTCTAGACATTTATTCTGATCTTTGTACCTCTGCTATTAACTAATTTATCTATCAAAGCTGACTTATTCAGTTTCCTTAAACGTTGCCTGCCGCCCCCCCCCTCATTTTGTTTAACCAAGAGGTTAATCAGAATTAGATGTTTTATTTGAGACTCATGTCGTGCAGGAATTGTCTAGATTGATGCAGTCAGATTTCTGTTCAGCAGAAATGCAGTGTTACCTTGGCAGGTTCTTCCATCGGCAGAGATGGTGAGTCCTTTTGGGCATGAGCAGTAATAGGTACCCATTGCATTGTGGCAGGTATTTGAGCAGGGATTGCGGATAGTGCACTCATCTTCATCTGTAGAGGAGCAGGGAGGGCGTTAGGCACAGCCATGGATTGAAGCATTTTCGTGCAAACTTGCTTCATCTTTGAATGCAATTGCTTTCCTTACCTGAGCAATAGGGCCCAGCCGAGTCCAGAGTGAAGCCGCTTGGGCACTGGTTACTGCGGTCACCTAATATAAAACAAATGCTTTTAGCTCTTCCTTAAACATAAGCTGCTCTCAGCCAAATAACACTCAGAGACATTCCCTTTCTTCCACCCGAGTTTAGTTATTGTTAATCATTGGCTTTGTAAGTGCGTACGATAGTGTTCCACTGCCATGTATAGCCTGCACTGATCGAACGTGGAGGGCAATAACACAGCCAGGATCAGAGCACCTGTATTAAACCTAGCAATCCTCCTCTGCTGTATTCTTTTGTGTGTAAAATACTGCAAGTAGAGACTGTGGGTGTTTGTGTGTGTATATATAATAGGGTGTTTGTACCATCAAAGGAGTTTACAGTAATAATAATCCTTGCATTTGATATAGCGCCTTATCACCTCATTGAGACGTCTCAAAGCGCGACACGGGAAATATTGTAAAGGGGATTGTGTATTTTCTTGGCAAAGCACAGCAATGTCCCACAAACAGTTGTGGATTGAATGACCAATCTTTTTTTGAGGGATTATTACTCCCGGAAAATGATCCGCCAATTGACTAACAACCGGGTACAGTACCTTTAGTGATGATGGCATGTATTCTGTAGTCCAGAGTTTCATCCAGTGGGTTGTACTCTGCACTAATAGAGGTAGCGTGCAGTGTTTCTACTAGAAACGGCATCCGTCCACGGTTATGATTGTATGTGATGGTGTGGTTCCAGGAGTATGGCACACTTGCACCATCAACGGTGAACATTCTGGTGGAGTAGGCGTAAATCTGCCCGCCTCCAATTTGAACGTAATCCTCCGTGTAATCCTAAATGTGACATTTAAGAGACAAGGAATTTCTGTTACTTTACCATCTTTCATACCTCCCCTCAGTACATTTTAATTACCAGTATTAGGGATGTTAGTCCTAGCCATGAATCCACACAAAATCTGTGCTGAGTGTCTGAGAATATGAATCTGGATGTGGGGCAGTGTCTCAAAGTGCTTAATTCTTACATTGTGCACGTAGCAATCTGGTTATTCCTAAGAAACTGTAATGGAATTGGGATATATTCCCCATTTTTAGATAAGAATCAAATATTTTTTTGATGGACAATAAGCCCATCCTTTTTTGTCCTCTCTTGACCTACTTTGTTCTCTTTCCAGTAATGCATCTTGTTGAGTCTTTAACCCATTTATAAGTTTTCTTTTGAATTTTCCTGATAGTTGCTGGCAGTTGTAGAAAGTTCCAATTGTGTTCTCTAGTCCAGCACAGGCCAGGAGATGGGACTTGCAACTGTATTGTTCAGTTTCACAATGTGTAGTGGCTTTACCAGTAGATTTGGAAGATCACAATACCTTTTTTTAAATTACCTTAACATTCAGGTTCACAGCAGAAGGAAGCTGTAGCGCATATCCATTCACCACAATATCCAACAACAGTGCTCCATCCGAGTCCAGGCCTCTGGCGATGTGCGTCATCCTCAGTATCTCTCCTGGAACAGACAGTGACCAAAGCACAGTGAATCCTCCCTAAATGCAACCTGTGCTTAACATATTGCTCACTGTGTGGCTGTGTGAGTTCAGTCCCAACATAGTTACTGAGTTTTATGCACTGTAATTAAGTTCAATAGGCTGACTCTCCAATGTAGTGCCATCCTTTGGATGAAAGTTGAATCAAGAACCTGTCTAACATTAGTGTGTGTAAATAGGGCCTTTTTGTTATCCAAAACCTCTTGTGAAAATTCACATCCTTTTACTAATCTCATGTACCTTTCCAAACTTTGCAAATACAGCACTTAGCAACTCACCAGTAGCAAACTCAACTTGCGTCTCCCGTCTGAACACTCCCTCCGTGAGAGAATATCCGTTGACTGCTTCCCCAATTTCCTTAGCGGTTGCCCAGTAGATGGGATTTAGGATTGAGATGAGCTTCCTCATAGCAGGACCTAGACAAGCAAGGAAGGGATTAATGCAGAACGAGATGGGTCCTACCCAACTAACGCATGTAATCCTGGTCTATTGTAATTACCTTGTAAAAGGGATGTGAAATTGAGATATACAGGTGTCCACAAAGTCCTCTTACCCCGGTTACAAAATAGCGTACAAGACAACGGAGGAGTCAGATGCATTTCACCTCGTCACTCCATGTTACGGACGATGTTGTACCGAACATGGTGACGGATCATTACCTGCATGAAAATGATGGCGTCGCTCACACTGATCCTCTGTACCTCTAAATACAGTTAAATGCTTGTACTAAGTACTTCTAAATACAATTATCATCATTCTTCCACGTTTCAGTTGTTGGTCAGTACAGTGTAGGGGGGAAACAAAAGGACTTTGTGGATAGACACCCTGTACCCACTGACTACTGAAATGCTCCGCACTCACCAATGCTCCTCGGTATGTTTGAGATCTGTGCCTGTATAATTCGAGCCTCAGTTTCTGGACTGTCAAAGATGGTAGCGTTCAGTAGAGCAATGCCAAACTCCACATCGTTAATGTTCCCAATAACACTTCCCCTGGCACGCTGAGGTCCACCTGAAACAAACAGAGACAATTACTGCATGTTGAACGCCTTATTTTTTATATATTTGTACGTAAAAAAAATCAATCTGTTTTTTAGGATTTTGAATGAAATAATCCTCAACAAGATATTGTTTCTCAGCACTTCAACAGATTGTTTGATTATTTTCAGATTCTTGCCCTGGTCTTCAAATCTCACCATGGTCTCACATTACCCTAGTCCATGTAATCCTTTCCCTTCAATCTGGCCCTTACTCTCCGATCTCATAATTTTCTGGTTTTACTCAGTGCTCAGACGTTACCCCCACTGTCTCTACGTTCAAATCCTTCGTATATTTCTGCTAGTTCCTGCTACATTTTGTTGAATGCTTTGAGAAGTGTAATTGCATGAAAGCTGAAACGCAAATGCTTTAAGAGTCATCAGAGACATTTCCTTGGTAAACACTCTGGATTTCAATATTTCTGAGGCCTGAATACCTTATTGCAGCTTTCAAAATGTGTGCGGTTTCAAGCATGTGGCATCCACTGAAATATTTCTATGCAGTTTCAACAGCGGGAGAGAGGAGGTGACTGTAAAGCAGTTGAAGAGGAAGGTTTTCAGTCATGATGAGGATGTGGGGTGGGGGTGCAAGGCGGAGGGATTGAGGGAGAGAATTCCAAAGCTTCGGAGCTTAGTGGAGTGGAGGAGACTAGGGACCAGCATGAGGCAAGAGCCATTTGAGCAGAGGCGGTGAATAAGGGAGTGGGGAGAAAGCAGGTCGAAAAGTTGGGAGGTGCCAGGGTATGAAGGGATTTGTTTCGCACGCTGAGCATAATCCAATGACAAACCTGGGCAGGGTTGGCCTTTACATCTGGACACTTGGGAGGCATCTCCTGGACACGAGCGGCCCCCGCTGGACGGCAGGGGCTTGTTGCACAGACGGACCCGCCTCTGTTCCCCACCTCCACACGATGCTGAGCAGTCACTCCAGGCCAGCCAAGGCCCCCAGTTCCCATCCACTGCGTGCATAGTTTTGAAGAAGGAAATGTATTTACAGAGGTTGCATTCAGATCGTTTAATTGCCATCTTCTGAGAAGGTGGGAAAGGGGGAGGGGGAGGTTGGGGAAAGTAACTATCACATTGGGAGCAGACTTGATGAGAGACTCCCTTTTGCTCTTGACTATCAGTGTGATTAATTGATGAACATCTCGGGTGTGATTCCGGAGCTGACCTAAATTTGCAGATCTCACATCAAATTTTTGCTGTGTGGGTGGGTGGGGGGGATGAGAGAATCTTCTCACAGTCTTGTGGCACGTGTGAGACGTCCTCACAGCATTTGTGTGATATCTTGCATGGGCTCCAAATGTGAAAGCAGCCCCTGCACTAATGACCAAAGCTAAAGTATCAGCGTTCTGTTGATCAGGTTGCAGTGAGAGCCGCACTGAAGGTCAGCTCTGGGCAGTCTGTTGTTACCTCTTCAGCAGGAAGGTTGTTTAGGTGAAGTTTCAGATCAACCACCTAAAAGTCTTAAGGTGCGTCAGTCTGTCTCAATCCCGAAAGGACATCAGCTAACGTCACAGCACTTACTCTAGGACTACAATTGCCTCTTTGGCGGTCTTAGCCCTCAGGGTAAAAAAATGTTTGACTAACTGGTTTTGTGAGCCTGGCTATTATAGGAATCTCTATTGAGAACTGGGGGTGTGTAATGTAAGTGTTGGGATGGGCCCTTCACTTCCTCCAGCATCATATGTGAACTCAGAATCCTTGTGAAATCAACACAAGATCTGATATTTGAATAGGATGCCAGGATCTGGCCACTGAATTCAGGTAACCAGCAGCAGATTGCGATTCAGTAAATGAATTGGTATCCTGATTTTAGTGATTTATTTGCTATTAAGATTGTTTAAGTTCAATGAATGAGCTTTTTTCTTCCCCTTTTTCTAGATAAGGTAACATTGGCCTTTATGTCTGAGCAAAGGAAATTCAATGTTACTTTGTATTCATTGCAACTGAAACAAACTTTTCAAGAGTGAAGTGTCTTGGAGAAATGTATTACCCCCCAACACCCCCAATTAAGCCATCAACAAAACTACAGGATAATAGATCATCATTTGAAAGATTAACAGTCTCGCCCTTTCTTCCAGTCACCGAGGGAATGCTTACGCAGGTTTCTCAGCACAAGGCAAGGCTTGTCTCATTGATGACCAACACACTAAGCTTTCTTGATGATTTATGCCATACATTCAGTCAAGAAAAAAACTGAAAGCACACTACCGATTGAACCCGGACTTACGTACTCTTACGAATGTTCGGAGGGGGGTCTGCCAATCGACTAACAACCAGGTTCCTACTTACTGATAGGTAAACAGGCATGTGGAGTAAGGGGACTTGCCCAACTTTTCGCCCTGTGGGGAATTAAACCCAGGCACTCTCTTGCGAGGGAGTATTCACTCAACTCAATGTCAACTCGAAACAAACCACATCAGCTTTGGCAGTCAGCCAACTCACCTGGACAAATGTTGGAGCTACACCTCTGTATCTGAGTGTCGGCCCCAGCGCAGGCCCGACCCCCGCTGGCTGGCCGGGGATTGTCGCAGGTCCTATACCGCCGCATCTGGCCTCCGTTGCACGTCCGACTGCATGTTCCCCAACTGCTCCAAGGGCCCCAGTTTCCGTGAACTGAAACAAGCAAAAATAGGCATTATAACACGTCGGCCGTGCAGAAAACCTGCCCGGCCCTGAAGTTTAATATGAGTGGAAGGTAGGTTCTCCCAATGTCCTGGCCGGAAACCCCCCCCAACTAACATTGATCGTTCACTTGCCGTATGAATTGCTGTTGGCTGCTGCGTTCAACCCACAAATACAACCATTACTCTTACAAAAAACTTGGTGATGCCACTTTGAGATTCAACATTATAGGTGCTGTACTCAAATGCAAATATAATACAACAAGTACAATAAATCTCTCATAAGTCGTATCATTTGGGACCATACATTTACTATCATTTATGTAAAGTATAAGTTATGTCAAACTTGCATAGAATATAAACTCTTGGACCGGGACTTGGGCAGATGTGTGACTAAGGGGATTATATGATTTATGCGAGTTTGACTGTATTAATGTTAGCATTTTTATTTTACTATTAAGACCACTGTGTAATATTATGAGGTAAATATCAGTTCAATGGGACCTTACAGCATTTGAAGGAGTGTGATTAACCACCAGTACTCACTCGGACACCGATCACTGTTGCAGAAGTCGATCTGTACGTCATTGCCTTCGCACTGGCGCCCCCCGTTCTGTGGTGGGGGGTCTGAGCACGCTCTGGTCCTCTGACGAGTGCCGCCTCCACACGACATGCTGCAGGCTGTCCAGCTGCTCCATGACTTCCATCGTCCATCCACTAAAACCAGGAAACAACAGCAGCCACAGAGGAGGGCGTCAAATTCTTTCTTGTGTGCAGAGCTCATGCTAACCCTGCTGTTCTCAAAAACTCTTGTCTTTATGTCTGGATCTTTCCAGGTGTTGGAGCTAAATGCTTACTGCAGATCTGCCTAAAGTATTATATAATATGCACAAAACAGCAAGAAAACTTTGGATGAAGAAGGTCAGTTGGCCAATTTCATCTGATCATCAATTCGACCCCACCAGCTTCCCATTAAATCGGCAACATAGTTTGAGATGGACTTGAGTTTCTTAATGCAAGATTAATTCTACACACTCTTGATGGCAAGGGGTGTGTGGGGTCAGGAAATGGCACCTCACATTAAATAACTATCTGAGTGTGGTTAAAATGACTTAAATAAATGTCACTCACTTTAACAATCATGTACATGATTACAAAATTTCAGATCAATCATAGGGTCATGCTGGATGGCCTGGGATAATCTCCCGACATGAAAGGCGCTATGTAATGCAATTTGTGGTGGTGTTCATCTGCCTGTTCAAGTGGACATTAAAGATTCCCTAGTCGAGAAAGGAGAAGGGAGTTTCTCCCGATGTCCTGCCCAACAATCCCCCAGATAAAACTGGTCTTTCATTTCATGGCTGTGGAACATAGTAGTACAATTTGGATGCCTACAAATACAGTCACTGAACTTTACAGAAAGAACTAAAGTGCTTTAACCTTACACCTCATATGTTAACTAAAACGGAATATTATGTTGGTGTTGCCAATTGCATACCTGGGCACAGTCGGTTATTACACACTTGGGTCTGCACCTCCTGCCCCTCACAGTGAGCTCCATCGAAGGACGGAGGAGGATTGTTACAAAGCTCTGTCTGGTTTGGGTCCCTTTACCACAGGTCTCGCTGCATGTTCCCCATGGCATCCAGGCCCCCCAACCACCGCCCACTGCAGAGAGATTCATCAAACAGCATGTGAAAATCTCAGTGCTAGCCAGCATGGAAGCAACCCGAAAGCTGTTCTAACGTCATGAAATAGACCATGTCCATTTTAACAAAAGGAGTTTAAAACGTTTACCTGACTTTCTCTTTCACTAATTGGTTTGAATTGGGCTGAAGTAGAGAGTTAAGCGAGAACAGAAAAAAATAACTAGCGGATATGGACAAGTGTCTGTCTTAAAGGTCTGTCTTAAAGGCATGAACAGCAACTTTTAACAAGCGCACCAGAGTGATATAAAAGGCATGGAAGTGAATGATGCAACTTTGATGTTTATTAAATTGCACATATTAGGATCCTTTGGCAAACGTATGCACTGCTCAGTATTTGGATTCAGAATGTCTTTGTATCAGTATCTGGTCTGAAGCCAGGGCCCTGTGGGTTTTATTACAACAAACTGGAGTGATTTGGGGAGTTATTGGGGGGAAGGGAATCGCTATAAAATGCTCTCTATTTCATAATGCCCACATCCTTTGTTTTACCGTATCAAAGTTCGCTAGGTTTGCTTATAAGTGTCACGTATCAAAAGCCACACATGCAGTAAGTAAAGCATGTCACACAGAGAGACTTAATTGTAGGGTGGGCTCTTAACTATTCTCAGAAGTGGAGTTTTAATTATTGAGCTTCATAGCTGAGGTCCTTGTCAATCCAAGTTGTAGAAAATTCAAGCAATTTATTTATTAAGTATAAAGCTGAGCTTTGAGCCTTTAGACACCCCCCCCGGTCCATCCTGGTGTCCCTCCAACTTGTTCTAGATCTATCTCAAGACCTATCTCTTTGACCATTGCTACGGTTCATCATTCTCCCTCCCACCACATCACCCAGCTCAAGTGTCAAGGCAGAATTGTTAAGCGCCTTGGGAAGTCCTCCTGACGTGAAAAGCGCTATATAAATGTAAATATGTATCGTATAATATATGCATATAAATGTCTTATGTAATTCTGTACAGTTTTCATATAATACAATATTATATGTGTATAAAAATAAAGAGATAGACGGACACTTGTATGTTACCTGGACAGGGGCGATTATTGCACATGATAGTCTCCACAGTCTTGCCCTCACATGGCTTCCCACCATACTGCATGGGTGGGTTACTGCACACCCTTGTTCTCATCCTATTTCCCTGGCCACAGGTACGAGAGCATTCCTCCCACTGGCCCCACTCTGACCAGTTGCCGTCCACTGGAAGACAACAAAGAAGTGCGATGTTACGGTAGAAAATTTCAAATGAAAAGTCTTACATTGCAACAGATTTGGATAAATTCCCATCCGCTCTCATTCCTCCAGACCTCCCACCCAGACCACCGACCTCCCATCACAGCATCAAGCTGTTTTTTAAATAAGTCCAGCATCCTGGCCTCAATCGCCTTGCCCAGCAACCTAATCCAATCAATCACTGTGCGAGCAAAGAAAAACTTGGTATCTGCCTGAAATTCTTCTTTACAACTCTAAACCTATGACTTTGGATAAAGTGACCTCTATTCCAGGGGCACTTAAGACAATTGTAGCTCCCTTCTTAGCAACTCGGTGGAGATCCGCTAACTAGGCACAGGCTGATGATTAAACTTTCTTTTTATCTACAGTGTGTACATTCTGAGCAATCTTAAATTTGGTCTTCATAGATCTTGCTGTAAAGGTTTTGTAGGCGAAATATCCCACATCGGCAGATTGCTTACTCTTCTGATGTAAGAAGTGCCATTGGTCTTACAATGGTTTAAACCAGTGGTGCCAACCTATGGCCTGTAGGCCAAAATTGGCCCAAGAATTGACTGTCAAGAAGTAGCCTCTCCTGAACATTCGCATAAGTTTAGATAAGTCCTTGTTCAATCAGTCGAGCATTTTCAGTTTTTTTTCTTGATTGAATATTTCTTGATTTTTGGCATAAATCAAGCAAATCTTTTTTGTTGACTGACCATCAATGTGGCCACCACTGGTTTAAACACTTGCACCCTTCTGTGGCTTTGTTTGTTGTGGTGGCCAGTCTTTGCCGGGTGCAGGGTAGAACGCTTACAGTTCTGGATCAGGAAGTAAAGCTGCTCCTACACACCTGGGCAAGGCTTGGCCTGGCAACCGCGACCTTCTTCGCTGGCCCCCTGGCATGGCCGACCCCCGTTGGCTGGGAGTGGATTCGTGCAGAGCCTCCGCCGTTTTTGGACTCCTTGCCCACAGGTAACGCTGCAGGGACCCCACACCAGCCACTTGGAAAATCCCCCATGCACTGCGGAGGGGAAACGGCAAGTGTTCAAACCCTTGTTGCTTTACTCTCCGTTCTCCATCAGAAAGGTTCACATGGCTGATTCATGGATGAATTGAGATGTATCTATTTTTGGGAGCAGCCAAATGTCCGACACAAATAGCAACCCATTACTATGCTTAAGAGTGTCCAAACCAAACTCCTGGGGGTTACATTACAACGCAATTTACAATTGTATAGCAGCTTTCACATTGCAAACCTCTTGCCTGGGCACCCAAGCTGGGACCTGAAGAGGGTGGGGAGGGGAAAGATGACTGAAGGCACGGTCAAAGAGTTAGATCTTGGCCATTTTGGCCAACCAGTCTGTGTCTGTGTTCAGAACCCACAAAAACCCCAACCCCTTCTATTCCCCTCCTCATGTATGAATCGAGTTTTCTCTTAAATATGTGAATGCTATTTGCTTCAACCACAGTTTCTGGTGGTGAGTTCCACATTTTCACTACCCTCTACATGAAGACGTTGCTCCTAAATGCCCTTAGTGGTGGCCAAGTTAGTGAAGAACATCAAACCTTGGATGGTCAGGGAGACCTTCACCAGTGCTGAGCCCATCAGGTTCCTGGCCACGCACTCGTAGTCAGATGTGTCCTCTTTCTGCAGGGCGGTGAGCCTCAGCGAGCTATCTGATAGGATGGTGACTCTGTCGTTGCTGAGGAGCGGGCGCCCCTGACGGGACCACTCGACTGTAGGGGGTGGCTCTCCACCTGCCTGACAGCTCAAGATAACTGTGGAGCCAGCGTCTGCCACTGTGTCCATCGGCTCAACTATGAACACCGGGGAGCCTGGGAGAGAGAAAGCATCATAGATTAACTGATGGGTTCTGTACCTTCCTCAAGGCAGAAATGTATTGCATTGCTGCGTTACAACACTTCCAAAATCAGCAATTAAACTGAGTGCGTCCTTCGAATGAGATGTTAAACCGAGCCCCCGTCTGACTGTTCAGGTGGATGTTCAGGATCCCGTGGCACTATTTGAAGAGAGAAATAAGTTTCTCCCAGGCTCCTGGCCAGCAATCCCCCAAATAAAATGTCATGGCTGTCTGTGGGACATTACTATGTGCAATTGGACTCCCGCATTCGCCTGCAAATACAGTCACTCCATTCCACAGTAAATCCATGAAGTGCTTTGAGGTGTCCTCCCAATGTGAGAGGCGCTAATACTCTTATAGAAAGGGCTGTAAACAATATTATTGCAAAATTCAAGGAAATCGGGTTTCAATTTTCCCTCTCCATTCGATTGATAAGAAGTCACTGGAGAACCAAAGTACCAGCAAAGGCTTACTCTGCAGAGTCAAGGTCACGCTGCGCTCAACCACACCAGCCTCATTTGTAGCGATGCACTTGTAGTCCCCAGCATCTTCATTCTGCAAATGAAACGGAGAGAGGATAGGAACAGGAGGCGGCTATTCAGCCCATTGAGCCCATTCCATTACTTTATTGAATCATGGCAGATCTTTTGACCCTCGTATCCCTGCTTTCTTTTTTCTTCATCTCCCTAAATGCTCCTTAAGTATCTGTCCAGTTCCCTTTTCAAAATTCCCAAACTATTCTGCATCTGTAAGCTATGCAGCAATTCATTCCAGATTGTCACAAACCTCTGTGTGAAGAAATATTACCCGATCTTGAGTCTAATCAGTTTAGCTCTAATTGTAAGATGATGACAGCAACAGGCGGGTATGAGTTTCTGATCAACATTCCAACCCTTTCTAACACTTCTCAAAAAAGCTATCTGCATGTTTTAACCCTTTTATCAAAGCAGGAACGATGTGTGTACAAAACAAGTACACTGGACACAAGAGATTATAAGTAAGATCCTTTGGTTGGTTGCTGGTTACACCTATTACCACAGTAAGTGAGGAAGGCACAAAGTGCAAAATCAATGATTTAAAGTATATTATTTTTATTATATTGCTAAATGTGAGCCCAAAGCAAACTGATTTCCTATCGGTTTCATTCTTTCCCAGGACTTTAACGCTATGGATCTCTTTATGTTCCTCCCTTCCTCCTACAACATACAGACTTTGAAAAGCCATCACCCTAACCTGTGCTTTGTGATCTCTCTCTCTCTCTCTCTCTCTTCCCATGCTGGCAGTGTGCTGTGCCTTGGGACCTGGAAACCTCACCCAGGTATTGCAATAAGAACAAAAGTTGATTTCAAAAAGAACCTTCAATTTTGCTGGAGTAAAATGTTATTAAGAATTTTCTGGCGCTAGCATTAGTTTTGAGACCGAGTGTTCTGGTGTCCAGCACCTGCTGAGCTCAGCTCACTGAACTCTTCACTGCATATGACCTACTGTCTATTGCACAACTTACTTACCACTGTGCCATAGATGGCCAGCGAGCCATTGTGGAGTTGTCGGATCCTGTTGGTGATATGAATACTGATGCCTTTTTTGCTCCACTGAATGGTGGGGGGAGGATCGCCTCGGACCTCGCAGTTCAGGATTGCGTTGCCTCCCAGAGGTTCGATGCGGTTTGGGTTGAAGTCGCCATCAAAGATTGGAGGCTCTAGGGGAAGATGGGGGAAATTGACAACCAGCCATTTCTTAAGCGAAAGCATAAAAAGGTGCAACCTTCACACAAATGCTCTATTCCCACCTCAAGTAAGTTGAACCATTAACAAAGCCCATATTAAAAGGGCACAAATGAATGAAACCTCCATCAGATTCCCTCTTAACCTCCCAGGAAACCTTTTCCTAACATGTCACTGATGTGATAACTCCATACCTTATTGCTTCTCCAAGTGCTATCACCTAACAAATGTTTCCAATTCACAAAAAAAATTAAGACCAGTATTGTTCCTCCATCAACGACCCCACTTCGAATACCACACCCAGCTTCCTTACTAATTAACATTATGTTTATGAGCAGGGCAACTCGACCAGTAAATAAACCGAAAAACAATCTAAACATTCCCAATCATCCAAGAAGAAAACTAAACAGAGACAGATGGCCGAGAGATGGTGCCACTGCAATGTTATTAAGGAAAGCTGAGAGATGGTGCTAAAGGGTTAGTTTTCCCAAACGAGGGATTTTCAGACTTGTGAATGTTCCTGCTGTGATGAATGCAAACAAGGAACATAAAGTAGCAAGAGAACACAGAAGCTCTTCCCAATTCACCTTTGACATATACAAATCCAATGGCCTTGATGGAACCCACTCTGTTTTCTGCTGTGCAAATGTACGTCCCAGAGTCATCCTTCGATGCCCTTTCAATAATCAGTTCACTGTGTCCATTGACGTTATCATACCGGGCTGTAGGAATAAACCATGCATTTGTCAGTAAGCTGTCTTGAGATTTGTCGCATGTTTTAGTTATTGTTAAATCTCCAGTTTCAATTTGAACATTTTTATACAAAACAACTTACATTTCTATAGTGACTTTCACGTCAGGGCAGACGTCTCAAAGCGCTTCATGGGGCTGGAATCAGCACCCAAAGGATGGGAGGAGGGGAACGATGACTGAAAGTAGTTGATGAGGTACTTTTTGAGATGCGTCTTGAAAGAGGGGAAGAAGCGAGCGAGTCTGAGGGACTCTGGAATGGAATTCAAGATCGTGGGGATAGAATAATAATAATAATCCTTGTATTTGATATAGCGTTTTGCACTTCGGGAGGACGTCCCAAAGCGCTTCACAGAACACACTATAAAGTGAATTGACTGTATATCTGTGGGCGAACGCGGCAGCCAATTGCGCACAGCAATGTCCCACGAAAAGCCGTGGATTGAAAATGACCAATTTATTATTGTTTTTGGAGGGATTATTATTAGGCGTATGGAGTAAGGAAACTTGCCCAAGGTTTCGCCCTGACCTGCCTGGAATTGAACTCAGGTCTCTCGCTTGCAAAGCGAGCGCTCTAACCACTGAACTACAGAATAGCTGAAAGACCACCCGCCAGTATAAACTGATCGGGCACGTAATTCTCTAGTCTGACTTGGGGACAGGTGTACAAAGAGGCGCAGAAATGAGATGAATAGATCTGCCATGATCTAATAAACTGTCTTATCTGACATTTGCTAACTCATCACAGATAAGATCAACCCTGATTACCAAGTACTTCACCAGCTTAGCTTCAAGAAGACCTCACTTACACCCACCCTTTCCTCCTACCCCCACCCCATAACAGCAGGACGGTCAGTGTTGGTAACACACGATATATTACAATAAAAGCAGTATATTCGATCCACATGAATCTCAGATCCAGTCAGTTGGGGAATCCTAGAGCAACCTATTAAAAACATCTACCAAGGTAGTCCTAGCAAACCATTATTTTCTTTTGCAAATGGATGAATCGAATGTAGGATTTAAATGACTTGATACAATACAGTTCGATACCCGTAGAAAAGTTCAGTCAGGAAAAACGGACATGAAAGGAGTTCTGAGGAAATGGACCTTTGGGCAGATCACGGTACCTCTCACAGCAGGAAGACACGATTGCACGTATTCTCCGAGCAGCCCGCACGCAAGAAGCAGGTCCTCACCGGGTATGATGTTGTTGTTGAACATCCAGGTGATGTGGGGTGTAGGAATACCATTTGTTGCACAGGTCAGTGCGAGGCGCTCCCCTTTGTTCAGGGATATGTCTCCAGGCAGTTCTGAAAAGGTCGGGTGGATGTGCACAGTCAAGTCGATGGTCATGGACTCACGCCCGATGGGGTTGGTGGCTGTACAAGTGTAGCTCCCGGCGTCGCCTGGCTGAGAGGGAGCAGTAGGAGGTTACAAGACTGCACTTGTCAGAAGCAATATGAGGCAAGACCCACCTGTTTAAAGGAAGCAAATCCTCCTTTTCCGATCCTCATTTCCCTGGGAAGCGGGATCCGAGCTGCAGGTCTGAGTGGTGGCTATTTCTCTTACCTTGGCATTTTCCACAGCGAGTTCCCCTGACCGCAGCAATGTGAACTTCCCCGGGGTGTCCCGTAGGGCCACGCCATCCCTCTGCCAGCTCAGGACTGGCCGAGGCACGCCGTCAGCCACGCACTGCAAAGTTACTCGCGAGCCCTCGATCACCGTGAGCTCCGTCTCTGCTCCGCGAATGGTTGGTGGGACTGTAAGAAAGGCACTAAGTAAACACACTGGACCTGAATGTGGATCGGTGATAATCCCTGCATTTGATACCTCACCTCATCACATTCTTGATGTCTCAATGCGTCTCATCAGATGTACTGTAAACTGCAACGACTGTGTCTATTTTGAAGGCAATTGCGGCACCCAGCCATGTCCCATAAACAGCCATGGAGTGAGTGACCAATTTTATTTGGGTATTGTGTGGTCACTCAATCCACAATTGTGTGCAATTGGCTGCCGTGTTTCCATCTCCCCCCCACACACACAAAATAGAGCCGATGTACTTTACAGAGTATAATACAAGAATTATTATCTTTATTATTGAGGGCAGAGGAAAGCCACCTTTGAATGCCAAACGTACCGTGGACAATGAGAAGCATGCTGGAGCTGCTGGATCCAGCCAGGTTAGATGCCGTGCAGGTATACCGGCCGGTGTCTCCAGGCTGGGCAAAGGCAATCTGCAGAGCCCCAGTGCTCAGCATCCTTTGGCGGATGGTCTCGGTGACCTGATGTCCGTCCTTGTTCCATGTGATCTCAGGAGCCGGGAAGCCCTTGGCCTCGCAGAGCAGGGTCAGCGATCTATCCAAAGCGACCACATAGTTCTTCGGATGAGGCTTGATTTCAGGCGGGACTTTCAAATTCAAAAAAAAAGTTTTATTGGTTTAAAATTAATTTTATGAATTATTTCAGACCATGGTTATTTGAAAAAAAAAATCTGTCCCTGGGTATAATGCAGCAAAAGTTAAATGAAGAGCTCTGCATGGGATCCGGTCGGTGTGAGAGCACCTTATATTTCAAATAATCATTCATTTTCTTTAACTCACCCTGCACTTGGAGCTTTATCTTTCCTAAGGCTGTGCCGGCTGGGTTCTGTGCGACACACATGTAGGTGCCAGTGTCCTTCACTGTCGCACGGGTGATCTGAAGTCCGCCACTGGGCAGCACGATGAAATTACCTCCTTTTTAAATCAGAAAGAAAGGGCAGGAGAAAAGCAATTCAGCATTCAAACTTGAAAGCACTGAGTTCTTGTTTTTAATTGACAGACATAATAATTGTAGTGCCTCTAACGCTAACATCACAAAGGTCTTTCGAGTAATTTCCAATGGATCCCACCCCTGTTGTAATGCTGTGTTTTGAGACCATCGAATCAGACCCTGCGTTATAACCCTATTAAATGGCTGCTGGTTAGCAATCCTGACCGTGCTGTTAAGTATTTTGACTTGTGATAGTTGTAGATGAATATGACAGCCAATTTACATCCAGCAATTCAATGATTCCCCAGCTTCAAACTTCTGAGCGAGCATTGGTGAGGAATGGTCAAACACACTAACTGTAGACCGTTTGCTCCAGTGCAAAATGAGTACTTGTAGCTGACTACAACTGCACTGCAGTACCTGCTTAGACGGTGAAGGTGTTCTGTATAGCTCCGGAACAGAGTTGGCTACAGAAGGGATGGAGGTGGCTTTACCTGCCGTGCTAATGCTGATGCCTTCCTTCTGCCAAGAGATGGTAGGGTTGGGGGTGCCGGTGGCCTTGCAGGGGAGAGTGACGGAGTTGTTGAGAATCACATCCAGTTTGCTGGGCTGCGTCTGAATCGTGGGAAGTTCTGGAAAGAGATGGGACCTTGAATTAGGAAAGTTACTGTGAAATTGGGTTCAAGCGTTGGTCAGAAACCACACCAAGGATATTATTAAAATGTTTTATTAGCGATTATAAAACCACACAAGCATAAACATCACATTACACCCGAACCATTATCATTACTCATTGCGCTTAAATGACTACTAACGCACTATCTTAAGATACATTACTAAAGCACTATCTTAACAGGATACACTTGATACTAAAATTCTAAACATATTAAAAAAAATGTGATATATGAAATGTGCCTAAATAATCTCTAACTGAACAATTTTGCAACCGGGATGATGGTGGTGGCAATAATGATAATAATCTTTGTATTTCATATAAGCTCCTTATCACGTTGTTGAGATGTCTCAAAACACTTCACAAGGTATCCCGTAAAGTGGTTAGACAGAATTTTGTAGGCAGCAAATGCGGCAGCCAATTTGCACACAGCAAAGTCCCACAAATAGCCATGGAATAAGTAATCAATTTTGTGTGGGAGGGGTTTGTAGGCCAGGATCCTGGGTGAGAAAAATGCCCTTGTCTTTTCAAATATCTTTTACGACAATCCAGCACTGTGTTGGAGTGTCAACATAGACTATATTCCAAGACCTGACATGAAGCTTGAATCCACAAGCTTCTGACTCGGAGGTGAAATTGCTACCAACTGAGCCGGGTGGACATAGGCGAGGTCATTTCTGGCGAGAAAATGATGTAAATCTCAGTTTATGGAGAAGGACCATGCTTCACACATTGATACCAATATAGTAGATGAAAGTGGAAGTGTATAATATGGGCTGTACATTGGTGCCTACCTTGTACCCGGAGGTTGACGTGTCTGTGGGCACTGCCAGCGGCATTTGTTGCAGTACAGATGTACTTTCCTGTGTGTCTGAGCTGGGCAGCGCTAATCTCAATAGTTCCTGGATGAACAGCAAAATGCACTCTATCACCAAGGGTTTCAGTGGATGAGAAAAGTAACTTGTGAAATATAAATGAATGACTTGTACTACAGGGCATGAGAACATGCAGTTAATATGAAGAATACCTTCACTAGTTGGCTTTTTAAAAAACTTTCTTTTTAAAATAAAATCCTCAGCAATTTTTCCCGAGAGTATTCATTCCTGTTTTCTTGCAACGATGATATGGTTCCTATCAGCATATTCCAGGGCTTACGTCGAATATAAACACCAGCGCGGACTAGTTCTGATGAATGGCCATTTTGGTGCTGCACATTCCATGTAATGTTATTCTATGTAACTACAGTGTTTGGTTTCAGTGCTGTAGGATATTTACCCCATTAGACCACTGGGGGGAGCATTTTACTTCTTGTGCTGCTCTCATTGGGATGTGTTGCTCTCAGCGAGACTGACCGACCGATGTACTGTATTTTATAAGCTTTGAAATAAGGTTTATTTTTTTAAAAAATGGCTGGGTGGTCTATTGCTATTGTATGGCAAGCTTTCCTGCTGCTTGCCTAGCTAGAACCACCCTACCCGTTAGGGCTTTTGCTTATAGGCTTAACAGAAGCTGAGTGGGATGGTTCCCTGCTCCCAGTGACTGGTCTGCCCTTCCAGGTCCTGCCAATATGCCAGGCTGGATTTGGTGTCATTAGCAGTGCCCTGAAATACTGTGGACTCACCTGGCTCAGGAAGTGGACGACCGAGACCACCATAAAGGGCTGGTTCGATTCCGACACACCATTGCCAAAGGAGACCCCACTTATCCAACCCTCCTCCCCCCTCCCCGCCAGGAAGATAGTCACTAGTTGGTTGTTCAACATCCGACAAGTGCCCTCACTTGGTGGATTGTTACCTGTTGGCAGAACGCGGTAATCCTCTCCTTGAAGTGGCAGGTTGATTCCATCCTTGGTCCAGTGAATGGCCGGGATGGGGACCCCTGAGGCAGTGCAGGTTAACACAGCCGGAGACAACTTTGTCACCAGCAGGTCCGTAGCTTCGTCCGCAATCGAAGGAGGTACTGGACAGGGAGCAAAAGCATTGAATAGAGCAGCAATCATCTCAGCTTTGTCAATCATTGAATTTATCGAGTTTAAAATCTTTGTCCTTCCCTCCCTTCCCTCACCCTGACCATTTGCCCCCTGCTCGGGTCCCGACCCAACTGTCCAGCGCCTTGGGATGTCCTCCCGACGTGAAAGGCGCTCTATAACTGCAATCTTGTTGTTGTTGTTGTTTAAAGCATGCTTGCTCTGTCCTATCTCTGTAACCTCCTAAAACCCTACCAACCTTTTCGCTCAACTAGCCTGCTCCACACCCCTTGACCCACCATCGGAGGTCGAGCCTTGCTGCACACACCCTCTAGATCGAAGCTCAAGCCCCTCTGCCTTGCCCCCTCAATTGCCTCCTTCGAGACTCATCGTAAGACACTCCTTTTTGGTCACCCTCCTGTCTCCACCCTCCCTGCTCTCCACCTCTCCTGATCCCAAGCCTGCAGCTCGAGTGCAAACCCTTGACCGTCCAGCGCCTTGGGACATCCTCCCGACGTGAAAGACATTATATCAATGAAATTTGCTGCAGTGTTCATCACGAACATTCAGGTGTCAGCCTGGCTCAGTTGGTAGCACTCTCGCCTACAACTACAGTCGCTAACACTTTACAGAAAATTTCCGCAAAGCACTTTGAGACGTGCTCCTGACGTGAAAGGCGCTATATCAAATGCAAGGATTCTTATTTATTTGAAAATAAGAGTAAATCCCACAGAGCAGCAGTGCAATCACTCTGGGCAAGAGTGGCATTAGAAGTGATAGTTCAATGATAGTCCACTTTACACCAGCTAACCTATGGTGCACACTGTGACCATTGATAAAATCAATGCTTTTGCCCCTCAGCAGTGCACCAGAGTGACAGCCTGGACACTGAACTCAAGTCCTGACAACAATGGGGCATGAGCCGATACTTTTCTGACCCAGAGCTACCCACAGAGTCAGGCTACTCCACAATTATCTACAAATAGCCAAAAATAATGACTTTTTTAAAAAAAAAAGAAACGGACACATGACTGCAATCCTGTGTGATCCACATAAGTCACCATCCATCACTTGTACTTAAACACCAGGCGAATTGCTGACATCAATGCACCCAGACCTCCCTACCTTGTACAGTAAGTCTGATCGTCCTTTGATCTGATCCGGCATCGTTGGAAACATTGCACTCATACAGGCCAGTGTCCTCCACAGTGGGCGAGAGAATTACAAGGGAGGCCGAGGAAAGCAGTCTGAGGGAGGCAATTTCGAAAGTTAAAGTTATACGAAGTGTTTATGGAGAGCGTTTTTTGGCACGTGGCTTTCTATGTTTTTTTTTAAAAAAAGACTTTGATTCGCCCACAAACACATAGTGAATTCACTTTATAATATATTTTGTGAAGCGCATTGAGAAGTCTCAACGATGTGATAAGAAATGCAAGGGTTATTATTATTATTATTATTCTTTTCAAGAACTTGCACTTGTAGATTGTCTCTCATATAAAAAGAACAGCTCAAAGCACTCGACAAATTCAACTGGGAAATGAGACATTAACTGAAGAATCAATTTATTAATGAACAAAATTGTGATAATTGTTTGCTTTGAGATCATAAACATCAGGCGCCTCCTGGCTCAGGTGATAGATCTCTCACCCTTTGAGTCAGAAGGCGGTGGGTTCAAACACCACATCTGGACTTTGAGCTCACAGTCCAGACAGACACTTCAGTACAGTGTGTGGGGAGAGCTGATTATTGGAGGTGCCATGGGTGAGATGTTAAATTGAGGTCCTGTCTCCCTGTTCAGGCAGACATTAAATATCCCTCAGCACTATTCGAAAAGAGAAAGGAGTTTCTCACGTTCTGGGCAACACTCTTCCCGTTAAACGGTCATGAAATTCACATCATGACTTAACAACGTCACTGCATTTAGCCGTGGTTCCTGTGAAGCACTTTGGGAAGTCTTTGGGATGTGAAAGTCACTATATCAAATAAATGCAAGAGTTTTTTTTTAAATGCAACCTATCCTACTTTTGTGTTTCAAACAAACACTTTGTGAAAGACCGAGTAAAACTGATAGTATCTTATCTGATGTGTATCAGAAAGTGCTCGGCTGTCTATCGTGCACCCAAGTATAGTGTTGAGCGAAAGTCCCTGTGAATCAATATGCTCTCGGGCAACCAGATTTCATCACCTGTACATGTTCTGATCGGTGTTGAGAAGCCGTCCATTCTTCTTCCAGGTGACCACAGGCCTTGGGATCCCGGTTGCCTCGCACGCCAGGATGGTCTGCACATTGACTGTGATGGTGATATCGGTGGGGCCGAGGGCAATGGATGGAGGGACTATTGGAGGGAGGAAAAGAGAAAATACCATCATCAATGGCATTAACACAAGCATTCAAATGCGGGGTCTGGGGAAAGCCGGAAATATACAAATGGAGATCAGACGCTTCTAGAGACACGTAGCTCAGTTATTCTCCATATGCGACTGAAAAATAGCTCTTTAAAAAAAGCAGAGTGTACGTCTGCATAATATCGTCAGCTGCAAAACAGTCTTGGGACATTTCAACGCGCTTGTCTATACAAAAAGGTGTGAAGGACACCCACTGGGTGTCAGCAGTGCTGTGCGAGCCATTACCGTAAACCTGCACATCAATGCGCTTGCGAGCGGTTCCGGCCGGGTTGGTCGCCATGCACAGATATCGGCCTGTATCGGTTACTTGAGCTGAGTCGATGCGCAATGAACCGTCACCTGAGAGCGAATACCTGAGAGGAAACCAGATCTAAGATTTATAAATAACCACAAAACAACCACTGCACACACACACACGAACACACACAGACACACAACAGCAGAGGGCTCAGAGGGGAACTCGGGTGGTCAGCAAAAGCAAAAACAACTTGGATTTACATAACGTTATTTAAGCAGGGTGACGTCTGGGAGCACTTAAAAGTAAATTAGCAAAAGCATTCAAAAATGATTGGTCTGTACAGTAATAACTGGACGAAAGTGCTGAATGCTGGTCAATTTTATAGTGTAAGTTTTTTTTAAATGGACCTAAACCACTGTGTTCTAACAGGGTTCAAGTGTATCTCTGTGGTCTCTGCCCGACAGTGACAAGTTATGGAGGAATTCACTCTGGGGCTCCAAACCTCCATGAATTGCGTTAGAACTGTCCAAGCCAATTTCGCTCGGGACTTGTTCTGAGTTTGGATGTTCAGAGTGCTACGTTTAAAGTTCCCGTCAAAATCCGGTAAAGCACTCTAAACAAAAGTGAAGTCTCGCGATATCCGTACCAATGGTTTACATGATCGGATGGAACCATTTTGGATGCCTTCAAATCCCTTTATATATAAAATCTTTTCAGTGAATAGGAGCGAGTGTGCGTTAGTAAAAGTAATTTCTTCCCCTTTCCACCACCCCCGCCCTTGAAGAATCAATCAAGGTTTAACAATGTTCTGACCGGAGGTTGCTTGTTGAGAGAACAGTGCCGTCCTTTCTCCAGGTGACTTGGGGTGAGGGCAGCCCGCTTACTGCACACGTGAGCACCGCTGGCTGGTTGATGTGAACAGCCACTGCCTGGGGGCTCTCCTCGATCATCGGAGGAACTGTACATTGGAAAGCAAGGGGAGCAGATTAGCTGCTGTTCAGAGACTGTGCTCACTATCGGCCGTAGAGTCATTGAGAAACGTTCACCACTATCCTCGCAGAGAAATTATTTCAAAGTGCGGGATTTGCATTCCCCTGGATACATGAAACAAGCCCCCCACCCTCCATCTTAACACTTAAAATACCACTGCTCTTATTTATTTTGCAGCTGTCTTGAGGCCACGGATATCTAACTCGTGACAATACAATTTATACAGCTTCAATTTAGATAGTACCTTTCACATCGGGAGGACGCCTCAAAGCACTTCCCAGCTTTATACTGCAAAGTACTGTGTGTATTTTGCGGGCCAAGTTTTTCCACAGTTCTCCGAAACAAAAGCATCAAGTTTCAGACTGAAGTAAAGCACTTCTCGTAATTGAGACTGAACTGAAAGGTTGTCCAGAATTGTATGCAACCGTAACATTTTAAGACAAAGTGGTCTCTCCAGAATAATGCAGCGTGAAATTTAAACCCTCTTTGATTTAGCACCAGAGAATCAAACACCTCAAACATCCCTCTGTAATTTCATGCTTTTGACTCACATTATTTAATTTTCAGAAGACGTTTAAGGTATAAAATATAATAATAATCCTTTGATCTAGCGCCTTATCACGTCATTGAGACGTCTCAAAGCGCTTCGCAGAATATACTGTGAAGTGAATGACTGTATTTTTTGTGGGCGAAAATCTATATATATTTTAAAAACCTGGATCTCAGCTAACCGTTCGCGCGTAAAACATTTCACTTACCATTTACGGCTAAGGTGAACTCTCTGGTCATTGTCCCCGCGATGTTGCTGGCCACACAGGTGTAGCGAGCTGTGTCCCCCAGGTCGGCGTTATTGATCTGCAGGTACCGTCCGCTGGACAGGATGCGGATACGAGGGGTTGCCTGAAAACCACGAGTCTGTATAGTCAAGTTCAGTTCAAGCGCCATTCACTATAAATAATAACGATCCTTGCATTTGATTTTGCGCCGCATCACCTCGTTGAGACGTCTCAAAGCCTCATATGTCCTCAGGCAGAGGCTCCCAAAGTGTAGGAGCGAGAGCAGCAGAAAAGAGAGCGCTTGTCGGCTATTATTTCAACTCTGTGTGATCCCCTTTCATTCTCTAACATTTTTATCCTCTTAACAGTGGAACCTTTTATTGTGGATGCATTGGAGTGATTTTTCCATGGGCGAGTTGTGCCCACATTCAGGATACAGTACGGTGTTTGAAACCCACCCTCATCCCACCTGGTGTGTTGGTAAATCTGCACAGCGAGGGTTAGTTAACCTGAGTCTGATGGCACAGTTTCTTGCTCTCCAGGAAGTATAGCTGCCCAACAGGTGAAGGCGATCCTGTTACCTGCAGTAGCTTGTTGTCTTTCAGCCAGGTCAGTGTTGGGGGTGGTACAGCATCCGACTTGCACTCCAGGATTGCCTGTCCGTTTCGCACTACAGTCAGGTACTGAGGCCCACTTTGACCAGCAATGTTCGGAGGGACTGTGTTGAAAGCACAAAGCGGAGTACGTGGAGTGAACACTGGGCGGCCGCATTTGAAATGCGTTCTCGTATGATCAGCGAAAATATGCTTACATATTTAGGTTACCCCTCGCTGCAACTAAAAACACAAAAACTAAACATTTGTGAAATTTAGAGATTCAGATTGTGTGATCGTGGACCGGTTCTGGAAAAATTGGAACTAACACAAATCACATTCCAGTGTAATTATAATAATAATCCTTATATTCAGTAAGCACTCTTCATGTCGTGAGGACGTCCCAAAGTGCTTCTCAGGATATACTGTAAAGTGGTGCGACTGTTTTTATGGGCAAATACTGCATAATTTACGCAAAGCAAATAGTTACTGAAGACTGTTGGATGTTGTACTGGCATTTGCTATCATCACTAAACCGGCAATCTGTGATGACACCAGATCCCAAAGTGCCCAGAGAGGGCATCAGCCGGGGCTCGATCTCACACCTGCTGAAAGTCAGTCGCTGGCCTGTGCTCCAGCTCCCTTGTGAACTGATCTTAGCTAACTGCCGTGTCTACCAATTAGACACCCCTGAGCCCCATTTTGTTTCATTCCTTACCGTGCACCCTGACCAGGTACTCTTTATCATCATCCCCCGCGGTAGTGGATGCCAAGCACGTGTATCTGCCAGTGTCTTCCACCTGCCGAGGGAAGCACCAAAACATATACGTTAAACTAAACAACTGCCATTCCGCCTTTTAAAATCAAATCCAAACTGTTCAATCAGTCTTGGGCAGTATAAGCTTATGCTGTGGTCTTTGTATTGTCAGTCAGGGTAGTGCACGAAAGAAGGATAACCACTGATTGAAGACACAGTAACCTGAAGAAACGCGCATTAAACATCAGACATTCAGCTTGTACATCTCAAAGAACCTTGTATGTGTGAGAAAATGTGTGTGTATGTATGTGACAGAGAAAGAGAGTGTGTATGATAGAGAGTGTGTGTTTGAGAGAATGTTTGTGTGTGGGTATGTGTGAGATTGTGCGTGTGTGTGAGCTCAGGCTCGAGCGGCTGAATGGCCTATTCCTGTTCCTATATTCCTATGAGAGAAGGTGTGTGTGTGTATGTGTATGACAGAGTGTGTGTGTGTGTCTCAAATGGCATCAATATATTTTAAGAGAAAACTTGATGCATAAGTGAGGGAAAGGGAATACAGAGGTTATAGGTGAAGGGAACGGGAGGGGAGGTGTGGCGTATAAACACCAGCACACACTATTTGGGCTGAATGGCCTCTTTCTGTGCTGTATCACTCTATGTAAGGTGGAAAGTCTCCCCCAGATGAGCGTTCAGTGTGAGATTGAGTGTTGTGCATGGGCTGAAGCAATACAAAGGACAGGATAAAGGTCTTATGAAGAGTTCCAGGACCTGAGCGTTTGCTACTCTCAGGACCTCTCCTCCCCGCAGCACACGGATGGTCTCTGTCTGCGGCAACGGACGTCCGTCCTTCATCCAGGTCAGCACAGGAGCTGGGATACCAGTAGCAATACAGAGGAGCTCCAATGGGTTATTCACAACCACAGAGGTTTCCTCTGGTAAGTCAGAGCCATTGATGCGGGGTGGATCTGTAAGAGACGATCATTTACGTTTAAGCTTCTCAGTTTATTTTTGTTATTACATTATTATTATTTATTGGTTGTCATTGTATTTTTATAGCATCTTCCTTGTCACATCTAAAAGGCTCAAAGAGCCTACAATGAATACTGTCGGGTGTGCCCGTGTTTGCACACAGCATGGAGTACAGAATATACTGTAAAAATGACGTGGCAATATTTTGTGGGTGAAATGCCGCAGCCAATTGCGCACAGCAGTGTCCCACAAACAGATGCAGATTGAGATACCAAATTATTATTATTTTCATTTCTGAAGGGATTATTACCTCCATAAAAGCGATCTCAATCGACTAACAACCCCGTTCCTACTTACTGCTGGGTAAACAGAGGCGTGCGGAGTAAGGCAAGTTGCCTAAGGTTTCGCCCTGCTCGGGAAGTACGTGATTCTGCTGTGCTGTGTGCGAGGCTGTGGTGTGTGCGCAAGGCTGTGTTGGAAGTGAGTGAACTTTGGCTTGGAACATCTACAGACGTCAATGTAACCGGGAACGTGTACACCGCGATAGACTGGCTACTGTCACATTCTCCAGCTAAACAAAGCGGGGTGAATGGAGCACTGTACAGCAATCGTTTCACTACTTTGTAAGAAACGGAGGGCGACTTTAATTCATTGGCTCCAGAAGGGCCCACATTGTACCTTTCCCAGTCGAGTGTTGTATCTTGACTTACCCAGTACCTTCAGGTTGAAGTGCTTGCTGACCTCTCCGGCCTCATTGCTGGCTACACATGTGTACACGCCTGTGTCCCCCAGCTCTGCCCTGGTGATCTGCAGGGCCATTCCCCGGTTGCTGACAGTCATGTGCCTGCCCAGCACCAGTGGTTCTGCCGCTTTAAGCCAGGCCAGGGTCGGAGCTGGGGTTCCGTCCATAATGCACGACATGGAGGCTGAACTTCCCTTAATGACAGTCACGTCTTCAGTGCCGCCAGCATTGTCCAGGTTTGGAGGTACTAGGAGAGACAAAGCCAAATGTCACGGCTCTGTTAAGCATTTGAGTGGAGAGCTGAGAATTTCCGCCTGTTGCGCTTTCCACAACTGCCGCGATGCATAGTGTTATTATAACAATAATAATCCTTGCATTCAATTATGGCACCTTATCACATCGTCGAGACATCTCAAAGCACCACAACCAATTTGTACACCGCAGTGTCACACAAACAGCCATGGAGCGAGTGATCAATTTCATTTGGGGGATTGCTGATCAGGAGAAACTCCCTTCTCTTTATCATAAAACCCGATTTTTGATTCGAGCACATCAGTTTGGATTGCCCTTGAGTGGAATAAAGCCAATGTAGACTTCCTTGCTCAAAACTCACCGTACACTATTAAGTTGTAATTCTTGTTGTCGACACCAGCCCGGTTGGAGGCCACACAGGTGTATGTACCAGCATCAGATACTTGAACTCGTACAATTCTGAAACCAAACAAATAAATACAGCTGGAATCTGAGGAGTAAAAAGTTATTTATTCTGTGTGTGTGTGTGAGGACGCTTTGGGACGTCCTCTCAACGTGAAAGGCGCTCTATAAATGTAATTGTGTTGTTGTTGTTTGTTGTGTGTGTGTGCGTGTGTTGCATTGCTTTGGGTTGTTTTTGTATGTGTGTCTTTGTGTGTGCGTGTGTGCATACATAATATAATAATCCTTGCATTTGAAATTGCACCTTTTCACATCATTGAGATGTCTCAAAGCGCTTCACAGATTATACTGTAAAGTGAATTGAATGTATATATTGTGAGCAAAATGCAGCAGCAAATTGGGTGAGGAGATGATTGGGCTCAAATATTTATAAATCCAAGTTTAGACACTACCGACACCACTTGGAAAACCTACCTCAGAACCTGCCCAGCAGAAAGGAGCCTGATCTGGGAGGAAATGGGCAGGGGAAGCCCGTTCCTGAGCCAGTTGAGCTGTGGTGGAGGTGAACCGATGGCCTTGCACTCTATGTTAATGGAACTGTCCAATATGGTGGTGAGCTCCCTGTTGCCCTCTGCACTCTCGTGAATGGTCGGTGGAACTAGAACACAAAAGATAGATACATTAATAAGTTTGTTGACTTTTTGGTAAATATCTTATCTGCAATTTACCATTTTACACAGAGATGACGTTTGAAACCACAAGGGTTTGTTGCAGTTGTTGCTGGAATTTGGACCTTTATGTAAAAAAAATCAGAATATTTAATAATGTTACAACGCATTAGACAATTGTACCAGACAAAAAAAAAAACTGTCATTCTAATACAGCAAAAAGAGACTCGACGCTATCTGTCTGATATTTGAGTGCAGTTTGTGATATTTTTAACATGATTCCCTAATAAATAATATCAGTCCCCAAATGGAGACTCCTTTCAGTAACAGGAAATGTATCACATTGAACCCACAGGAACTCACTCCGACATGATCCTGTGGATGACGGGAATTCCAATTTGATTTGATTGCTTATTAAAGAATCCTCATTAACAAATACCACAGAGTAGACCTCAGTGCCATCAGCTATCATTAATAATATGGAACTGACTGACATTGTTGGGAAGATATATAATAATAATAATCAGAATCCTTGAGACATCTCAAATCGCTTCACAGGATTTACTGCAAAGTAAAGACTATGACTGTGTGTACTTGTAGACATTTTTTTCTAATCTTAAGGATTATTGATCAGGATACTGGGAAAAACTCACTTCTTTTTNCAAATCGTGTCACGGGGTCTTTAACATTCACCTGAACTGGTAGGTACGATCTCAGATAAATGTCTCATCCAAAGCACAGTACCTCTGACAATGTAGCTCTCATCCAGCACTCTATTACCAAGACTAGCCTAGACTAGACTGAGTTCAAAGCCCTGACGTGAGGCTTGAACCCTCAATCTTCTGATTCGGGAGGCGAGAGTGCTATCAATTGAACCAGGGTGACATCCTAATGTAGGCCTATATTTATAGTGAAGTGGAGTATGCAGTGCCCTCTAATTGCCTCCTGTATTGTAGAGAAGCAGCAGAGATCTGGAGAGTGCATCCTGAATGGTCTGCTGCAATGTACTCACCGTAAATGTTCAGGTTGAATATTCGATCTTCCTCACCAGCGGAATTGGTGGCCACGCAAGTATATTTCCCAATGTCTGCTGTAACTGCACTGGTAATGGAGAGGGTGCTGCCATCTGAAGTCAGTCTGATAGAACACAACCACAACAACCAATTAAAAGTGCAACGATGAGTCTTCCTGCAAACTAAAATTATTTAGCAGAACTACATTTAGTTATTGATCAGAAACTACATAAATAGTTATCAATAATAATCCTAGCATTTGATACAATGCCTTATTTCATCGTTGAGATGTCTCAAAGCGCTTCACAGAGTATACTGTAAAGTGAATTGACTGTGTATTTTGTGGGCGAAACAAATACTCAGTCAATTGATCAGAAGCTACATACATAGAGTTATTGATCAGAAGCTACCTTAATCGTCCTTCATCAGATGTATTGAAGGGTTTCCCATCTTTGAGCCACTGTACTTGAGGTTTGGGAGTGCCTTGAGCAGCACAGATCAGCTTCACGTTTTCACCAACTGCAACACTGACCTCACTCGGCATCTCAGACCCCAAGATATTGGGGGGAACTGCACCAACAACAACAACAACAACTGGTATTTACATAGCGCCCCTCACACAGGGTAGTGTACCAGAGCATTTGACAGTGGCAGAGCTTCGGGGCTTAGTGGCTGAAAGTGTGGCGGAATAGAGGGCACGAAAGACAAGAGGCTGGAGCCAGTCGAGCGGAGGCAACGGGTATTGGGTTGGGGAGAAAGCAGGTCGGAGAGGTAGGGAGGTGTCAGGGCATACAGAGACAAAATGACATGCGAAAAGTGAGCAAAGGCAGGAAGTCCAAACCTTGTATGGTCAGGAGATAATTTTTGCGGGCTGTGCCTTCCACGTTTGAGGCGACGCAGGTGTATGTGCCGGTGTCTGACTGTTGGGAGCGAGCAATCTGCAGCTTGCTCCCTCCAGACAGGATGTGCATCTCCAAGGACCCAGCATTCGCTGTAACAGGAAGAAGAGCAGCAACAAGCTCTGTTTTGTGGTAATTTGTTTGCAGAGAGCAGTGCGACGTTCACATGCTTTCTCGGGTTACAAAATAACAATCCTCGCATTTGGTACAATGCCTTTCATGTCAGGAGGACATCCCAAAGCACTTCACGGGATGTACCTGTAAAGTCCAGTGATTGTGTGTTTTTTTGTTAACTAATGTGGCAAAACATTTACACACAACAATGTTCCACAAGCAGCCACAGAGTGGAACAATTATTTTGTATTTGCGGCTTTTGTTGGCCAGGACTCCAGGAGAAACTTCGCTTCTCTTTTTGAATAGTGCTATGGGATCTTGAACGTCAATCTAAACAGGCAGACAGGACCTTGGTTTAATGCCTCATCTGAAGGACGACACCTCCGACAATGCAGCACACCCCCAAGCACTGCACTGCACTGGAGTGTCAGATTAGACAATGTGAGTTCAAAGTCCCGACATGGGGCTTGAGCACACAGGTGAGGAAGAATAAAGGGGAACTTACTCTGCACCTATTCTATGCTGTACCCGATGTTGAATTTCTCAATGGCATTTGCTTAATGGGCAATCTTAAAGTATTTTTCAAGACTCCACCCCCCCTCCACCTCGCACTGTTTCCCCCAAGAAAAAATGATTCACAAACCTGAAGATATCATTTAATCAGGATTGACATTTATGCTAATATTCCCAGTCTTACCACTGGGGGGCACAGCGCTTGCATAGGTCTTGAGTTGATACTACAACCAGTCCAAACTGCATAGAAATCAGCTTACCGATGGCTCTTCCACTCTTGAGCCATGTTAGTGTGGGCGGAGGAATGCCGGTAGCATCACAAGCAAAGGTGACAGGGTTGCTAATGACCTCGTTGATTGTTTCTTGTGCTGGACCTTCAATGCTGGGTGGGACTGAATAAGAAAAACAACAATAATAATAGTCCTTGCATTGCTACGACATCGGGCGACATGTTGAAGCACTTTGCAGGATGTATTGTAAAATATAGGAACTACGTATTTTGTAGGCAAACGGGGCAGCGAATTTGCATACAGCAATGTCCCACAAACAGCCATGTCTGTGAAAGACCAATTTTGTCTGGGAGACTGTTGGGAGAAGCTCCCTCAAGGTGAATCTATACCAACCATCGGAGCAGGCAGATGGAACTGTGGTTTAACATCTCATCCAAATGAAGGCACCTCCAGCATTGCAGCACGCTTCCAGCACTGTATTGGTGTGTTAGTCTGGACTGTGAGCTCAGTTTCCCACCACTGTTTCCCTTCTTTTTAATGTCTGCAATAATCCTTGCATTTGATATAGTGCCATTGAGACGTCTCAAAGCGTTTCACAGAATATATTGTATAGTGGATTTACGTAGATTTTGTGGGTGAAACATGGCAGTCAATTGTGCACAGCAGTGTCCCACAAACAGTCGTGGATTGAGTGACCAAATTATTATTTGATCTTTTGAAGGGATTATTACTCCTAGAAAGCGATCCGCCAATCGACTGACAACTGAGTTCCTATTTAATACTCAGTAAACAGAGGCATTTGGAGTAACAAAACTTGTCTAAGGTTTCCCCCCCTCCCGGGATTCAAACCCAGGTCCTCTTGCTTGTGAGGCGAGCGTGGTAACAGCTTAACTACAGGATTCAGAAAAAGCGTATCTTACCATGTATGTTGAGATGAAAACTCTTATCCGCCTGTCCTGCAACGTTTGTGGCTTTACACACATACTGTCCTGTGTCTGACACCTTTGAATTTTCCGGAAAAAAAACACATACAAAAAGCATTGTTGATATTTTCAAATCGGTTTAAAACCACAAGCATGAGCAGTCTGAAATAAGTAGCTGCTAGGTGAAAGAGGATTTAGTACTTCATACAAAACAAATGCTAAAGTAAGTGGATTAACTGTGTATTTTGTGGGCAAAATGCGGCAGTAAGTTGCGCACAGCAGTGTCTCACGAACAATCGTGGATTGAGTGACTACATTTTTCTGCAAATCGACTAGCAAGTAGGGTTCCTACTTACTGCTAGGTAATCAAGAGGCATGTGGAGTAAGGAAACTTGCCTAAGGTTTTGCCCCACCGGGACATCGAATCCGGATCAGCTCGCTCGCAAGCCGAGCGCTCTAACGACCATGTTATGGGACTCCCTAATAGAAAGATCTCTTCCCCATCTGTTTGCCCACCCACCCCCGACCTGCTCTGCCCCTTGCCGGGAACGTGCTTCGTTCGGGATGGCAGTACCCTGAGCAGGACTCAGCTGCTCCTGTGTTAGACCCTCCTCTGCCCTCTGTGTTACCTCAACACCAGAGATCTCCAGCATTTGGCCGTTGGCCAGAATCCGAAGTTTGGCGGAAGCGGAGGCCGTGCGTCCGTTCTTGTACCAGGTGATGACGGGAGGCGGCACAGCATTGGACTCGCACTTCAGGGTCAGCGTGCTCCCAGCGCGGACACTGATCACCTCAGGGGAGTCCCCCGTGTGGTCCTTAATTGTGGGTGGAACTGGGAAGAGAAGCAAAACGTTGAGCGACGGGTGCCATCACTGTGACCCTGACCCTATTCTAGTCATCCTGACCCATAGCCGTTCGTGCAGCTGACCCAATTCAAGCACTCTGAGGCGCTACCCTGTGTGAGGGGCACTGCGCAGATTGCAAGTCGTTGTTATTCTTTGGTCACAATCTACAGTTATTTAGAAAGCTAGTCGTGTTCACCGACTCTTTTGATTTAAAAAAAAGCACGCGAATTGCAATCGGTCACATTGTACGTAGCCTGGCACGTCACACAGAATCAAACGTCATGGATTCACAGCTTCTTCGGTTGAAGCGTTCCAATCAAACCGCCAGTCTACAGCGCGAATGAATCTGTGTAATTAGGGTCTGCTTCCCGAACTCGGGGTGGCTCCTGTCCAGTCAAATGCAGGTGGTTTAGCAACAGCCTGCACTGCTGACTTCCATTACTCTGCCACCTGGTCTCCAATGCATTGCAGTCGCATTAAAACCAGAAGGTGCCCTTTCCTCTTTCGAAGTGCGGCTTGCTTGGTGCTTATTGTGTCACCTGCTTGACCCCTCCATAGTGAGAAATCAGGGCCAATCTCAACATTGCTGATACCACAAAGCATGCAGATCACCCTCACTCTCTGTTTTAATACAAGTAAATATCAGGTACTGCATATAAGAAGGAAGAGTAGGAGGCATGCAATGAGAATTGAGCTTCACAAGCTTTCACTATATATTTATCTGACTCTCTTTTCAATGCAACTATGGATTTGGCTCACTTTATAATAATAATAATCCTTGAACCCTCTCAATATGCAACATAACAACGGGCAATTAACAAAAATGTAATAATATAATAATCCTTGCATTTAATATAATTATTATAATAATAATGATCCCTGCATTTGATATAGCATCTTATGTCATTGAGACGTCTCAAAGCGCTTCACAGAATATATAATAAAGTGAACTGACTGTGTATTTTGTGGGCGAAACGTGGCAGCCAATATTGCAAAGCAGTGTCTCACAAACAGTCATGAATTGAGTGACCACGTTTTTTGGGGGAGGAATTAAATCCCCTGGAAAGCGATCTGCCAAATGGGTTCCTACTTACTGCAAGGTAAACAGAGGCGTCTAATTCAAGCTGAGATGCTGGATACAAACCATAAATCGTGAGGAAAATCTGCTTTTCTGCCTGTCCGGCTTGGTTTATAGCGATGCAGATGTATTTCCCACCGTCTGACAGCTTAGCCCGAAGGAGCTGCACAGTTCGACCTCCTAGTGAGACAAAGGTTTCACGATCAGCAATCCAATCCAGGTTTAAGGACAATGCAGAACAAATGCGCATTCTTTGACGTCTGACACTGAGAAAAAGAGCTTTCACTGTAGAGAAACTCAGGGTATTTTAGTCTGTCCATGCTGCGAGATGCTACCTGCACAACATCCGTGGTGTCAGCCTCAAGTGCGTTATCTGCCAATGGGAATTTCTTACCGGGCATAATGAGAACATTGGTGTTGGACTGCAGAGGCTTCCCATCCTTAAACCAGCTGAGCATGGGAGGTGGAAAAGCTGTGGCCTCGCAGGTCAAAGAGATGAAGTTATTTATCACCACCGTCATGTTCTCTGCATTGGTGCCCACAATACTAGGAGGCACTGGGAAAAGAAAGCAAAAGAGGAGGCCAAGCGGATTCCCATTAGAAACTCGTGTAGCACTTGAACCTGCTCAACATCGCGATTGAGTCTATTCTACCTGGTCATGGCTCGTCACACCACTTTATCATATTGTTTAAGACTGTGCAAAATTGTGGAAAATTTCTCAAACTCGGTCTTAAACTTGAAAGTGTTTTTTCTGCGTTCCTTAAAAAAAATCTTAGATTGATTTTAAGAATTATTAACAATTTCTGTGTCATCTTAAATTTCTAAGGCAAAATAGAAAATAGTAATAATAATAATCCTTGCATTTGATATAGCGCTTTTCATATCTTCTAGACATCTCAAAGGACTTCACAGAACATACTTTAAAGTGAATTGACTGTACATTTGTGGGCAAAACCGTTAAAAGACTAGGTTGAATTTCACACCTTATAATAGAACAATGGTCTGTATTTTATTTTGCCTCCATTTATAATGAACTAGTGATTCAATCCTTTTGGAAACTGGTTATACATCAATATTAGCTGTGTTAATGATTGATTAAATTCCAGGTTGTTGCTTCATTTCATTGTCTACTTGAAAAGCACCTCCTTTTGACTGAGTCGCGACCTGCACGTAAAGGGAGATGGGAAATAACTGAAGGGCTCATTGGGGGTGACCTTATGAAGAATGTCAGTTGTTCCCAAATTTCTCAGTGCAATATTAGTGAAGCCCATAACCAGAGGCCGTGAGCCATTCAAAGTATATTGTTACTAACGAGTTACCTTTTAAAACAAAATCATCAATTGGCAACCCTTGTCCAACCATTGAGGATACAACAGCAATAGAGGAGGAAGCATCAGCTTACCACTGGAAGCCATACAGACAGTGTGCTGTAGTGATGGCTTCTGGGTGAGTGCATTGGAGCACTGAACCATCAGAATTGAACCTCTTCAAATACGATTGATGTATAATTGTACCCCTCAAGTGACCACAAACACTTGATCACGTACGGTATCCCAATCTGGGACTGGTCTAATTTAAACAAGCAGCTCTTCAGGGTTGGTTTAGATGACTTTTAACCAGTAGTAATTTAGTTCACTTTAAAACTAAAATAATCACCAAACAATTAACTTCACATTCTTATTTTTGTTTTGGAGAAACCGAGACGGCTGTTCTGGGGAGTTCATTGATGAATTTGCATTGCATGGACGCCATTGTAAAATGTTCTAGAATATATTGGAGTGGGAGCTAAATAGAGAGAGTGACTTCTAATTATTCCAAAGCAACTGGAATTATCTGACCATCAGTGACTAAGCGTGGGTTGCAACACTTACCGTGCACGTTCAGGTTGAAGTATTTTTCGGAGTTCCCGGCTACATTTTCAGCCACACAGATGTACCTGCCCGTGTCCGATACCTGGGCGTTCAGCACCTGTCAGTAGCAGAGAGGGTGAATGGTACTGGAAATAATTGCTTTTCTTTCACAAAGGGTTCTTGTCTTACAGCAGGGATATTCCAAGCCCTCCTCAGATTAACGGGAACGCTGCTGGTGTCTTGACACCGGGAAAAAGTGCCTTGTATTGAAAACTGTGTTTTAATTTGTGGCTGTTCAGGTGGTCGTCAATTGCACTGTTTGAAAAGAGAAAGGAGTTTCTCTCTCCAGGAGTCTCAGTCAGCAAATTCCCCAAATAAAATTGGTCACTCACTGTTTGTGGGATACTGCTGTGTGCAAATTGGCTGTCGGGTTTCATCCACAAAATACAGTCAATCACTTTAACAGTATTCCTGCAAAGCGCTATACGATGTCTCTGTGACTTAATAAGGAGCTTTATTAAATGCAAGCATTATTATTATTATTATTATACTACAATAATCCTTGTATTATGGCCGAGTCTTTATTCTTCCTTTAAATACAGGGCACTAGGGTAGGAAGTGGTGATTGTGAGTGAGCTATCTTAATGAGGCTTCTACAAGCCCCGAGCACCAAGTAATGATAATGTGGCTCAAACATCCCCCCCGCCCATCCCTAAACTTGAACTGGATGTGCACCTGAAGCGTTCGTCCACTGGACAGAAGTTTGTGGGTATTGTCCCCACTCAGTGGCTGCCCGTCCTTCAGCCAGGAGATTTTGGGGGTGGGATTTCCGCTGACCATACAGTCCAACACGACAGTCTTGTTAATCAGTACGATGACTTCTTCAGGCAAATCACTGTCAGCCCCTTTGATGGATGGCGGAGCTGCAGGGAGGGGAAAGGCAACTGTCCTCAGGAACGGTACAATGATGTCATCTCCTCTTGAAGGTTCCCCTTTTACATCAGTGTGTGGTAACTGAGACCCATTGCTTTTCAGATAGAAACCCATTTGGGTCTAAGTCACTAGCACCAAGTTGTACAAGACAACCATTCAATCACACGACTAAGCAGCACCAGCCACATTGAGGTTTTACCACTTGGAATTCAACACAACAAAAAGCGGGGGTAGTTTGGAAGGTTAGAAGAATGTTTTTTATAATAGAGTATATTCAGTAGAACTCGCATAAGTCTTACCTTTATAAATCGTATATTCACCCAAGTCCCATTCAGTTTCCAATCAAAACCACTTAGATTTCTTTGCACCACACAGATCTATCACCTCATACTCCACTCCCCTACATTCCTCCCACACTTACCAGCTACATTGAATTGCGGGAAATGTAGTCTTGACCCGTCACTGCATGTGCACTTATCGGCTGCATTGAATTACGCATGCATAGTGTAGATTATTGATTAACTCAGATTTTATATGATTTACACAGTTTGCCTGCAACTCGGACTTCATGTAAATCATACAATCCCGACTGATACGACTTATGTGAGTTTTACTCTACATATATGTTAGTGTACAGAGCTTTGTGACTGTAGAGCCTCTCGGCACAAATAGCTCTTAAAACTGAATCCCCGTAACAACATTGAAAAAGAAAATGGATGAGCTGTAGGGAAAGAGCAGAGGAAAAGGATTAGAGTAGATAGCTCCACCAGGCTAGCACCAAAACATGCACAGTGAGCTAGAAGCCTCCTTTCTATTTGCATTCTTTCCATGATTTGGCAACTTTATCAGAAAGCTGAATACCCTGTGCTTCATACATAGAATCATACAGTACAAAAGGAGGTCATTCGGCCCATCGTACCTTGCCGGCTCTTTGAAAGAGCTATCTGCTAGTCCCACTGCCCATCTCTTTCCCCCAAATATTTTGTTTTCAAATATATATCCAATTCTCTTTTGAGAGTTATTATCGAATCTGCTTCCACCACCCTTTCAGACAGTGCATTCCAGCTCGTAACAACTCGCTGCGTAAAATATGTTCCCTTCATCTCCCCTCTTGTTCTTTTGCAAATTATCTTGAATCACATTCATCAAAGCAAAGAGTGTTCCTCAGTGCAGTGCACTGAGCAGTTGGCTGTTGTACTCACTCATCACCCTCACTTCGTACTGAATAGAGTCCTCGCCTGCTTCATTCACAGCTACACACGTGTACCTCCCAGCGTCAGGAGTTTGTGCTCTGGGAATCTGTAACACCCGGCCTCCTACACAGGAATGGGCAGAAACTCAACACCTCGGAACAACGACTAGATTTCCACAAAACGCTGGTTCTATTTATAATAGTAATAATGCTTGCATTATCACATCATTGAGCCATCGCAATGCTCTTCACAGAATATATCGTAAAGTGAATTGATTGTGTATTTTTGTGGGTGAAAAATACATTGTGCATCACCTCTGTTTACACTGTGCATCACCATCCTCATGGGTCAAGTAAAACACCTTCCCAATAAAGAGGAGTTTTGGAAATGAGTCTTGCTCTTCTGAGATTAATGGTTTCCAACGATAATAATAATTCTTGCATTTGATATAGCGCCCTATCACATTATCAAGATGTCTCAATGTGCATTTCAAGAATTTATATTCTGTATATTCTGTGAAGCGCTTTGAGACATCTCAACGATGTGAAAAGGTGCAATATCAAATGCAAGAATTATTATTATTATGACCTTTACTGTTAAATGTAGTTAAACGTACTGTTACTGGTGCTCTTGCACTCATGGTTAATTTCTATAGAACAAAATAATCCTCCATCCCTGCACTGAAAATTGTCAATGTTTTTCTTGGCAGGTAATAAATAATTAAATTTTGATTTCTGTTTTCAGTAATCGCCTTCACGGAGCCAATGTTTTCTTGGCAGGAGGCGAAACATTATAATTTCAATTATAATTTTCAATGGAGCAATTATCATTTTGTTGTTTCGGTGGGTAGAGACTGGGAAAATTGCCACAAAGCTGGTTCTCGTTTCAAATGTTGCTTAAAATTGTGCGTGTGTGTGTGGAGGGGGGAGGTGGGGGTGGGCATTATTGCCTTTCATAGAGGGGACCTTATAGAGATATATAACATTCTAAATAGGTAAACCCAGAGCAATACTTTGAGGTTTGCCAATGTAGCAGAACAAAAGGCCACATCATCAGGATTGTGCTGGGCAATTTCAGGGCAGACATCAAAGTGGCTTTCTTTACCCGTTAAAGCTAATTAGTGACCGGGCGACTAGGACGGACGTTTGAAGCCATGACTCCTCGATTCACTTAAGAAACAGCTTGTTACTGTAATGGGCAGTTTGATAGGGAAGGCGTTCTGGAAGGGGACAGTCAAATGGGGCAAAGGACCTTCTGTCCTGGATGTGCCTTGTGAATAGAAGCAGATGCTTAGACATACCTGGCAGTATCAGAACTTTGTCACTAGAGGTCAGCAGTTTGCCATCTTTGTACCAGCTGAGAGACGGAGGTGGTACAGCATTGGTCTCGCAGTACAGGGAGAGCGGGTTGTTAATGACCACATCCTTGACTTCAATCCCGTTGCTGCCCTCTAACGCCCTGCCCTTTGTATCCTGAACATACACTGGTTTCACAAAACTCGGAGGAACTAAATTAAAATCAAAAGGAAGCATTAAAACAACTCCAATCACAGCAGATAATTGGTTAAAATAGCTTTTTTTAACACCCCCACCAACTCACTTAATCCCACACAAATCCCTAAAAAAAATACACATTTCAGGAAAAATGACAGAATATGTTGAATTTTAAGATCTGACCCGCAAAAAAGGTTCGCAATACTTCCTTTCATACGTGGAACGACCAGAAATATCCACAGGAGGAAGAATTAAGACACCTGACTGACCCTCCCTCCCCCACAAAAGAGATTATACTCATGGCAATAAGCACGCAAGAAATTGGACCTTGAATGTTCACATCATAATCTTTTTCATCCTCTCCAGCGATGTTGGAGGCGACACAGGTATATCGGCCAGTGTCTGAGATCTGTGTGTTCTTTATTCTTACGATACGACCATTCGCTGTGATGGTAATGTGGCTGTCCTGCTTCAGAGGCTGGGAAAGGAAAATGCTATTTAAGATTCACAAACCTCTTCAATGTTACATTTACTCGATGCTCGTGATGGGGGGAAGGGGTGGGTGGGAGGGGAGGGGGGCGGTGTTCACGGACACCACCAAGGCTGAACCAGAAACATTGCAGCAGACCGTTGAGAAATAATAATAATCCTTGTATTTGATATAGTGCCTTATCATGTCATTGGGACGCTTCACAAAATATACTATACTGTAAAGTGAATTGACTATTTTGTGGGCGAATCCCGGCAGCCAATTGCACACTGCAAGGTCCCACAAACATTCATGGAATGAGGGACCAAATATTTTTTTTAGGGGATCATTACCCACCAGAAAGTGATCCGTCAATCGACTGACAACCTAAGAAAGGAAACTCGCCTAAGGTTTTGCCCTGCCCAGGAATAGAACCCGGTTCCTCTCGTTTGCGAGACAAGTGCGCTAACCACTGCTCTACAGGACTACATTATGCCCCCTTAAAAAGGTTCAAACGCTCTTTAAATAAAAAGTACGACAAACCTGTCCGTCCTTGTACCAGCGGAGAGTGGCTGCTGGAATCGCTTGAGTCTCGCACTCCAGAGTCAGGCTGTTGTTTATTTTAATCTTTATTTCTTTGGGGGACAAGCCAAAACCTGGGACGTCGTCCTTGTTGATGGTGGGAGGAACTGGGCAGAAAGAAGTGAAAATGAATGGTTTCACCCTCAGCTCGCTGTGAAAGTACATCCGGTGACCTGCTGGAGTTGCGGTTTGTAGATCAATGTAGCACTGATCAACCCCAGTATGCGACCTGAAGTGCATCAGTCTGTAAGCGCTGCGAGATGCTATATTGCCTGAAAGGTGCCATATAAGTGCAAGTTATTGGTCAGCTTTGATCCCAGTCTTTATTGGGAATGTGAAGCTTAAGATTTGACAAAGCCTAAGATATTATGGCATCAATTGCCAATAGATGATGGAATGGGTTAAATACTACTTTGGAATCTTGATGATTTGCTATGATACTGGCTGATACAGGAGCCACACAGAAAGCACTTACTGTACACTTTTACTTCATAATTCTTTAGTGTTTCTCCAGCCTCGTTGGTTGCAATACAAGTGTATCTTCCTGCGTCCTTCTCCTGGGCGTTCAGAATCTGAAGCGTTCGACCACCTGAAACACAAAGACAGGATGTGTTCAGTTTACATTATAATATTAATAAGAATTATCAACGACATTTACATTGGCAAATCTTGAGTATTCACCAGACTCAAACTTGTCTCTTGTGTTGGGAAGGATTTTTGGCCCAGTCCTGTCTGCCTGTTCAGGTAGATGTTAATGATCCTGCGGAACCTTCCGCAAATAGAAGGGAGTTTCTTCTGGTGTCCGGGCTAAAAACCCTCAGAACGTTCCACGTCTACCACTAAACCCGAGGGATAGACCTTCAATGCGCAGTTGCTAATCAGTCAGACTGATAAAAGAGTTGCTATTTGCTGAATAACACATTCAATCTCAAATATCTAGGCTGACAGTCTAACACAACTCTAGGGGAGTGCTGCATTGTTGAGGGCTGCCATCCTTTGGATGTACTTTAAACTAAGAACATAAGAACATAAGAATTAGGAGCAGGAGTAGGCCATTCGGCCCCGCTAGCCTGCCCCGCCATTCAATAAGATCATGCCTGATCTATTCTAACTCAACCTACCCACCTTATCCCCATAACGCTTATTTACAAGAAATCTATCAATCTCAGTCTTGAATATGTTCAAGGACTGAGCATCCACAGCCCTTTGGGGTAGAGAATTCCATAAATTCACTACCCTCTGAGTGAAGAAGTTTTTCCTCAACTCAGTGCGGAAGGGCTTACCCCTAATGTTAAGACTGTGACTGGTTATATTTTCTCCAACCAGGGGAAAAAGTCTCTCACTATCTATTCTGTCGTGCCCCTTAATAATCTTACAGGTTTCTATAAGATCACCTCTCATTCTTCTATATTCTAGAGAATATAGGCTTAAATTGCTCAACCTACCCTCATCCCTGGTACCAACCTAGTGAATCTATGTTGTACCCCTTCCAAGGCGAGTACATCCTTTCTTAAATAAAGAGACCAAAACTGCACACAATACTCTAGGTGCGGTCTCATCAGGGCCCTATACAGTTGCAGCAAGACTTCCCTACTCTTATATTCTAACCCTTTTGTAACAAATGCCAACATACCGTTCGCCTTCCTAATTGCTTGCTGTACCTGCAAACTAAATTTTTGTGACTGGTGTACAAGGACACCCAAGTCCCTCTGAACGCTAACACTATCTAGTCTCTCCCCTTCTAAAAAATAATCTGCTCTACTGTTTTTGCCACCTAGGTGGATGACCTCACACTTTCCTACATTATACTTCATCTGCCACCTATTTGCCCGCTCACCTTGCCTATCTATATCTTGTTGCATTTTTTTAATGTCATCCTCGGTGTTTACTCTCCCTCCTAGTTTGGTGTCATCCGCGAATTTGGATATATTAAGTTCGATGTCCTCATCTAGATCGTTGATGTAGATAGCAAATAGTTGAGGCTCAAGCACTGATCCTTGTGGCACTCCACTAGTCACATCCCGCCAATCTGAGAAGGACCCGTTTATCCCTATTCTTTGTTTTCTTCCCATTAGCCATTCATCAAACCATGCTAATATATTCCCCTTAATTCCATGGGCCCTAATCTTGTGAATCAACCTTTTATGCGGCACCTTATCGAATGGCTTTTGGAAATCTAAATACACTACATCCACTGATTTCCCCCCTATCTAATCTACTTGATATGTCCTCAAAAAAATCTAAAAGATTTGTTAAGCATTTATTAAGTGAGAATTCTATACCACAGTTCTTGTCCAACAAGCTTTTTTTTTTAATGACTACAAATTTAGGCGCATTTACCTTTACTGTCATTCGATTCCTGGATGGGTTAAATACTGTTTTGGAACAATGATTATTCGCTGTAATTCCCCCCAACCCCACCCCCCCAAGTAGTATTGCCGAACATTTACCTGGAAAAATGCGGATGTTTTGACTGTTGGAGTCAAAAGCTGCCCCGTCTTTGAGCCAGGTGATAGTGGCAGGAGGGTAGGACTGTGCTTCACACACCAGGGACGTGGGACTATTTAGAATGACAGTGACGTCCTCTGGTGTGCCCTCGCTGTTGGCACCGGGGATTGTCGGAGACACTGATCGGAGGAAGAGAAAGCAACAAATAACTAACAGAACCCCGCCCACGTTTAGAGTTGCCAGCAAGCCAAATTTTGCACTTGCAGAGTGACTGAGCTTCCAGTAACTCTATCCCACTCCTCAACCTCAGTGCGTCGCAGAAGCGATAGCCTTCTACCGGACTGGTTCAGGTTGCAGTTGCAACTCTCTGCGGGAAGGAAAAGCTCAATGGAAGCATAGTGCTGCGGGATCTTTTCTTGACACGTGCCGCCATGATGAAGGGACAGAGAAAAGAAAGAAACCCAAGGAGGAAAACCTGATGCCTCTTGGGTCTCTTGGTGATTGAAGCCTACAGCTGTCCAATGCTATCACCGTATTAATGGGGCTACCAGGCTGAAAGGGCTAAGAGGCGTTGCTCAGGATTCCTACCCAGCACATTTAAATTGAAGTTCTTGCTCCGGTCTCCAGCTGCGTTGGAGGCCACGCAGGTGTAGCGGCCTGTGTCAGACACGCGCGTCCTGTCGATCTGGAGGAAGCGGCCGCTGGACAGTACCCGATGCCTCTGGTCCTTCGTCAGTGGCTGCCCGTCTTTTAACCACGTGATGTTTGGGATGGGCTTACCTGTGCAGAAATAAACCCCCAAAAATAAACCCAAACTGTCCCATTATTGGCATATGTATTCCCAGCGTTGAATGTTTGCAGCCGATTGTGGCAAAATAGGGTATCCCACCTCACTTCACCTAGCCCAAAATTTTACCCAGTCTTAACCTGTGAGACTACAACTTTTCTTAAAGTTTATGTTCACACAGACTTGTGAAAAATTCTTAAATTCAGCCTTAATTTGGAAGCCAGTTATCCGTAGCTCTTAAATGGAAGTTGGCCTCCAAGCTAAAACTGGGGAAAGAATTTTCTACAGTCTTGGGCGATCTTAAATTTTTAAGACAAAATTGTTCTACGTGCTCAGACTAGGTGGAACAAACAGATTGAGGACAGTGTGTTTGTCAGGGAATTAGTTTCTGCTGCATAGGGCTTTGTAGAAGGGAGAATGTGCTTGGCAGATCCATGACAGTAAGTGACCAGGTGAACAAGGGAAATTTTGTGTGGTTTATGTCCTGTCAATCATTCTCGTAATCATCTGAACAATATACTGTATTACGTAGCTGCCGTCACAGACGTTAATATCCATATAGCATGAGATGTATATTGGATTGCAAAGTATTCATGTGCTGTGCTCTTACCAGAAACCTCACAGCTAAGGGTAACGCTAAGACTCTCCTTGACTTTCACATCTTCCAGTGTTCCTTCATTCACCATACTTGGTGGTACTGTTACAAAAGAGCATACCCAGTTAAATATTATTGAGCAACAGATGAATGTGACAATTGTTATTCAGTTTCTATTAGGTGTCCGCTTAACTTAGCTCGCAGCACTTTTGCCTCTTGGTCAGAAAGTTATGATTTCAAGTCCAATGTCAGTGCTTTGAGCTTAGTATTGTCGCAAGAAATGTCTTTCAGACAAGATGTTAAGCCGAGGTGGAATAGCTGAAAGCTGTTTGTTGATGAGATTACATACCCAGAACATCCAGGTCAAAGGTTTTCCTCTCTTCTCCCGCAGCATTGGTGACCACACAGAAGTATCTGCCGGCATCTTCCACCTCCGTGTGCATTAAACGTAGGATTCGACCCCCTGGTGAACGGAGGAAAGTTCAAAGCTTACATTAGGTAAGTAACATAAAGTGTGTGTGTGTATATAAATAACTAGAATGGTGCACGATGTTCGAAGCACTTAACCAAATATGAAGTGACAATTCACAACACAATGCCAATGTCTTGTATCCGTTACATGCGATTCATAGCCTTGAATGGGATTTATATTTCCTATTCCCTGAGCACTCACTGAGTAGGGGCCTGCAGAGTACTCTGTTCCCTGATGTTAGTTTTCCAATGTTGCTAAGTACTGGTAAAATAGAAGGCTCTATAACATTAAAACTGGCTCCACTGAACAGCCCAAGAGCATTTCTTAGTGGACATGAAGAGAGTTGCATCTTGTTACAAATCGATGTTCTGCCAAAACTAGCTCCTCGTACCAAATTTCATCTGTGTTTTTACAGCATGGCTCCGTGTGACTTTCATGGCAATTGGCCACATAAAACCACACAAAGGAAATTATAACCTTGAAGATAATCGCGTAAAGTTAATCCCAGCGTGCTCTCTGTCTCTCTCCCTCTCTTCGTAGACAGATTCTACCACTGGGCCACTTTTTGGAGCAGGAGAGACTGCTGGAAGAGCAGTGTACCATTCCCTGGGGAACTCTGGTAACCACACGTAGACTGTGTCAGTACAGAGGGCCCACAGGTCAGTGTGATGGACCACTAGTTACAGACAGGAGTTGCTGATGGTGACTCGGAGTCCATTAGTGACTCCAGTTAAGAATTGCCAGGTGTTAGACTTCAACTTAGTGGTGAATAACACACATCGCACAAATACTTCCATGATTTATCACACCCAAAGTCTGCTTCGTACCGTAAAGCATAAATACATTACAGACAATGGCAGAAATGCGGCCGAGTTTAATGGTGAACTGTGTCCATTCAAGAAATGCGTGCCACGCTTGTTGTCAATTAATTATCCTGCTGGCTTTGTATTTGCTCCAGAACATGTTTCATATAAAATGACGGGCTCAATTTACACAACTGAGTTTACGTTGGAGCGAATCCAGTAAAGGCTGAGTAAATGTGGAAGTATAACAGTGCCCTCGGGAGATGGAATGGATTGCCCTTCACAGACAGGCTTTGTGCTGCTTGGGCTGGGTGGCTTTGCTATTAGAGCAGATTAGATGCTCTTCTCATCTCAAGCTGTCGACTGTCCCGGCAAACACCACGGTGTTTGTGGATCACTCCTCGATCCCGGGTTGCAGCATTTATATGGGAGAAAACCCCAATCACACGGATGTAAAGGACTGATCCTGGAGTAGGCACTTACGCCCGTGTACAGTAAAGTTAGGCAGGAAGTAAGCACTGTGACCGTCATGAGCTTCAGTGGAATTGTACGCATTTTAAACACGTGTGAGTTTGTCGTTTTCCTGGTATTTGTTGAGACTCCAGTTAGTATTGGAGTCATTATTGTTCAGCAAAAGCACAAGAAACTCATCGAGATAGATCTTCACGATAGTAGCTCACCTGAGAGTATTCGCAAGCTGTTACTGAGGCTGATCGGTCGCCCGTCCTTCAGCCAGGTAATCGATGGCAGAGGGATACCCGAAGCCTCACAGGTCAGTACGACAGGGTTTTTCACCACCACGCTCACATTCTCCGGCACGCTCAGGGCTCCGCTAATACTTGGCGGCACTGAAAGAAGAACCGTAGCGTTCGAGCAGCCAGTTATCTTTTACAGTTATTGATCATAGGACAATTATTTCTGTTCGTCTGATCGATATCGTGCCTTACCTGAACTCCACAATAATAATCATAGCATTTGATCTAGCACCTCATCATGTCATTGAGACATCTCAAAGCGCTTCACAGAATATACTGTAAAGTAGATTGACTGTGTATTATGTGGGCGAAACGGGTCAGCCAATCGCGCACAGCAGTGTCCCACAAACGATCGTGGATTGAGTGACCATTTTTTTTCCCATTACACAAGCTGGGGTAATGCTTGTCCAAAAGATGATGTCAATATTGGCCATTGTTATAATATATAATATAATCCTTGCATTTGATATAGCGCTTTTCACTTCTTCTCGACATCTCAAAGCGCTTCACAGAATAGACTGTACAGTGAATTGACCGTATATTTGTGGGCGAAACGCGGCATCCAATTGCGCACAGCAATGTCCCACAAACAGTCGTGGATTGAAAATTACCAATTTATTATTGTTTTTGTTTTTTGGAGGGATTATTATTAGGCGTGTGGAGTAAGGAAACTTGCCCAAGGTTTTGCCATGCCTGGAATTGTACCCAGGTGTCTCACTTGCAAGGCGAGTTGTCTAACCACTGAGCTGCAGGACTTCACAATACAACACTAAGCCGATTAAGACATGATCACTACCCTGTTAACGTTTCCCCATTTCAAGTGCAGTTTTATTTCTCCCCCTTCCCCCCCCATCCCCAAGTACACCGTATTAAATGGCTTCAAGAAGGAGGAAGATAAAATATAGGAATGAGGGTTGATGGTGGGAGGGGGTGGGGGAGGGGTAGGAAGAGAAGGAGATGGACTGAAGGAAAGCAGTGACATGCCTTTTGTATAAATCTGTGGCTTCACAAGCCCTTCAGTAACCCTGCTACTCACCATGTACACTGAGGTCGTATTTCCTATCAGCCTGCCCGGCCACATTCACAGCCACACATGTGTACCGGCCGGTGTCAAACACCTGAGTGTCCTTAACCAGCAGTCGCTGGCCATCGCTCAGCACCGTCAGCCTACGGCCGCTCGTCAAGGGACGTCCGTCCTTCAGCCAGGTCAGGGCAGGGCGGGGCGTCCCCTGGGCCTCGCACTCCAAGCTCACCTCGCTCCCCTGAGTCACGGTGACTTCAGTTGGACGAGTGCCGCTGTTGCTGATAGTAGGTCGGACTGTCAATCAAACACACAAACAAATGAAGTTAAATGAAGCGTAAAGAAGGAGACCACTTTGTGTGCATTTATGTAATGTGTAATTAACCTGTACCTTTTGGAATATACCCTACAAAAGACACAGGCACTTCACTTTACGGTAAATCCTGTCAAGTGCTATGACATCCTCTTGAAGTGAACTGCGTTATATAAAAATGCAAGGATTATTATGATTATTGTTCAACCATATGGCTTAACGTAATTTTTACCCAAAGTAAAAAAAAGTTAGCTGAAACTTCTATAACAATTCTCCTTCATTTCTGATTCACTGTACTTTGAATGTTTATATTCCGTGAAAAGCATTATATCAATTATATCCTGTCCAGCCATTCAGCGCAAACTGTTTTTTCAACTCCACATTTTGATTTATTTCAATATCTTAAAAACAGAGAGGGCCACATTTCCCCTCTTTTCCTGCGTTTGTTTTCCCAACGAAAACATCTGTAATGGTCAAATTACAAGATGTATTAAGAAAATTCTGCAGTATTAGTAAACATTATTAAAACGTTCAGCTTGATTTCCATTCAAATCGTTTCCACTTTATATAACAAATAATAATAATCCTTTGTCGTCTCAAAGCGCTTCACAGGATATACTGTAGAGTGTGGTGACTGTGTGTTTTGCAGGAGAACGCAGCAACCAATTTTCACAAAGCAATGTCCCACAAACAGCCATGTTTGTTTATATATAGCTGAATGTAGAGATTAGAACAGCGAACTCTGCATTGAATCTTGGAGACATGCAACCTCCTGCTTTTCTCCCAAATGTGGAACTCATTCACAGACAGGCTGTTTTGTATTTCTTGGTCACAAGTGTACACGATTTCCATACTTGACTGGCTGTAAAACATCATATTTGCCATAGATATATCACACTATCTCTTCCGCTCCTTGCCGCAGACCCCTGTGCTTGTTATAAAGAGGTCGTTCTCTTGGGAAGCGACCAGCTGTGCACCATCCTGACTGCCTTTGAGATGGCAATTTCAGCCAATTAACAACTGCTTTGTCTATAAAATAACCATTCAAGTACAAAACACGCAGTCACTGCACTTCACAGTAAATCATGTGAGACGCTTTAAGACGCCTGGGGTAAAACACACTATACCAAATGCAAGAATTATTATTTTATTAATACTATTTGGGCACATAATACGTGATATAATAAGTTATTCCAGTCTAAAGGTTTAGTGGTAAATACGTCCTTATGGATCAGATTGTGGGTTGTTTCTGAGTAGTAGAAAGTTAACTCACAATGGGAAGAAGCTCATGTTAACAGCTGGCTCTGTAACGTACCGTAGACCTGCAGTGTATATTCCTTCTTGCTGTTTCCAGCCACATTGGATGCCTCACACGTGTAGGATGCGCTGTCTGCCGGTTCGGCGTTCGAGACCTGCAGCTGCCTCCCACCAGACAAAACACGGACCCGTCCCCCAGTGTCAGTCAGCAGTGACAAGCCTGGAGCAAATATACAAATAAACACCCCTTCTCTCTGCGCCCCAGAGCCACACATATACACATAGAATCTACGGCTAAGTAAAGCCAGGATAATGGGCATCTAAGTTTCCAAAACTGGCAAATAGATTCATAACTAGCGAATCCGGCAGGTTCCCAGCTGAGCAACAACTTGCATTTACTCGATGTAGCATCTTGGAGGGCTTACAAGCGCGTAGAGGGATTGAAGCAGCATAGTGGCTGAAAGCACGGACACCGATGGTAGACTGGAGGGGTTGAGGGAAGCGCAGAAGGATGGGTAGGAGGGTGGACATATAAATCGTATGTTAACATCACGTCATTACAATGTCAAGTTATCAAACCGTACTTTGGGATTTAAAAAAACAAAACACCATTACATCAATTTCTATTGTTTTTTCTCGAAGAGCAAATGCAGAACGAACGTTCAAACGTTATACGGCTCCTTTCAAGTGGGGAAAGCACTTTAGAGAAATGGACACGTTCCATTTTTAACTGGAGAGAGAAAAAAAGGGATTGCTGTAATGGTGCTTTTGAAACTCCAAAAGTATTGTTTGGTAGTCTAACCATTTCACTGGAATGCCACATACATGATTCATGTTTCCACTTTTCTATGACTTCACAAGACTTTGTTTGTAGCATCCGCCCCCAGCTGTTTGTGGTATGTGGTTTATCCAATATCTTAAAACCTACATCTTTGATGGTTTTTACGGGTTTTTTTGCCCTGTTGAGTGTCTGACCCTGTCACTGTAAAGGACGCTTTATAAATCCAAGTTGTGTTGTTGTATCTGTCTGATATGTCACCTCCGACAGGTGTGCTTTACAGTAGTCGGCATAGCACAACTCACCATCCTTCTTCCACATGAGGTTTGGGGGTGGAATAGCACTGGACTCACAGATCAGGCTGATCAGGCTTCCTTCAATGACCGTTAGCTGGGACAGCTCATCTGACCCTCGAATACTCGGTGGCACTACATGGTGAAATGCAAGGCACACGTTAATGTAGGTGGCGATTAAACCAAGAGAAATACTTCAGTCTCTTCACATTCCATTCCATGTTTTGCCTCAGTACAAAGACACAAAACCAGCAGAAAACAAACCCACTGTGGAAAATATCTAACCCAAATATGGAGATTTTGGAAGGAGGGATAAGGAAAGATGTAATCTAAATTAGAAACGTATCTAAATTAAACACAGAAAATAATAATACTTGCATTTGATATAGCGCCTTATCATGTCTTCGAGACATCTCAAAGCACTTCACAGAATATACTGTAAACTGTGTACTTTGTGGGCAAAACTCGGCAGCCAATTGCGCACAGGAATGTCCCATAAACTCGTGGAGTCCTGTAGCTCAGTGGTTAGAGCACTCGCTTTGCAAGTGAGAGACCTGAGTTCAATTCCAGGCAGGGCGAAACCTTGGGCAAGTTTCCTTACTCCACACAGAGCCTAATAATAATCCCTCCAAAAAAAAAACAATAATAAAATTGGTCATTTTCAATCCATATGACTGTTTGTGGGACATTGCTGTGTGCAATTGGCTGCCGCGTTCGCCCACAAATATACAGTCAATTCACTTTACAGTGTGTTCTATGAAGCACTTTGGGACATCCTCCCGATATGAAAAGCGCTATATCAAATGCAAGGATTATTATTATTATTATTAAACAGTCGTGGATTGAAGTGACCAATTTTTTTTTGAAGGAATTATTACCCCCGGAAAAGCGATCTGCCAATCAACTAACAACTGGGTTCCTACTTACTGCTAGGTAAACAGAGGCGGATAGAGAAAGGAAACTTGCCCAACGTATCGCCCTGTCGGGAATCAAACCCAGGTCTCCCATTTACAAGGCGAGTGCTCTAACCACTAACTACAGGACTCCACAATTAGAGGGATGCATCCTGCTTAACTAATTCCGGATAGCATTAGGTGCAGGTTGGCAAGATAACCTTCACAGTAAGTCCACAAAATACATAGCCACTACGCTGTAAGTTCCTTTATAAACTACAGAAAACAGACTTCAAAGGTGAGACTGAATTCAGCAATTTGCCAAATTCTAAGCCGGAAAATTCCTAAGAGGAAGTCAATCTGGACCTGGGTGGAAAATCTCCCTTTCTAATCCTTACAAAGTAGCCTGAACTAAATTTATCTCAGTTTGTGCAATCCCCAAAGTTCCAGGCTGTAAAAAACAGGAGCTGACAAAATACAGTTTTTGTTATAATTCCAAAATGCTCAGGGTGGTTTTAAGAGCTGAAGCCTATTTGTCCGAGTACTGATGAATAGCCAAATGGTTAAGGTGCCTGTGATTCCTAAGCTGTAGAAAGCTGCCAAGTTGAGGAGTTTTCCAGTTTTGCCCGAACAGCGATGACCTACCCCAAATGTTTAAGTTGTAGTTCTTCTCTGTTTTGCCAGCCACGTTGGTGGCTTCACATGTGTACCGGCCAGTATCCAGGACTTGAGCGACGTCAATCTGTGAGTTAGATAAAGAAAATTACAATTGCCATTGGCTTCCACCCATTCTACAGAATTGCCTGGCTTATTCTTTGTGTGGTGGGGATGGTCAGCCGGGTGTCTGACACTTGAGGAAATCCATCTCCATGTTTAACAGACTCGAAACCAGACTCGAGTTCCACATACGTATGCCACCTACAGGTGGAAATTTCCTTAATAATAATAATAATAATCCTTGCATTTGATATAGCGCTTTTCACGTCGGGAGGACGTCCCAAAGACCTTCACAGAACACACTGTAAATTGAATTGACTGTATATTTGTGGGCGAACATGGCAGCCAATTGCGCACAGCAATGTCCCACAAACAGTCGTAGATTGAAAATGACCAATTTTTATTATTGTTTTTGGTTTTTGGAGGGATTATTATTAGGCGTGTGGAGTAAGGAAACTTGCCCAAGGTTTTGCCCTGCCTGGAATTGACCTCAGGTCTCACACTTGCAAGTGAGTGCTCTAACCACTGAGCTACAGGACTCCTTGTGTCTGGAATGGAAAGTGCGCTCTTTCCCTGGAGGAATCTCCCTGGTAAGAGCCAAGGCCTGTTGCTAAAGCTAAAGTAAGCTTCCTGCTGCTTATCCTGCTAGGAGCATTCTACCCATTAGTGCTTTGGCTTGCAGCATTAACAGGAGCTGAGGGAGAACAATCCTTGCCTCGTTGACCCAGCTTCTGTGTACTAATGGTTTATAAACCTTGACATACCATTTTCATTTAAAATCATTAATATTGTAACGTATTGTAAAGCATCACAAGATTCCATGTGTAGGCGGCTATTCTAACAACCTTTCACTAAACTGATGGCACGTTAGATATTTACAGACCAGAGGGTCATGAGAAATGACTTCAAATAGACACAAAACCCCTTTGTTCCCAGTTCCAGCATGCTATGTTGGTGCACATAGTGCCTTTTAGTGTAGGATGGTAATCTCACAAAGTGCTTAGTGAAAGGAGGAATATCTCAAAGTGCTTAGTGCAGAATAGCCAATGCAGAGGTAGCTACAAGCAGATGTCACTGTGGAGGGATGTACCTTCAATGTGCTTCCATCTTCAGACACTGAGAGGCCTGCCTTCCTGAGTAGAGGTCTTCCATCTTTGAGCCAGCTGAGAGCTGGGGGAGGGATGGCATTGCTCTGACACGTCAGCACCACAGCTTGGTTAATGATGACTGAGACGTTCTGTTCTTCTCCCATGATATTTGGTGGGACTGTAAGACACGTGAATGTTTTACTCTGTGGGTCTCGTGCCTATTCTTGTCAAATTCCACCATCCATTACACTGGAGCTCCCAATTGAGCCAGGTTGCCACCATGTACTAGTGTCTATTATTTGTGTCCATTGACGAATTCACACATCATTTTTTTTAAACTGAGAAATTCAAAAATATTCTCAATGACTGCAATCCTCAGTCAGGAAACACATTGTTTTGATTACTGAGGCACTTTTGCATACTATAATACTGGACACAAACCGGCAGAAGCAATTTATTTTTGTAAGTGAGTATTTCCTGATCAGAGTTTGTCTCTTCATACACTATCTGAGACCCACTGCCAAACAGAGGGCAGATGAATATAACAAAGCATCAACGAGAGAAAAGGGGTTTCAGCAAACCAAATTTGTTACCAGAGACAACAGCTATTGGCATGGACTTCTAACATTTGGCAAGGTATTTTGCATTGACCACATGAATCAATGGGGATTTGGCAGATGTCCTCGACTATTTTAAAACAAAGATACAAGTCATATCTAGTTGCATTTCAATATCTTTGCCAGACATTTTAAGTCGACTTGTCAAGTGCAGCTGTGTTTCAAGCTATTAAAAGTAATGGAAGTGTTTCTGTCAGGAACGATTGGAAATAAACTTGTCAGAACTGCAACCTTAGCCTGCGTTTCATTAACAACCCTCGGGCGGCTCAGCCTTCGAGGTTCTGGAGGAGGAAGGGTCTCTGTACCAACCGGGAAACCACGCACACGTCTTTACAATTAGAGGCCATGTTAGACGTGAATGTTCACACAGTGTATTGCTGTGCAACATGTGTGGCATTTAAGGCATGGCAGGCCAGCGAGAGCTTCAACAATGCACAATATTTTGCGAAGACACCATAGCTGGCAACAGGCAGCGAAGGAGAGACAGGAAAAGCATAAGAGCATAGGAATTGCGAGACGAAAAAAGACCATGGTCCATCTAGTTCGCCTTCCACCATTTTGGTAGTCGAATGCTATAATAATGGAGACGTTGATGGCAATTAATTCTGTATGGATTCATCTACAACAGAATGGAAAGCTTTAGGACCTTGGATCTAAAGTTGCCTGGTTCTTCCAAGCCAATGATACACTATGTCATGTCTCAAATTTCTTATATACTGTATCCCAAAATATTATTTTCTAAAAGAAATCTATCTAAACACACTTGTCACTGCGCTCACCAGGTCCACTTTACAATCCATGGTATCAATTTGGTTCCTAGTTACAAATTATTACTAATAATCCTTGCATTTGATATAGTGCTTTATTATGTCTACGAGATAACTCAAATCATTCACAGGAATGATCTTACTGTGACGTGTAACAAATGGGCATTTTGCAGATGAAAGTGGCAGCCAATGTCCCACAATAGCCATGAAGTGAATGACCAATTTTTATCTGCGGGGGTTGTTGGACAGGACACTGGGACAAACTCCCTTCTCTTGTCAAGTGAGATCTTTCATGTCCCCTTGAACAGGCCATTGCATCTTAACTGTTATCCTTTTGATGGCTTATTCAACATATGTAAAAGGAATATAGCACAGGGCGTCAAGGAGTAGTTTTAGTCCACAATTAGCTGAGGAGCGAATATCCTCTTGATTATTCCTTTTTTTCCCACGCTCAGTGATTATTTTCCCCAGTGGTTCATGTGAGATGAGTATTAAAGGTGGGGATTGAGGCACAGTCTTGCATTCTGTCACTGCTGCACAGTACGCACGTGAGCAATGGACTGTGCAGGCGTAACGTGTTTTCTGTGCTCATGTAAAGAATATCTCAGTCCTTCCCTCGTCCTCACCTTATTCTGCAATTAATGAAAATTAATAATAATCCCTGAAAGTAAAGGCATGCACTGCATTCCATTCCACTATCTCCTTTCCAGCATTTGGAATATACAGAAGGGATCACAGATTGTATTGGCGAAAGCTGGGTTAACTTTGAAGCTGTCTGCAACCACCTTTGACCATCATGCCCGTGAACACTTCTTACCCCCCACCCCTCCCCAGGCACAGTCGCTTTGAGATATGTTTCTGATGTTAAAGACACCATATGACTATGAAACGTTGCATGAAATGTGGCGCTATGTGTTTGTATTCTGGGGTTTAAGTACATTAGGAAACTGTTCAGGATTTACTTCTTGTTCAAGGGGGAAAAAAAACACTTGTCTGGAAAATCTCCACTTTACAAGGCTTCACTTCCCACGTGTTTCATGGAAACTGGAGCTGATTCAAACATGTGCTGAGGAGCGCTGGCTTACACTGCTGCTACTGACAGAGGATGTCCACACTCCAGCCTGATTGAGTGTCCTCCCTCGCAGCCGGTTCTGCTGCTCTCTTTGACTTTTTTTTAAAATGCGATTTGAACTGTTGGGTTGCCAGTTTTATATGCTAGACTTTATCTGTCAGCTAAGATTGCAGTAGATGCGCGACAGGCAAAGGATATTTATAACAAAAACAGCATTTATATAGGACCCTTTAAGCGGGGTTGGGGCTCGGAGGGCTATAATTGACTTGTGTGCAAATAGGTTACTGGGAGATGGAGAGTTGGTATTGGATGATATGAAAATGTGCACAGTGTGCCGTTTATACTTATGCCTGTTGACAACACTTGGCACATCCTCCTGACATGAAAAGCTCTATACAAATGTAATTTGCTTGTTTGTAGGAGGGCAGTTTGTAGCCATTGTACAAACTGGGCAATGGACTAGGATACAATAGAATTTACATTTGTTTAGCATCCTTCACATTGAGAGGATGTATCAAAGTGTTTAACACTGTTGGCTGGGCAAGTGAGGTTGGTGGGTGGCGGGGAGAGATTATTCAAAATAATTTTTTCATCCCCACCCAGAATTGTTATACTGGATTGAAATTTAAGAAAGTCTAGTTAAAACACGGTTGACTGTTAAAGGCTTCCCCAGCTGCACACTCGTAGAAATCAGGAATCTGAGGCAGTAAAATTCATCGCAGTGATAATGGTTTTGAATTTTTTAAGAAAAAGTTCTATCAGGCAACAAACCTTCCAGCTTCTAGCCAATGGCAAGTGCTGAAAAACGTTCTGATGACTAGCTCTGCTCTGAGTCAGAAGGTTGTGGGTTCAAGCCCCACATTAGTACTTTGAACTTCTGTGGTATTATACAGTCTAGTCTGAATGTATGCAGTGGTGGGGGTGCCCTGATTGTTGCAGATGCCCTACTTTGTAATGAGATGTTAAACCGAGACCCCATCTATCTGTCTAGGTGGACATTAAAGATCCCAGGGCACTTTTTTAAAAAGAGAAGGGAGTTTCTCCCAATGTCCTGACAACAATCCCCCAAATAAAATTGGTCACTTGCTTCATGACCGTTCATGAGACACTCCTGTGCAAAGTGGCTGCTGGTTTGCCTACAAATGCACGGTCACTGCACTTCACAGTGAATCCTGTGAAGCGTTTTGAGGTGTCCGCCTGACGTGAAGGGCAATCTACCAAATTCAAGTATTATAATAATAATCCTTGCATTTGATATAGCACCTTATCACATCATTGAGACATCTCAATCGCTTCACAGGATCACTTTTCAAATAGTGCCATGGAATCTTTAACATTCACTTGAACAGGCAGACTGGACCTTGGTTTAATGTCTCATCCGTTAACGACCTCAGTTTACCAACTCGTCATTAATTGGAAAGTGTTTTGCTGCTGACCCCTATAAAAAAAATATAGACAGTAAACATCAAGTAAAAATCTTAAGAGTCGGGTTAATCTTTGTACTAAATGAAAAACAGAGGCTTCCTGATTGTAAAGTGCGGCTGATGTCTCTGCGGTGTAGACAAAGGGTGCTTTGGCACACAGTTTGTTGCTGCCATCTTTTGCGGAGAGCTTCAGATTACGTACTTCAAATACAAGGCCATGAGCGTGCCTCAAGCACATTTGGAAGGAAAAGTAGAGCCAGTGGTAGTAATCTTACCGTGCACTCTGAGGTCAATGTTCCTCTGCTGTTCACCTGCCGCGTTCACTGCTACACACGTGTATCTGCCAGTGTCACTGACCTGAGCGCTGGTGAGGGCAAGCACTCGACTCCCAGACAGGACCTGCGAATGGGGGCATTGACACCATGTTGGCACCAGAGGATTACTGTTAGCAGCACAAGCTAGTTGGGATGAATGGCCTGTGTCGGTGCTATATTTTTCTACATAATTTTTCAGCACAGAACAAGACCATTCAATCCATCATAAAAGTATTGATGACCCACCTCCACCCCCCCCCCCCCACTTTCTCCCCGTACTGTTTTATACTTTTCTAGCATTTGTGCAATCTTAGTATCATAGAGAATGGTTATATTATCCCATCACGCTCTAGCACCTCCCTTTCTTTCTGATCTCCTCCTACGCTACTCCTTTGCTCACCCCCTCCACCTAGCTAACTCAGGCTTGCTGTTCATTACCATTAGTGGCTGAGCTTCCTGATTCTACGTCCCTAACCTCCAAAGCTTTCCCCTTCCTGTCCATCTCGCCCTCTCTTTATCCATTCTTCATATCCAGGTGTATTGGACCGAGTTCTCTGTTGATAACATCACAAGAGTGCAACCAGGTATATCCCTTTACACAAAAGGTAATTAATGACTGGAAGCGGGTTACTAGGAAGGGTGGCTGTGAGTTGGAGCTGGATTTATCTTGAAATAAATTGTTTGACGCTGTACGGGAAAGACTGTACTGTACGCCATCAATTAAGAAATGTTCAATCAAGAAAAAAATGAAAACACACAACATGAATTTATATAGTGCCCTTCATGCAGGGTAGGGCTTGCTCTGGGACACCACTGATCGAACACAGACCTACGGGGGTCACAGGGAAGGGGGGGTCGCAGTTTGGCCACCACTGAGTTAGCTGGTTCAAAGCCGAGCACCGTTAGCCAACTCACCACCACCAGTCACAGGCTACAACAGGCCTGATTGGTAGATTGGTGCTGGCAGGTAGCCCATCAGGGGAGCACCGTAGGAGGCCCTGAGGTTCAGCTGCCAGAACCACAGCCAAATATCTGCTGGAACTTTAACAATATTTCCCCCAAACAATCCCTCTGTAATGAAATCAGGCATTAGTAGTTTAAAAAAATGAAGACTTCACTGCTTTGAAATGCTGTGGTCTTCGAGCATCTGGACCGAGTGAAATAAAACCATTTGGCCTAAGGCAGACACAAAAGGGTCACAGGACTCGTTCAAACGCAGAAGGCCCATTTTAGTCCATTCGATTGTATCGTTCCAGAACAACAACAACAAGATTCCATTTATAAAGCGCCTTTCACGTCAGGAGGACGTCCCAAGGCGCTGCACAGTTGGGTCAGGACCCGAGCAGGGGGGAAATGGTCAGGGTGAGGGGAGGGAAGGGAGGGAGCGAGGAGGGGGAAGAGAGTCGAGAGGGGAGCTGAAGGCACGGTCAAAGAGAAAGGTTTTGAGACCGGCCTTGAAGGAGGAGAGGGAGGAAGCAAGGCGAAGGCGAAGAATACCCGCAACGACACTTCCTTCCCATCGCAGCACTTGCCTGCACAACACACAGTCACTACACTTTGCACTAAATCCTGCAAAGCGCTTTGCAGGGCCTCGGTAATGCGATAAGGCGTTACGTTAAAAATGCAAATATTATTATTATAATCTGTTTCTTAAACGAGTGCAGTGTGTTGCTCTCAGTTGCCCTTCCTGGTAACCCCATTCCAGTCATTAATCCCTTTGAGTAAAGATGTGCTTCCTGGTGTCTGTATTAAAATTGCCCTTACAACCCAGATGCTGTGTCTGCCTGCACTGTTGCCTTGGTGAGGACAAAATTATTTGACCGAGTAGAAAAGAGTCCCGAATATCAGACTATTTTTGAATATTCCAAGCTTTGCCTCCTGCCAACCTATGCCCAATACTTTCTGGAATTAGGTAAGCAGGATGAGTCCTTCCAGGGAGAGAGTGCACATTCCATTCCAACAATCTATCTCTGGGATTTCCAGGTATAGATGGGAATGCATGGAATTCTCATCTTGGTTTGGATGGGTTGTGCTGCTTCAGCTTAAGCTTAATATGCCTAAGCTTGGGGATGAGTTTCCACATGTGGCAAGCACCCGGGTGACCAAAACATAAATAAAAATCGGACTTTAAACCCCACAGTGGTAGTTAAGCAAAAGAATAGTTCATTGTGGATTAGTGGTACCTGGATGCCATCGGAGAAGCTGGAGACCGGGCTGCCATCTTTCAACCATGTCAGGCTGGGCGCTGGGATGCCCCTGGCCTCACATTCCAGTCGGACCGGGTTATTGACCACCACTGCGACTGTGTCACTGGTGCCAGAGATCGTTGGAGCAACTGGGGAGGCGGAAACAGACAACATGTCACCAGCAAAACTGAGGCACAGCAGGGAGCAGAAAAAACAGGAGTGACCTTAACCCCGCAATGAGGATGTATTGCTATGGGCTTGTGGCCACAATTAGCTTGAGAGCGGAAGGTCTTTCCCCCTGTGTAACACTGTGGCAAGAGAAAAAAAGGTTACATTGCGTTTCGCCCACAAAAATACACAGTGACTCCACTTTACAGTATATACTTTGAAACATCTCAATGACATGATAAGGCACTATATCAAATGCAAGGATTATTTTGATTACTATTGGGGGATGAGTCCTTTTCTTTGAGAAATATTTACAAAACACCATTGATGTATTTAGTTATTTATTTATTATGTATTTAGCTCACGCTGTAATCAACCCCCAACCACGTGCAAAGCAGGGCATTTGCACACTTCCACACACGCACAACACACCTCCGTTCATCAAGCGACGGACAGGTCTTAACACTGGCAAGGTTGTCTGATTTTTTCCTGAACGTGGGACAAGTAACTTCAGCCCCAGCCTCTCATCCCAGTTTTAAATGGAAGCTTTGCTTAGGCAAGCTGTGCGGTATTAACTGGTTCAACTCCAGCAGTTACCCCCCAAATCACGCTCCCCCGCAAGCCTTGACTCTCACCAATCCGCCGGGTAACGCTCTCCAGGTTGGAGCAAGCAGAGTACGTCCCTCCAGGGAGAGACTGCGCATTCCATTCCAGACACGGGGGGATTTCCACGTGTAAGGTGGCATACATATGTGGAAATAACTCATTTTTCCTGCTGATCGCTCATAACTTACACAAACCAACCTCCAGCCCTCGTCCCCTCCTCTCAGCGCCCCCCAAATACGTGTCTTCACTTCTCTGCCCTTGCACTGACTGTACAAACGGCTGAGGCTGGCCATGCTTACCGTGCACCTGCAGACTGTAGAGAATCTCAGTAGCTCCTGCCACATTGGTAGCTGTGCACCTGTATAAGCCGGTGTCCCCGACCTGGGCCCTGGCGATCTGCAGAAACTGACCCCGCTCCCGGGCGGACACTCCAAAGCCTGTGCCGAGCGGGCGATTGTCTTTGTACCATGTCACCGCTGGTGTTGGGGAAAGTCAACGTTTTAGTCAGTGGTTCTTTCGCTGCTCAGAAAAATCACTGCCGCTGGCTAGTTTGATAAGTCACAGTATAATGTACTTTTTTTTGCTGAAGGAATAAATGCTCCTTAAACTATGAGCAAAGACTGGAAAGACTGTATGGAGGCTCAGTGCAACTAGAAAATTGAAGGGAGACCTGATCAAGGTCTTTAAAACGTATGCCGGGTTTTCAGAGTAGATGAGAGAAATGATTTCCAGTTGGTTGACTCAGTCAGTGACATATCAGTGCCTCAATTTAAAGAACTTGGATTTCTTTTAAAGAGGATTTATTTTCACACAGAGTCGTCAGGACTTGGAATGCCTTGTTGGGTTTGGTGGTTGAGGCAGCATTCAAGTTGGCTTTCAAGAGGGAACACGATAGATATATAAAAAAATAGCCATTTGGTATGAGGAAAAGGCAGGGAAAAGGGACTGAATGGATTTGTCATTCAAAGAGCCAGTACAGACCCAATATATTACAATGGCCTTCTTCTGTGCTGTAAATCTCTATGTTTTTTGGCTCCTTGTGACTTATGCCATCAGTATATCACTGATAACTGCTCATTCATCATTGCACATTAATCTATTTAATGTAGGATCACTCAATACTTTACATTAAAGGTCTCTGGATGAGCAGTGCCTTGCCTGGTGTAGGATGACCCCATGATTTGTATTCGAGCTACACAGAGGTTTAGCAACAACCTAGTGCAAGAAACGTGGAGTTAGAGACACATGGATTGTCAATGGTAACCTACCAGGTGTGGGATTGCCGGATGCTTTACACTCTAGCTGCACCGGATTGTTAGCAATCACTGTTCTGTTCACTGTCTGACCCCCGTCCTCAATGCTGGGAGGTTCTGCAAAGCAAATTACATCTGTGACTAGCAGCAACAACAACAACTTGCATTTACATAGTCCCCTTCAGCAGGATAGCCTCTCAGAGTGCTGCACCGCAACATTCGCCCGGCTTCCCATCCCCCAGAGGATAGAGCTCAAAATCCTCATCCTTGCCTTCAAAGCCCACCATGGCCTTGCTCCTTCCTATCTTTGTAACCTACTAACCCCATATCAACCTGTCCCATCCCTCTGCTCAGTAGGCTCTGGCCTGATCTATGTCCTCCGCCCAGCCTGCCCCACCAACGCCAACTCGGTCTTCAGCTTTTCTGCCCCCACCCTTTGGAACTCCATCACAGAGTCCCTTCGTTTTGCTCCCTCCCTCGCCTCCTTCAAAGCACATCTCAAGACCGTCCTCTTTGACCACGCATTTGGTCACCCTCCTATCTCTACCCTCCTTGTCATTCACCCCCCTTGGTCCCAACCCCCTGCTCGGGTCCAAATCCCTGACTGTCCAGTGTTTTGGGACTTTCCTCCCGACATGAAAGGTGCTATACAAATGTGATTTGTTGTTGTTCTCACCATGTACGTGGATTCTGACGTGTTGCTGTGCTTCTCCGGCTCTGTTAGTGGCCACGCAGGAATACATGCCAGCGTCCTCCAGCAGAGCATTCACAATTTGCAGCTCACGTCCTGCAGACTCCAGCTGCAAAGGTAACAGGCACACACACGTATGCCAAAACACACCCAAACAAAGGCACACAAAGATACCCAGATACACACACACACACATGCACAGACACCCACACACAGACATAATTTAGACACACACATACAGACACAGTTATTAGACATTGATACCTTGTCTGGAATGAGTTATACAAAGCCAAAAAGGCAAAAATGTGGTCAGCTTCCAGGCTTCCACTTAGGTTACTAATGTACGGGAAGAGCAGCCAGGATTCACTTGCTAATAATAATACTCCTTGTGTTTGATATTGCACATATAATGTCAAAAAATCTTAAAGCGCTTCATAGAGAATCGCTGGCACACATAGTAACTGTGTATTTGTAGTTATAGTTGCTTGTGGGACCTTGGTGTCTGCAAAATGATTTCTGAGTCTGCCTACTAATACAAAGCCACTATTGACAGCAATTAACCGATAGTATTTGAACTTCTGAAATTATGAAGTGCTTTGAGACATCCTCACAATATGAAAGGCATTACATCAATGTAAACTGTTGTATTGTTTTGACTTTATAGGAGCTATATATATCAAAGAAAAGGCTTTTCTTTGTTGACTCTGAAACAAGGCAGCCATTTGGTTAATGATATTAAAGAACTGGTCATGCAATTCCCCAAACCCCCCTTTATTGGCATTGATATATGATCAAGAGCCTTGGGGTGTCCTCCTGATGTGAAAGGCATGATAAACATAAATTTGTTGTTGTTGATCACCCCTCAGGGTTCTTGGAATGAATCCATTGATGAACTAATAGGACTACTAGACTACATAAGACCTTTGAAGGAACTATTTGAGAGTATTGGCTGAATTTGTAGGGGTGGTTACCTTAAAGCACTTCTCAGCGCTGGCTGTTTATCAGTCGGGGAGCATACCTTAATCGTTCCTCTCGCTGTGTTGACCGGCCGCCCATCTTTGAGCCAGGTGATGGTGGGGTTGGGAATGCCGTTCGCCACACACTGCATGGTTAAGGTCTTGTGAACCACCACCGACCTTTCGGAGGGTCCCGTTGATCTGATTGTCGGTGGCACTGCAATGAGTGGGTAAACAAATAAAGTAAGGGAGTTTCTCCCAGTGTCCAGGCCAACAATCCCCCAAATAAAATTGCTCACTCACTCCATGCCTTCTTGTGGGACATTACTGTGTGCAAATTGACTGCTGCATTCACCCGCAAATTGCACAAACAATCACTTCACAGTAAACCCTGTGAAATGCTTTGAGTCAACCTCCTGACCTGAAAGGTGCAATACCAAATGCAGGGATTATTATTACCATGCCTTCGGTCATCTTCCCTCCTCCACTCCCCTTGCCCTCGCACCCCTGTCTGATATCAACCCACAGCTCGGGTGCAAATCTCTAATTGTCCTACGCCTTGGGACATCCTGCTGACGTGAAGGCTCTACATAAATTTGTTGTTATTATTATGTGTACGATCACCAAAATACCCTCTCCAATGGAGACCAAGAGGGCATTGTACTCAGCCTGGAGAACACGAAGGGAGCAAAATACATTTAAATGGAAAAAGGAAACATATTTCAACATTCAGTCGAGCAGTGCACGAGGTGCGTACCTTGAACAGTCACACTAAATCCCCGCTTCTGATTGCCTGCTTCGTTTGTGGCCACACATCGGTACTGCCCGGTGTCAGAGACCTGGGCTCGAGAGATGACCAGCTTACGGCCGTCAGCTAAAATCTTCACACCAACCTGGACATTTAAGGGTCGTCCATCTTTCAGCCACCTGGGACAATACAATAAATCATTGGTTATGCTGATAGTTTGTGCCAGCCTACCCTTCTACAATGGAATAATAATTTGAAGCAGCAGAATGCAGTTGTAGCATAGGACGTAATACAACTTGCATTAATACAGCGTCTTTCACGTAGAATAGCATCTCAGAGGCCTTTACAATCGTGGGGTGGATGCCGAGCATTGAGGAGAGGGGTGGGAGGAGGTGATCATAGGCACAGCTGAAGAGCTGGGTTGTAAAGCCAGATTTAAAGATAGATGAAGAGGGGTGAGATGGATGGTTAAAGGAAGAGCGTGCCGAGGTTAAGGGTATGTTATTGGCAACCTTGCAGACGGTGACTCAGGAAGGGCGAGGGAGGTGCAAACAGCCCAAGCTGGCCGATCAGAGGGGGTGAGCGAAGAAATGGAGAAAGGAGGAGATCAGAGAGAGAGGAAGTCAAGGAATTTGTCGGTGAGAGTGAGGACCTTGAAATCAATCCACTGGGAGACAGTGGAGTCTGGAAAGGCTTTAAAAAGGGAATTCCTTTAAAAAGGGAATTTGATAAAGAAAATGAAAAGGTGTGGGGAAAGGGCGAGGGGAGAGGGATTGATTGGATGGGCTATCCTTTCACGGAGTCATCATGGACAAAATGGGCTAACTGGCCACCTGGAAGAGATTATGAGTCTAGCACTGCAAATTAATGTATTAATATATATTTTGACTGGAATAATAAATCAACGTGGAAACCCTCAGCAACGGGATATGTCCAGTTCATTCTAAACAGATGGAATCGTTCTTACATACAAACTCTGAGTGCAGAATTTCATCAGCCCCATAATTTATTTGGTGGAATCCACACAGATGGTTTTCAACAAGGGGACTTTTTAAACATTGACTTTGTTTAATACTGACTTTTATAATAAGGGAGAATTAAAGAAAAATGCAACATTTTGGCAGGGCATTTAATTCTTTGGGTTATATCAAAAAATATTACAACATTCAAATAATATGGGTTCAGAAAACCAACCATAAGGTTAACGTTAAAAATACCATTACTTAAAATGTGCTGTTAATGAACATATTAACCCTTGCAAATAATCCTTGCATTTGACGATACCACTTTATCACATCATTGAAATGTCTCAAGCAATTCACGGAATTCAGTGTAGAGACTGTGCATTTGTAGGCAAACTGAAGAACTAGAATATTTTGAAGTTTTCGGTCACTAAAATTGTTCAATTATTCAAGCACCAATGAATTTAAACTCTGCACATCATGGACATAGAACCATAGAAATCTACAGCACAGAAGAAGGCTATTTGGCCCATCATGTCTGTGCTGGCTTTTTTAAATAGCAATTCTTTCAGACCATTTACCTGCTTTTCCCCATACACCTATAGTTTACTCCTTTTTAGATATTTATCTAATTCCCTTTTGAAAGCTAATATCGATTCTGCCTCAACCACTGCTCGCAGCAGGGCATCCCATATTCTAAAAACTTTGTGTGTGAATAAAAAAATCTCCTGACCTTCCCCCATGTTTACCAGTCTAGATGCGCTTCACCTCTGAGATTGGCAACAAGTACATCTCTCCTTTGGTTTCTGTTTTCGGCTCTGGGAGAGGATGAGGGCTTAAAAGGTTGGGTGGCGAGATTCCTTCTAAGAGGTTGACTATTGCTATCATTGGCTTTTGGGTTTAGCTGGTCAGACTCGAGGAATACCCCAATGCACACTCTGGGGTCCCTAAGCCTGGGCTCTTGCCAACCTTAATACTCAACGAATTAGGTAAGCAGGATGTGTGCCTCCAGGTAGAATTTCATTCCAATAAATATTCTTGGGAATTTCCATGCTTCGGAACCTTAGCATGAGTCAGACACCTGGCCGACCCCCAAAAATTACTGTGCGAAACAAGAGGATAAGACACTGAAGCCAAACTTACGTGATCTTCGGAGGTGGGGACCCGGCTGCCTGGCACTCTAGTTCCAGTGTGTGATGGACTGTGACAGTGGTGTCTGTAGTCTCCTCACTCCCTTCTATATGTGGTGGCACTGTGTGGAGACAGAAAGAGTAAACTGGACACGAGGTATGTTATTTACAACTAATGTGTGCAGCGTGGCACCAATGATCAACCACACCATGTCCTGCCATGTCTACTGCTACCTCTTTACACTTTACTGTCCCCATCTACACAGTATAGCACAATGGCAGGCAGATTTGGTCTTCTATATGCAATCTGCAGAGACTGTCAAGCCAAACAAATGTCACCATCTACTTTAGCCCCTTTTACCGAGCCTCCATTGACAGTCAAATTACAGTCTTGCCAAATGGTGACATTTTTGGCAGAGATCTGGCATCATAATAACAATGCTTGTGTTTGATACAGCACCATTAACATCAAAACATTTCATAGAGCTTCACAGGCAACTTCTGTCAAACATAGCGACCGTATATTTGCAAACAAACACAGTAGTCCTGGAGTCGTGGAGTCCTCTAGCTCAGTGGTTAGAGCACTCGCTTTGCAAGCGAAAGACCTGAGTTCAATTCCAGGCACAGGGCGAAACCTTGGGCAAGTTTCCTTACTCCACACGCCTAATAATAATCCCTCCAAAAACCAAAAACAATAATAAATTGGTCATTTTCAATCTTCGACGATTTGTGGGACATTGCTGTGCGCAATTGGCTGCCGCGTTCGCCCACAAATATACAGTCAATTCACTTTACAGTGTGTTCTGTGAAGCGCTTTGGGACGTCCTCCCGATGTGAAAAGCGCTATATCAAATGCAAGGATTATTATTATTATTATAGTCAATTTCTGCAAAGCAAGTCCTCACAAATGACTGTGAAGTGAACAATCAGTTTATTTTTCTGGTTGGCCGAGACACTGGGAGAAAACTCCCATCTCTTTTTGAATGCGTTCAGAACCTTAGCATCCACCTTGGTTTAAAGTCTCATCCAAAGGACATCTGTGACAATGCAAAGCTTCCCCCACTGGACTGTCAGCCTTGTCCCTGAAGAATAAATGACAGACTTTCTCCATCACAGATTAGTTGGTGCTCTGAATGACTGAAATCATATCATTTCTCTTATAGCCTTTCCTGAGGACCAATCCCATTGTTGAATTGTGTACAAATCCAACTGGCTGTTCACATCTGGATTGTGGCAAATATTTATAACAGTAAGAGGGAAAAGAATTGATCCTTAACGGGTGGGGGAAAGGCTGAGTGAAAGAAAATGTAAAATGCATCTCTCAATGTATGTAGGCTGCAAGTCCTGCTTATAATTTCACAGAGGACACACACACAGCTTTTATGGATCAGTGTGGTCAAGTGTATGCAGATCCTCTGATATTAGTTGCTCGTTGTTGAGCGATTCTGGCTTCCTGCTGCAATGATGCTCCAGACAGTTCAGGAATGTTTTAATATTGAAATAACTAGAGCTGGCAACAACACAATGCACCCTAATACTGAGGCAGTTGCAGGGCAGAAGAGAAGGATTACCTATCGGAAAATGAGCCCTTTCTTTTGGCCTGTCCACAGGGGGACAAGAGAGGTGATAGAGCCTCTCCAGCTACTGGCGCATTATTCAAACCTTGGACAAACTTAGGGCCTTGTAGCGAGCTGGGAGGACTGAGAGGAAATCAACTTACAACCTTATCTTTTCTTACCTAAGACATCAACGTTGTATTTGACCTCATTCTCGCCAGCGATGCTGGTTGCCACACACACATATCCTCCGGCTTCGGACAAGGCAATGCTCAGAATTTGTACCCGTCTGCCTCCCAGCAGCACACGCACGTTGTTGCTGTGTTCCACGGGCACTCCGTCCTTCAGCCAAGTGAGGGTCGGGGGTGGGTGACCCGAGGCATCACACTCCAACGTAACCGAGTTACCGATGATGACTTTCTTCTGCTGGGGAGTGTCCGAGGTCCCGTCGATATTGGGAGGAACTGGTAAAGGGGCACAAAGCGATGAGAACAAATATTGGTCACTATAAATCGGAAGTCGTATTTTTGTTAGAGGTATTGTCTCGTGGCAATTGTTAAAAAACATAAAAAATAATCCACAGTATCAACGAAATAATGATATATTGATCCTTCACATAGAGAAGTGTCCTACTGTCGAAACGTCTCAAAGCGCTTCACAGAATTTAATGTTGACTGTAGTGACTGCATATTTGTATGAGAACGAGACAGCCGATTTGGTAACAGCTATGTTCTACAAACAGCCATGAACTGAATGACCAATTTTATTTGGGGGAATTGTTGGCCAGGGTACCAGGAGAAACTCCCTGATTTAATGTCTCTTCTGAAGAGTGGCACCTCTGACAGTGCAGCGTTCTCCTCGCACAGTGCTGGAGTGTCAGCCTAGACTATGTGAGTTCAAAGACCAGGTATATAGATTGCTTTATTGCATTCGCAGAAATACTGGGAATGGAGGTGCAGGCATCCAATTCCAAGGTATTCAGTAAGCATTATCCATTACTAATGTCCCAGCTTCTTTGGGCATTTGGGGAGCGGACAAGGGCATCTGCTCTCCCAATCACATATTGGATGTAAGAGGTCTAAAGCTGACACTTTCACATACCTAGCGCTTCCACATAAGAGAACCTCTCTCAAGACCTTCCTCTTCAATGGTACCTTTGGTCATCTTCCCATCACCACCCCTGTTTGCCCTCCACCCATTTTGACTCAGCCCCCAGTTCGGAAAGACGCTATGTAAATTCAATTTATTGTTGTTGTTGAAAGTATCTCAGTGATTTACAGGGTCAGTGTGGATAGGAGATTGCAAGATAAGAAAGGGGTAGGGGAAGGTGACGGAGGATACAGTGAGATGGTTAGGTTTTGAAGAATTTTGAGCGGATTGAGAAGGTTGAAAGTGAAGGGATTTTGGAGATGTTGTTCCAGCACCAGGGCATGGCCTCCAGAAACTGTAATATCTAAATAAAGCAGAAAACCTGCCTAACGGTTCCACGGCACCCGACAGTCGAGGAACTTGCGACACTTACGATAAACGTCAAGGTTGTAAGGCTTTTCAGCCGTTCCAGCAACGCTGGTCACCCGGCAGGTGTATTTGCCTGCGTCGGATACTTGAGCCCGGGATATCTGGAGGAATTTCCCTCTTTCGATGTACGTGGCATGCGAGCTGGAGATGAGAGGTCGAGCATCTTTGTACCATGTCACGGCGGGCAGTGGAACCCCACGGGCCTCACATTCCAGGGCCACCGCGCTGTTCAACAGAACCGTCAGGTCAGTGGTGAGGTTGCCACCTTTAATACTGGGCGGAACTGGAGGAAAAATGACAGAGGAATGCTGTAAACGTAAAGATGACGATCCCTTACGTTCGCACAGCTCCTGCTTTTACTTACCATAGCTCCTCCCGCTCAAAAGAGACATCACAAAGCGCGTTGCAGAAATGAGCTTAATAAAATACTGATGACAACCCTTGCATTTGCTGTAACATTGTATTATGTCATTGAGACGTCTCAAAGCACTTCACGAGATACACTGCAAAATGGATTGACTGTATATTTTGTGGGCGAAACGCGGCAGCTAATTGTGCACAGCAACGTCCCACAAACAGTTGTGGATTGGGCGGCCAATTTTTTGTGAAGGGATTATTACCCAGAAATGAGCTTATTAAAAATTTAAGTGTTGAGAGAGTGAGGGAGTTGGGGCAGTTCATTTATGCCCAGCAAATTCCAACAAGTAACAACGAGGCAAGTGGTCAGCTAGAATTTTTGTGGGTAATTTCTCACAAGGAGGGAAACAAGGTCATGAAGAGTAGAGCACCACTTTACTTTGAAATCACAGGAAATGGGAGAGGAAGAGAGAGAGAGAAAGCGACGGGAGAGGGGGGGAGAGATCTCTTCATTGCTCTTAAAAGAGCGAGCACAGACACAATGGGCCAAATGGCCGCCTTCTATGCTGTAGATTTCTATGGTTCCATGGTTCCATATCCCGCTGAATTATAAGGCAGATGGGACCTAAATTAGTGACGCGATGAAAAAAAAGGGATGATTAAACAGGCATAAAATCAATCAACATACAAACAAGTCAGCCCTGGGTATAAACGGGCATGAAATACCACAGAACCTGAGCCTGGATGCCTAGCGCATGTTCTGTATCCATGAAGGGCTTGTCTTACCATAGACGTTGAGCTTAAACTCCTTGAATTGTTTTCCTGCAGCATTCACGGCGCTGCACTGGTAATGGCCCTGGTCGGCCAGACGGGCGCTCTTTATCTGCAGCGCCTGCCCACTGTCTGTCACCTCCACATTCGGGTTGCCCGAGAACAGGGGCCTGTAAGTGCACAACCATCAAAGTGTCACCGTGCGACTGAGTTCAGTGCAAAATAAAGAGAGTAAAGAAAGAGCAATGCAATACAGTTTTTATAGCGTCTTTCATGTCGGGAGAACATCTCAAAGTGCTTTACATAACTGCAAGGGCAGCTTTCTCGTACTCTTACTTCTATCTCTACTCGTAGATCGATCTTTTCCAGTTTGTCTTTGATTAGTACGTACCTGTTATCTTTGTACCATTGGATGTTGGGGAGGGGCACTCCTTTGACTTTACATTCCAGCATTATCTCCCGATTGAAAATGACTGAGATCTCGCTTGGGCTGCCAGCATTCGTTATACTCGGCGGGACTGAGGAAGGAAGGTAAGATGGTGGAGAAGAGTGAACGACATAGTTACATTGGGGTAGGGAGACTAAAATTCACTGCTAGGCTGCTACAGACTTTTACACCTTAAGCAAGATTTGTATTTGATGCAGCTTACATTTTATTATGTCTCAAAACGCTTTCCACTCACACCAAAACACACACATAGGTGTGCCCACCATCAGTTACTTCAAAGCATAATTTTAGGGAAACCTGGCAGCTAATTTGCAGCAGCAACATCGCAGTCAACATCTAGAGGAATGAATGATTTGACCCGTTTCATTTGATCTTTAACATCCACCTCAAGAGGCAAATAAATGCATGCTTTGTCTTACATCTGAGTTGAAGGCAGTACCTCCAACAATGCTGTACTAGACTGACAGACAGGCAGGAGTCTGACAGATGGTTAGATGGTTGTGGGTTCAAGATATATATATATATTTTTATCTTACAATCCAGGCCGACACTCCAATAAAATACTGGGGGAGCACCTCATTGTTGGAGATGCTGTCCTTCGGATGAGATGTTAAACTGAGGTCTTGTCTTCCTGTTGAGGTGGACATTAAAAATCCTAATGCAATATTTGAAAAGAGATGGGAGTTTTTCCCGGTGTTCTGGTCAACAATCCCCCAAATAAAATTGGTCACTCGCTTCATGGCTGTTTGTGGAAGAATTACTGTGTACAAATTGGCTGCTGCGTTCACCTACAAAATACACAGCTAACTCCCATCACAGTAAATGCTGTGAAGCATTCAACAACATAAGGTGCTACATCAAATACAAGGATTATTACTGTTAACATTTTGACCCAGAGATAAGAGTGCAACTGAGTCACACTGATGTCTTGTCTAAGCAACTAAAACCCCCCACAAGATTAGCAAAGAAACCACAGGTCCCTTTTATCAAAGTGTAACTAAGTGCGTAAAAGGAGATACTGTGTTCAAAAGATATAATATGCATCCGCTACTGAATGAGCACATGATTAGCTTGGTGATTAAACTCCAGCGGAATGGAAAAGGACATCGCCTTCGTACTCTAGGAATTTCTGTAAACCTGCTGCGAGTCCAACACCCTCTGCTGTAACTTTAAGGGGAATTCAATTTCTTTGAAATCACGATGTACAGCCAGGGCTCCAAAGTGACGCTGAGATTACTGATACTCATACTGAATGAACATTGGGAGATAAACCCATAGCTTAGGCCCTCGACTGAATTGTGCACAGTCTGCAGCTCTGTAGTACGCACAAGATCACAAGAGAGGTTTGGATGAAGAAAGCCTTTTGGACCAGTTGATATCATTCTTCCAGAACACGCAACCTACTGCCCTCTTATAAACAGCACCAAGCTGTTTTTTTTTAAATAAGTCCAGCACTCCTTGTCTCCTACAGGTCCGTCTCAAAACCCTCCACTTCAACCATGCCTCCGGTCACCCTCCTACCCCCACCCTTCCTGCCCTCCATCCCTCCTGATTCCCAAACTCCAGCTGGGGTCCAAATCTCTTTCATCCCCTCCCCCTCTTCCTTCCATCTTTCTCTCTCAATCCCCTTCTCCCCCCCTCTCTCTCCGCCCTCTCCCCCCATTTCTCCACCCCACTCTCTCTCCCCTTCCCTCCCCCTCTCTCACAATCAACTGCATGGGCCACTATCCGCAGCAGCAGGAGCCGGTGGTTGCTAAGGATGCGGTGGATAAGGAGACGCTTTTGCTTTCCCCTCAGGTCAGGTACACATTGCAGTAACGGCTGGTATTATTTCCACTCTGCGCTATGGCCCCCAACCGCCGGTTCCTGCCACTGCCATGGGAGGACGTTTGCCAGGGAGGGAGGGAGGGAGCAGAACCTGGAATGTTGGAAATGGTCTCGGGCTGGATAAATCACCCACCTGTCGACTTATTGTTTTGAAAAAGCACAGGGGGTCCACAACAATATGATGTGTAAAACAACTGTGAAATGAAACGTGCATTAAACGTTAAATCAAACATTACATGTTCGAAAACAAGTGCTTTAAAGAAATGCGGAACAACGCTTCGGTAAGTGGTTGTTTGATAACTTAGTAATCAAACTAACACTAACTGTAGTTTAAATCGAATCTACTCACCCAGCACTTCCACATTGAAGCTCTTCTCTGCTGTTCCAGCGATGTTAATTGCTCTGCACAAGTATCTCCCTGTGTCTCCTGTAGACGCCTTCAGCAATCGCAGCATTTTCCCCTCATTTAACAGCTGTATGATATTGCTGCCACTAATCTAGAGGATACATTGCAGTAGAAGGCTTAATTATTGCACGAGTGGGTGTGGAAGGGCGAGGTAATGAGGGTTCAACTATCACTGACATTACTACTGTCTCACAAAGGAATATCTTAAGGCACAAGTTACATTGAAGTGTTTGAGAGATTTTATGTTACTTGAAGTGGCGCCTGATTTGAGCATTTGAAAGGGAATTGGATAAATACCTAAGGATAGAGAGCATACCAATAGATTTGAGGAGACGGCTTGAATGCTGGTGCTAGCTCAGTTAAAGGGCAATTTCAGGACAGACACCAGAAAGATTTTCTTTACCCAGGGGGTAATCAGGAACAGGTCGCAAGGAAGGATGGTTTCAGCTCGTACTTGGGATGCATTTAAAAAGCATCTTGATACTGTAATTAGAACACTCTTCCTCAATCCCTCCATCTTGCCCCCTCTCCCCTTTATTGTCCCCCCAAAAACCTTCCTCTTTGACCATGCTTACGGTCACCTCCACTCCCTCACCACCCCCACCTCCCAGCTCAGAATCAAGCTCCACCACTGTTAAGCGTTCTGAGATGCTACTCTATCTGAAGGGTGCTATATAAGTGTAAGCTATTGTTGTTGACAGTAGGGTGGGTGTTCTGGAGGGATGGGATTGGATGGGCTAAAGGGCCTTCTTCATCCAAACTGATCTTGTGACTGGAGCTATCTACCTGAATCCCAATTCCCTGCTCTTTGTCCAGACCATTATATATTCCTCTTCAAATACTTATCCAATTCCCTTTTGAACAAGAGCACTGCAGAAACGCTGAACAAGCTCACAGTCCATTACTCTTTTAAAGACAGGAAAAGATGGCAGTACATACAGGCTTTCTATCTTTATACCAGGTGATGATGGGAGCGGGGTTTCCTGACACGTCACAGTAGAGGTTGATGGGCTGATTCACAACCACAGACCTGTTGACTGGCTTCTCATTGTCCCTGATTTCAGGAGGAACTGAGAGAGGAAAAGAAGGACCGTGTTAACTATATGATGCCTTGCACCTTGTATTGCCACCAAACAGAAGTATAAAAAGAACTGCGGAAAGCCAGCCATCAGATTAAGATTGAATTGAATGATTTTCTAAAGCTCTTAACAATCCTAAATTCGAAGGTTAAGTCATGAGAAATTTCAGCTCGTTGGACTATTCATTTGTATTGCATTAGTTCCAGGGTTTCTCATACAGCGACATACGTACCGTGTACCTTAAGCTGGTACTTTCTCTCGGTGGTTCCAGCTTCATTCATTGCCACACAGACGTACTCTCCATTGTCGTACGGTGAAACGGCATCGATGAGTAAAGTCCCATCGTCCAAAAAGGAGACGCCTGGCTCATTGCCAGTCAGCTCTCTCCCATTACGCAACCACTTAATGATTGGTTTCGGGATACCTAGCAACAGAGGATTATAACGTGCATGAAAAAACAAACTTCAAAAAGCCTCAGATACAAGCAGAATTACAGCACGGCAAATCACCAATTTAAAAGGGACTTGTGTGGTTATTGCACGATGGTCTATAGGAGAGAATGTTAATTATGCCTTCCAACATCCAAACTTATACGCAGAAGGGAAAGGAGCACTGATTACATTTTTGTACATTGAATTTACCCCCCACAAAAAATATAATCACAACTACACTCGACAATAATTACTGTAACATCAAAATGCGTTTTGCATTTATATAGTGCCTTTCACGTTAGGATGACATCCTAAGGCACTGTAAAGCACGTTGACACATTCCAAAGGAGCTATAAAAATGCAAGCTCTGACCCTGTGGGTCAAGACCCTGATGGGTAGTTGATCTTAACTGGACAAGCAAGCCAGTGTTCATGAGATGCATGATTATAGATATTTAAACTCCAGCACTATCCCCCAGTGGCACACTCTAGGATCCTCAAGCAATAGTTCTGCCCCTAAACTGTCTGGGATTAGGTCAACAGGATGTGTCCCTCTGTGGGTAGAGAGTGTGCATTCCATCCCAATCAAAGAGAAATCATACATGTGTGGAACTAACAGATATTTGTGAAAATATTCTAGCTGAGGCAACTCGTCTAATTCATGTGCATGAAGTGTCTTAGCCTCGGTCAGCAAGGAAAATACTGGGCAATAGATAGTCAGCTCAAGAGAACAAGCAGGACATAGCACTCAGAGAATAAGTATGCAAAGAGTAGGTCTCCTGACTTCCTTAAATCAGCAAGGGAGGGTAATATTGACCAAATGTAAATATTTTTGTAATATAAGAACAACAAAATTACATTTGTAAAGACCCTTTCATGTCGGGAAAATGTCTCAAGGCGCTGGACAGACAGAGGTACGGACCCGAGCTAGGGGTCAGGGTGGAGGAGCGTGGAGGGCAGGGGGGGGAAGCAGGGAGATCGAAAGCACGGTCGAAGAGGAGGGTCTTGAGACGGGTCTTGAAAGTGCCATGGGAGTGGCAAGGCAGAGGGAGTAGGGAATGGAGTTCCAGATGGTGGGGGCAGAGTGGCGGAAGGCCCGCCCGCCAATGGTGGGGCAAGCGAGGCGGAGGATGTGAAGCAGGCTGGAGCCCATTGAGCGGAGGGAGTGAACAGGATGTAGGGGCTAAGGAGGTCGCAGAGGTAGAGGGGAGGAAGCAAGACCGTGGAGGGCTTTGAAGGTGAGGACCAGGATCTTCAACTGTAACAGTCAATTCACTTTACAGTCTATTCTGTGAAGCGCTTTGAAATGTCGAGAAGATGTGAAAAGCGCTATATCAAATGCAAGGATTATTATTATTCATCCTCTGTGTGATGGGAAACCTGTGGAGTTGGGCAAGGATGGGGGTGATAGGATCGCGGAGCCTAATGCGGGAGAGGAAATGGGTTGCAGAGTTCTGGATGATATAAACCACAAAATATACAATATATTTTGTCCATTTTACAATATATTCTGTATCAACGATCAACGTTGTGATGAGGCGCTATATCAAATACAAGGTTTTTTTTATTATTATAAATGGAAATGAAACCATAGCTGTACAGAACACCACATATCCAGCCAAGGCCTCCCAACCCATTAGGTCTTTGGACACCCCAGCAAGACTAACTCTTGAGCAAGACAGACCGATCAACAAAGCCTTGGATTAGTGCAGACCTGTATCACTTCATCAGGCAGGCAAATTTCCTGTGAACCAGTTCAACTCCTGAAGGACCCAGTTTTCCTCTCCCCCACCCCCAACTCCCTCCCACGCACACAAAAGGAGCATCCATTTTAGACATGGTTTAGTATGCGTTAACCTCGAAAGGCTGAAATTTTGTTTTTGAAATCCTGAATCTACCTTTTGTGGATTCCCTTCCAAAGAGATCTCATAATTGTCAGGGTGGTGATCTGCAGCTCATTATAGATCAAATCACCTGTTCATTATTTGGCAAAAAACAATCTCCGGAAAGTTGAGGTTGTGAGCCAAATCTTAAAAATGCTTAATTTCCTCCACATATAAAACATACACTAACAGCCTTGAGTTCATGTGCTCTTTCCCCCCACTGGTACTGAGGCAGCTTCTCAACAACAGATGTGGAAAAACATCTGTTGAAGATAACCCAGCTAAGTCATTGTTTTCCTTTCTTTGAATTGTTCTGAGTTTGGAGCCAAATGACGGGAGTAAGTTTGGGAACCTTTGCTGGAATCTATTAAAAGTTCTTGGTGACACTACATAGCGTTGTTAATCCTGAACTCATCAGGTCAATCTGAACCACACTTCCTTTAGAAAACCAAAGACTTGAATCTTAGCCTTATTGTGCAGTACAGTGCAATTCAAAGCTACAGATCAGCTATTTACCAACATTCCGAACGTTAGAACCAGAGAAATTTTTACAACCCATCAGGAGGCCATTTGGCCTTTTGAAACAATGCAATGCAATGATGGAATGCAATGTAATGTAGTTTTGGAACTTACTCCCAGCCACCTGATCTAGATTTATGGTGAACAACATGTGCCAAGTTAAAATGCAGAATAACTGCAAACACCATCTCCCAGGATAAAATATGAGAATGTAGCAAACACACAAATCCATTGTCAATGGCTATATGACTAATAAGACAGTCTGCCTATACCACAGAGTCTATCATGAAATGTACCATACCTTACCGCTGAGTGTATAACAAAAAATGCTGTGTGTGTGTGGTGTGTGTGTGTGTATAAATCAACAACAGCATTTATCATATATTGCGCTTCACGCAGGATAGCAACTCGGAGCACTTAATCCCACTTCCCAGGAAAAAGATACAATATTATGGTTGTATGGGCAATAAATGGCAGTATAAGGCATACAGCATCGTGTGTGCTACCTTGTACTCTTACCTTTGGCTGGGCAGGGGAAGGCAATGCGTTGGTTTGCTACTCTCTCTTGGAATGGGGTGTTGTACGGAGGACCTGGGTCTTCAACTGAGGGAGGTTCTGTGAATACAGTGAAGAGAATATTTCAATTAAAGGCACAAATCCTGATTTTAGTCGGCTTTGGCTGAGGTTTTGATCGGAGACACTGTTAATGTATAATGCCTCAAGGGCAGGATAAAAATGCCATCAAAGGGGGGATTTAATGGAAACCTAGTCAGTCACTTGCGGGTTGTTCATGCTATATGTTCACTGGCATTCTTCCACATGTTTCAGATGTTGCTCAGTGCACTGTTGGGGTGGGGGTGGAGGAGGAAGCAAGGAGGTAACAGGACGTTGTGAACACCCTGTACATTCCAAGCTGTGCTTCTAGCGATACTCACGGTGAATCTGCAAGGTTGTCGCGGCTTCATCCCGACCAGCAGCATTGATAGCGACACATCGATAGACGCCAGCATCAGAGAGTTGGACCTCCTTCACGATCAGCGTTCCCTCGGTCCCCAGGGTGAAGCGCGTACCACGGGCATCCAGGACGATGCTTCGGTCTTTATACCAGGTTACCGTGGGGGTGGGTAATCCATGGGCATTACAGGGAATGTCGACCCTGTGACCGACTTGGACTTTCATAACACGGGGGCCCGGCTGAATCTTTGGAGGAACTGAAGAACAGCAAAAAAAGCAAGTGAAGTGCTTCACTCTCATGTATACAAGGGAAATAAGGTTTGCTCTTGTACTGTCTAGTTGTGAAAGAAAGAGAGACGGATTGAGATTCAATCACAAACTGTCTGGCAAGCTTTCCCTGTGCTTCTCCAGCTAAGACCACCCTACCCATCAGGGTACAGTTAACAGAAGCTGAATGGGTGATTCCCTGCCTCCAATGGCTGGTCTGCCCTTCCAAGCCCTGCCAATGAACCAAGCTGGCTTTGCTTCATTTAGTTCTTCACTGGACATAGTTTTGCCAACCAAGATCAAAGTTTTCACTGATTATATTTGAATGGCTTACATTTTGCACTGTTATAACTTCAATCAAAATTACACACAGTCCTAGTCTTGTCCTGTGTTGTGGTGGCAGTACAGCCTTTGGCTCAAGAGATTAAATGGGTGAGGTGGAATCCTCGATCAGGTAGGTGTTGTGTGGTGTGCTACAGGGATTTTCTTGACAGGGTAAACGGCAATCAAAAGCTACTGATCAAGGACTCAGCCAGGGCTTTGGCATTATTGATGCCTGGCCGACTTTACAGTCAGCAAATGAAGAGCCCACAGGAAAGCACTGCCTGCAACTGACAGGAAAAACTTGTGCTGAGAAAGGTCACTTTAATATGGACCTGCGGACACATACCAAACAACAAAAACAACTTGGGATAAAGGCACGGGGCTCCAGAAGTTGGAGGCGTGATGCTGCAAGGCTTTACCCTGAGTGAAGGGCGCTATATAAATGCAAATTGTTATTATGTTGTAGTAATGACTTAAGGCTTGGTCACTGATGGTAGCACAGGGAGGTTGGCATCAGGCCTGTGTGGAGTCCAGCAATGCTGGAGTGAGGGAAGGAAATGTACGGGTGATTGGGCTGCACACAGGACATGGTACAAAAACTACAAGCGAAATTTGTAACACAGTCAGCGGGAATTAACTAAAAGCACGTCTGTACAGCAGTGGTAGTAAAGCTACCAGGGCACCCAGTCCTGTTTGTCTTGCTACACTATCCACCATGTTGAAATGTCCCAAAACATCATGTGGAATAAATATTAAAGGTCTATAAAGCAAACACCACAGGCAACCTCTGTAAATAGTTTCTCTTGTTAATTGACTGTCTTTTTGCCTGTAAAGTGTTTCAATGGGTACACAATGTACTATTTAAGCGATTTTATAGACATAACCTCCCCATAGCATTCCTCCCCCTCCCATCCCCTTCTCAAAATCTGCTCCAATCAATGTAAGATGTGCTCAGTGTAAGATGTGTACTTCAGATAAATATCTGGGGGTTACAGTAGAAATTCTCCACAATTTAAATTATACAAATAAATGAATGCTTCTGGCCACTAGCGGACCAAAGAAGGTTTATAAACCAGGCACCGTGATTCATTCTGTAGCAGAAGGTTTAGGTTTACTTTTACAAGAAAGCAAGACACAGTCTTGTGGAACCGTATCATGAGTTTGGAATGTAATGCCACTCAGTTGCCAGTGTTATGACTTGCATAGTAATCCTTATTTAATGAACATTTGCAAGGTGGCTGCACACTTGTATGGTTCCACAAGTTCCATGAGTGTCACTCCACAAGTGTGTGGCATCCCACAGATGTGTATTGCATGAGTGTCAGATGTCACATATTTACACTGTACACACCTAAGATACAGACATTTAATAGTCACTACACTTGACATCAATTCTTGTGAATGAAACTTTACTGCTGCTTTACCAAAGATTGCATAATTATTTCCAGTTTAATAATTTACTTTCAAAGATCTGCTAATCTTTTCAACAAACATTTTTTTTCCTTTAGTGTATGTGTAAAAGCCATTGTAATAGCTGTGGAGCCCAATGTGAGAGCCTCATTGACATCCCATTAAAGCATTGCTAACAACTCTGGAGAAGGGGGTGTCTTTGACATGTAAAGAAAGCTTCTGACACTCTCCATTGTACTTTTCCTGGCCTACAACCCCCCATAAAACTGGTCACTTCATGGCATGTTTGGCAGAACATTGTTGTGTGCAAATTGGCAGCTGCGTTTGCCTGCAAAAATTCTCTCATTGTTTTCCACAGTAAATTCTGTGAAGTGTTTTCAGATAACTCCTTGACGTGATAAGGCACGTGATAAGGCACAAATGCAAGGATAATTATTTACAACAACAACAAAATTACATTTATAGAGCGCCTTTCACGTTGGGAGGATGTCCCAAGGCGCTGAACAGTCAGGTGTCGGGGCCTGAGCATGGGGGAGGGGTGGTGTAGGGGTGAGGGAAGGCAGAGAGGTGGGAGGGAGACCAAAGGCACAATGGAAAAGAAGAGTCTTGAGACCGGCCCTGAAGGAGGCAAGGGGCGAAGCGAGGCGAAGGGACCGTGGGATGGAGTTCCAGAGTGTGGGAGCAGAGAGGCTGAAAGCCCGGCCACCCATGGTAGGGCGGGTCGGGTGGGAGACATGGAGCAGAACGGAGGGAGCGGGCAGGTTGGTTGGAAGTCAGCAGGTCAGAGGGGTAGGAGGGGGCAAGGCCACAGTAGCCTTGAAAGTGAGGACGAGGATCTTGAACTCGATCCTCTGGGGGATTTATTATATAATGTAAATGAAAACATACCATGGATACTCAGTATAACAGACTGGGTGATGTTCCCAGCAATGTTTGTGGCAACACAGCGATATATCCCACCGTCAGACAGTTGGGTTTTCAGGATTTTCATTGACCCTGATGAGAGCTGAGTGTGTCTGGAATACAGAATAACAATTTAAATAAAGCTTCAGTAAAAAGACCAACTTAAAAAATATCCACCCTCTCAAAATATACGGTAACATCCATAGACTGATCCCAGATTTTGTTGAATGAACATTAAGAATACAAACAACTGCTAAATACAATGAACTAAGTATGGAGAATCTAGCTCATGAAAACCAGACTCAATGGCTATTGTAAAATATGTTATAAAATAAATATAAAATACACTGTCAATCCCCTTTACAATATATTCTGTGAAGCACTTTGAGTCGTCTCAACGACATGATAAGGTGCTATATCAAATGCGAGATTACTATTGAAAGGTTCTTCAATGGTCAAGTTTTGACAGCTGTTAGCTGGGCGGCCGGACTTTCCTGCATCTGCAGTATCTGACGGGATGGGTATCAGTTACAGTTCTGTGCCACAGGCTGAGCGGAACACAGCTGTAAAGGAAACTGGAATGGTTTATGGCCCAGGCTGGAGGGGTGAGTGACGACAGTCAAATTTCAAAGATCACCTCCGTTGAAAAGAGAACCTTTTGGTGCCAAATTTTAGACACTTTTGCAGCGTGTACCCACATCCAGAATCCAGGCCTGAACTGGACTGAAGGACTCACTCATTTCCATTTCCTTACAACCATCACAGAGAAGACCTATCTTTCATTTGCAGAGGAACTGTGTCTCGGTCCTAGATGAGGAAGGATCGTTCATAGAACACATGGGACCATGGTGCAATAAGGTGCTGTTTCTCAGTGTGTTTGGTCTGAAGAAACAATGTTAAAGTCTAGGGAAAATATTCCAATAGTGCCATGTCCAGCATTAGTGATAAATCCACAGCAAGGGACTTTTGTTTTGAATGAATTGTCCCACTCTGTTTGAAGCAAATAGCATCAATGTACTTCAGAGAAAACTTGATGCAAACATGAGAAAGACAGGAAAAGACGAATGAGTATAGGTGAAGGGAATTAGGAGGGTTAGGGGCTCATGTAGAGTATAAACAGCGGCACAGTTGGCCAAATGGCCTGTTTCCGTGCCATGTCACTCAATGTAACTGTCTGTGCGTTTCTGTGTAACTGTACTCAACTCTGTGCAGCTCTATATTGTGCCACACTGTGTCCTACTGGTGCAGTCAGAGCCTGTAACCGTAGCGCAAGTTGCTAGTTGAAAAGGATAAGGATTACCTTGGTGAGTAAGGAGAAATGAGCTGTCTGTTTTTGGCCCAGGTGATGATGGGAGGAGGAAAGCTCTGCACTTCACAGGGCAGTGTGGCATCATGCCCTGCCACCACCGAGATCTCCCTCGGACTCTCTCCACTTCTCGAGCCAGCACTAACTCTTGGTTTGACTAGAATTGACAAATGGGTTGCAAAAACTTCTGTAAGACACTAGATACATGTATCTATTTCGAGCATTCCATCAGGAAAATGCCCTTTGCTCTTATCTCTCAGTCGTTAGAAATGGAAATAGTCCTGATCCAAACACAAATATATCAGTTCAATTTACATTTAAAAAAACGTACATCACATTCAGAAGAAAGGCACTGAATAGACTTCAAAATTTCTGTTTCCTTTTGTCATTTACCAATTGCTACTGGTATTTGTACTGCACTAGTTATTGGTTATTCAGGGTAATAGTCGTCTAATATTGACAGAACATGGATTTCAAACACACTTGTAGTTGGGTTGTGTGATTTCACAAGATTGGATGAAGAGTGTCCTTCAGCTCATCCGATCTCATCTTTCCAGATCATCTACCCTACTGTCCCTCCACCAAACTGCTTTTGAAATGAGTGCAGTGTCACGGCCTCAACCACCCTTTTAGCAATTTGTTCCAGTTGTTCATCCCCCGCTGTGTATAGAAAAACTTCCTGGTATCTGTCCTGAAACAACAGACCCCACTAGAAAGAGTTCCTTTTTAATTTTTTTGCAGTAATCCCAGTTGCAGTGTATTTCTGGATCAGAAGTACCTTTTGCACAAGCTAGTCATAACTTTATGAGCATTCTTGGGGCCACTAACACCAATACATCTTCAAAATAACTAGACAATACTCTTTACCTTTTGAAATCAACAGGATTATAGCATCTTCACCATTTTTTAGCAAAACAAAAGTCTCACTGATAACTTGCAAACAATAAACCATTTTACAGATGGTTTAATGAGAGCGATCTTGTACCCAGTCTTTAATATGGGGAATCCCATAAGAAAAACGTAATGAAAAGTTTAGCATGTTGTTGCTATTTGTAGTGAATGTGGAAAGTTACCTCTAATACCACCTAGCACAAAACAAAATAAAACTGTAAGAAAGTTTAAAAAGAGCTCCACTATGAGATTCAGTTTACAAAGCAGTGCATTCAATGCAGTACAGGAAACAGCTCAGTGCAGTTCAGCACTTCTGATCTGAGGAGTTTGGTCTGCTCTCACGAAGAGGAAGCAGAGATATTCACTTGAACCCTTGATCACCAGGCTCAAGCCAGACTTGCCCTGCCGGTCTGCATTGTCCTTTGACAATTTGGGGCCTAGAAGAGCTTGGGGGGAATTGGGGGTTGTCTATGTGAATAACCCTCATTCCCTAAGTGGAACATTTTGATCCAATTCAGCTAATGGAGGTGAGCAGGCCTAACCTTGCTCACCAATAAAATAAACTCAGTGCAGTAGAGGAAACAGCTCAGTGAGGGACAGGGATAAGCTCAGACCAGTACAGGGCTAATGTCAATACCGTAAACCGTCAGTTGAACCTTGCGAGAAGCGTAGCCTGCAGCGTTGGTGGCCGTGCACACAAACTCCCCCGTCTGCTCGCCAGTCGGGGAAAATATCAATAAGCTTCCGTCCGAGCCAGTCTTGAATTTCTGATTGTCTTCGGTAATAACTTCACTGTTCTGTGTGTTAGTTGTAAAATAAAATTAAATAATTTCTTTGTTTTCAAGCTACTTTTCAACAATGCAAAGTATCCCCGATAATGATAATAATAAAATTATTACTTGCATTTATTTAGCGCCTTTCGGGATTCTCAAAGCGCTTTACAAAATACAATTGATTTGGAATGAAGTGAAGGTTGTTGCAATATCTGCAGAGATAACTTTCTGGTTGTTATTTGATTTTTAAAGAGAGATATTCTAGAAAGTAACACAATAATATTTCGTATGAAAATATGTTGCATTTGAAATTCCTGTTGTTTACTTTGTCAGGATTGTGAAGTACAGGCTAGATCCTGTACTGCCCCGATCACATCAATGCTGAACAGTGTGTGTAAATACAGCTGCTGAGTCTACATGCTGAGAACCGTCATTACTATCTAAAGGTGACCATTATTACAGGTTAGGCAGTATTATATTGAGTCAGTAGTAGGTAAATCGAGCTCTTCTCTTCTTTAAATCCAAATGACTAACCGATCTGGCATGTTCAGATGTCTATTGGAATGACATTACAACCAGACTGTATCTGTGTTATTTCTATGAGACTCAAGCTAGCTGCCTCTGTAAGTAGCACAACAAATTGTAAGAAGGTGGGTGCTATTTTGAGGCATGATTTATTATGGACTTAAAACAAAGAACAGCAAATAAGATTACAGTGAATTGTTTTTGATAATTTTCTCTGCTCCCTCCTGAAGATCAGTCATGCTTTTTTTCAGCCAGATGTCTGATACATGCAGAAACCCATTGCCATGTTTAATAGTATTCAAACTAGACAGATCCTTGCATGCCACCTACACATGGAAATTCCTGTGTGTGAAATGGAATGTGCACTCTCTCCCCGGAGGAACACACGATACTTGTCTAATTCAAGCGGGTATCAGGTACATGTTGACAAGAGCCCAGGCTTGTGCACCCCACAGTGTGCGTTAAAGATACTGCTGGAGTTTTACCACCTAAAAACACAACTTGTCGTTGAAGACATGACTTCCTACTCTTTGTCCAGGTGGGACAAACCTACCTGTTAGGGCTTTAGCTTGCAGGGTTAGCGGGAGCTGAGTGGGAAAAATCCCTCTTTCCCCCCGATAAGTCTGCCCCTCTAAATCCTGCTGATGAGCCAGGCTGGCTGGTCTGTTCCCTGGAGTACTGTGGACCTGTCTGGCTCAGGAACTGGATTACTGAGATCGCCACAGAGTCTTGATTCAATTGCGACATTTCATTGCCAGGCATGTTCACCTTGGAGCCAATTCAGCTATAAGGAGATTCTGCTTCCCCCCCCGCCCCCTGCCCCCACACACAGGATATTCAAGATAAGTCATTTGGTTCTGTGGCAGCTAAATTACTTATCTTGACTATCCTGTGAAGTCCTCTGGCAACCTCACTCAAACCGAATTGTTTCAATATCACACCAGGGAGAATAGGGGGCAGGTGAGGAATGACCCTGATTTATTCATGTATCTAATGAACCTTGGAAACAGCTCAGACACGAGGAAATCACTTTGCTCCTAGGGGCGATATCAAAGCAAGTATTATTATTAAATATTGCTGAGAGTGGTGGATAAAGGAAGTCGTGGGTTCAAATACCTTGGACCAGGTGATTGAAGGCTTGGGAGTACCATGTGCTTTACAAGGTAGTGTGACTCGGACTCCCTCAATGGTACTGAATATTTGAGGTCCATGTTGGATGGTGGGGAGAACTGAAACACAAAATAAATATTAAACATTGTGAGTTAGTTAAGGGTTAATTGGAATAGGGTGAATATTTAGGTTCATGGAGAGCGGTCACAGGTGTTCAGAGTCTGTTGAATTTGTTAGATTGAGATATCAATCTGGTTATCTCACGTAAGGTGTAAAAATGTTGGTAAGGGCTTTCGGTTTATGGCTTTTTTGTTAGATTTTGTGAGTTAACAGGTTTTATGTTGGAGTCTTTTAGTCTGAACATAGTTGAGTTAACGAGTTTAGGTTTTCGAACTGTAAAAGCATCAAGGATTGATTGAAGGAGTCAATCTTAGTCAATTTGGAGTTGAGTTTGTCAAAGTACGGAGAACTGATTGGGTAAAAAAATCACATGGGCATATTTGAGGTATAAGAGAGAGGAAGTGAAGTTATATGACAGTTGAGTTTTGGAGTTTTAACTAATATTTGACTTTAATATCACTAATTATAAAAACTCTGAATCTCAGGAACTTAGAAGAGATGTGAATTTGGGGTAAGGTTACTCTATTTGTTTACCCCTGGTGGTCCAAGTGTTGAGGCTCAGTGGTTAGATATCTTATAAAGTATAGGATTATGCCTTGTTAAAGTTATATTAATATAATATTATCAGAGTATTATATAAGAATTGTTTTTGTTATTTTTGGGTCAAATGCTCCGAATGCGGGAATATATATATATATATTGAAGTATATGGGTTTGAATAAATAAGAAATATTTTATTAAAAGCCAAGTGCTGGGTGTATTTTGTGAGACTGCTCTGACTGGGCACGTACCCTAATAGTAATTAGAGAAGGATCGCTCTTTTCAGAGTGCACCTGGAAGGAGCATACAATTCTCATCCAGACATAAGATACCATGACAATATGAATTTTTATTAATAACATTAATTTATTATAATAATGATAATACTTGCATTTGATATCGTGCATTATCACACTGTTAAGATATCTCAAAGCGCTTCACCGGAAAGCATAATGACTATATATTCTGTACGCAAAATGTGTAAAGTGTATGCGTACCTATATGTACTGTGCATGTATATGTACACTATATGTGTGTGGGTCAATGTGTACAGGGTGTCTGTGTATGTTTATATGTACTGTGTGTGGAGTCCTGTAGCTCAGTGGTTAGAGCACTCGCTTTGCAAGTGAGAGACTTGAGTTCAATTCCAGGCAAAGGGTGAAACCTTGGGCAAGTTTCCTTACTCCACACGCTTAATAATAATCCCTCCAAAAAATAAGACAATAATAAATTGGTCATTTTCAATCTACGACTGTTTGTGGGACACTGCTGTGCGCAATTGGCTGCCGCATTCGCCCACAAATATACAGTCAATTCACTTTATAGTGTGTTCTGTGAAGCGCTTTGGGACGTCCTCCTGACATGAAAAGTGCTATATCAAATGCAACGATTATTATTATTATTATTATTTATATGCATAGTGTGTTTGTGTGTGTATCTATATCTGCAGTGTGTATGTCTATATTCAATATGTGTGTGCATCCACATCTACAGTGTTTGCGCGTGTCTATATCCACAGTGTGTATACATATCTATAGTATGTGTGTCTAAATGTATAGTTTGTGTGTGTATATATATCTACAGTGTATGCGTGTGTCTATATCCAGTGTGTGTGTATCTACATCTATAGCATGTATATCTATAGTATGTGTATCAGGGTGAAGAAGATGGGATATTCCATGATGGTGGCAGCTTCTTTGAGTTTGCAAAAACATTGACTTTCTATTGAAAAGTTTCTTGTGCTTGTGGTTCAGAAGCTGAGTTTGAAGCTTCAGTGGTTTGGGAAGCTCTGGACTTGCTGGGAAAATTACTGGAGGAGTTTTCCTGGAATATCCATTAAACAAAAATTTCCCTTTTCAAAGTAAAAGGCAGTACCTCAGAGACACACACTGACAACAGAAAGCAAATTATGTCTCATCGCTGGAGAACCACAGCTGGATTTTTGTCCCAAAGTAAAAACATTAATAAAGTTCCAATATGTTTATTCAGGAAATGAGGTGAATGATACAGACCATGTGGTTTAATAAATGACTGCCTTGCTTGCTTCTCTCTGTGCCTTCAGAATTGTCTTGAAAACTGCTCTATTTGACCGTGCCTTTGGTCAATACCATTACATTCCTCTGCCTCTCCTTCCTGCTTAATTCTACCCATTGTCTTTCTAAAGTGCTTTTGAGGTGGTCATTCACTCTACATGAAAAGCCCCTTTACATAGGTGCATGGTGTTGCTGTTGTGGTCGAAGGTATTTACAGTGCATTACCTACCAGCTACTTTGGTATTACTTACCAAAGATGTTCACAGTGGTCATCCTTTTGCTGGTCCCCGCCACATTACTGGCGACACACGTGTACTTGCCCCCATCGTGCAGCCGGACCCTCTCAATGTGGAGACTTTTGTCCCGGCGCACAGTCACGTAACCGTCCGACAACACCTGGGTGAGCAAACAAACAAAATCAGGGGCTTGTGATGCTTAAATGCTCGGTTTGGGGGTAGGGGTGGGGAGGCAGAGAAAAAGTGATTGTAGAGAAAAGGCAGGAGACAGCAGGACTGGTGGGGAAAGAGAGGAGAGGGGGACTAGTGGATCAGGACTGAAGAAAATGCTCTTTCAAGGAGTCAGCGTAGATAAGCCGAATGACTTTCTTCAATGCTGAAATATTCTGTGAATCTGCAACAGAGCTATCTATAACTGTTTCCCTCTTTGCCCCCTCCCCCACCACACCCCCCCAACTCCCCCCGTGCCCCCAACACACACACACACACTTAGCCCCAGTGATTTTCTCTCCTCACCAGCAAAGAATTTTTCGTCCACCGCCGTTCCGCGAGAGGATTCCCAGCCAGTAGCAAACAGGGCAAAGTCAAGGGCTGCCCCTCAATGACGTTGACAACCGCCGGGCTGATCCCAATCAGCGGCGTAACTGTGCAAAGGCAGAAGGGTTGAGGTTAAGCGAGGGGAATGGATACTTCACTCTAGGTGTTGAGCGAGAACAGGAGGAAATCCTGAAAAGAAGAATTCCTGTTGATCAAACGGTTTAGTTCACACCATTGTATACACCATCTCTTGTGTATAGACGTCACAAGAGATGTTCAGCTGAAGAAGTCCCTTTGGCCAATTTGATCTCATCCTATTTTGTTTCAGATAACTAGGACAACTAGGAACATAGGAAGAGAAGTAGGCCATTTAGCCCCTTGAGCCTGTTCTGCCATTCTAGTAGATCATGGTTGATCTGTACCTCAATTCCAATTAACCACCTCTGTCCCATATACCTTGATACTCTTACCTAACAAAAATCTATCCAACTCAGTCTTAAAAATTGGAATAGATGAAGCATCCACAGCCTTTTGGAAGAAAGAGTTTCTCTAACTTAGTCTCTCGAGAGATTTGTGTCTGACACATGCTGAAATCCGTTCCCGTGCTTAAGAGTATCCAAGCCAGGCAGCCTCCTACATATATAAGCCGCCTACACATGGGAATTTCCCTGTGTCTGGAATGGAATACAGACTCTCCCTGGGGGAAGAGATGATTCATAGACAGGCTGCACTCACTGAAATTCACATCTAAAAGAAACCCTGGAATTGTGCATTAGTCTTTAGGATTGCATTTTATATCTAAGAAAATGTCATGACAAAAAGCACAGTCATTACACTTTATAATAAATCCTGTGAAGCGCTTTGAGACGTCCTGACGTGAAAGGCGCTGTATCAGTTGGAAGTATTATTATTGTATCTTTATAAAGGATCGAACTGTGAATGAAACTTGTATAAAAGAGAACTATGTGAAAACGCACGACAACTCGAGATGACACAATACAATTTACACTTGCAGGAGCCTCTCATGTCAGGAAGACGTCTCAAAGCGCTGCTGGCTGGATACCCAAAGTGTGTGTGTGGGGGGGGGGGGGGGGCGGGGGGCGGAGGATAGGGCTGAAGAGGATGGTGGTGGGGAGAAGAGGAAAAGATGACCGAAAGCGCAGTCAAAAGGTGGGGTGGCGGTAACGCCTTGAGGCGGACAAACAACAAGATTAGAAAGACTTTTTGACAACTAGAACTTTTCCGACTAATTATAACTAGATCGCAGTCTGCTCCTCCCTATCAAGGAGCAAGCAGCATGTGCTGGAGTCTCCTCTTTCACTCCAGCTTCTCCCTCCGGGGCCTGGGTTTGCTGGCTGGCCCGCTCTCGCCAGAACTAACACTGGGAGTTGAGAACGGCTCACATCAGCAGTAATTGCATGTGAGCGTCTTGTTCCTCTGCAGCGCCGACTCACTCGGCCACTGGGGATCCCAGCTGCGGCTCATTCAACGAGAGCCAGAGTCGGTGAAGGACCAGGCGGAAATGCCCGTTCACCCACCTAGTTCCTGCCCCATTCATCACTGTCACCTCTCTAGAGGTAGCTTGTGAAGTAGCATAGCAGCAACCCGGTAAGGCTGGCCCACACTACATTCCACCTCCCCCTCTCCCACTGCGATGATGCCCGAACAACAAAATCTCTTATTAACCCTCAAAACCCCCCAAAAGGCCGTTCAGCTGGCTTGACCTACACAAGCATTCAGGGAACGAGCAGATTTATTTTGGCATCGCACACTGACTGACAATGCGATCCAGATGTGACACTGCAATTTTCTTCTTGAACAAGAACAAGAAGAAAAAGGGCAATTTTTTTTCTCTTTAAATGTGGTCTTGTACAGTTAGTTCTTAAAGCAGCACTGTTTATCCATTGAGAGACTGCGGAATGCACTGCTCCACAAAATACACAGTCAATTCACTTTACAGCATATCCTGTGAAGTGCTTTGAGATATCTCAACGATGTGATAAGGCGTTACATCAAATGCAAGGATTATTATTATTAAAACCACAGAGGCAGAATCAACCAGGATGTTTAAATGAGGAGATCGATGGAAGCTTAGGTTATAATAACAGTAATTCTTGCATCTGATATAGTCTTTCATTTTCAGAGGCCTTCACCGGATTTCTACCCCAAGGTGCAGTGGCTGTGTATTATGTAGGTGAATGAATGTCTCCCGCCCGACCTACCATCGGTGTCCGGGCTTTCAGCCTCTCTGCCACCACACTCTGGAACTCCAACCCACTGTCCCTTCACCTCGCTTCCTCCCTTGCATCCTTCAAGGCCGGTCTCAAGACCCTTCTCTTCGACCGTGCCTTTTGGTCTCCCTCCCACCTCTCTACCTTCCCTCACCCCTACACCACCCCTCCCCCATGCTCTGGCCCCGACATCTGACTGTTCAGCGCTTTGGGACGTCCTCACAACGTGAAAGGCGCTCTATAAATGTAATTTTGTTGTTGTTGAGGCAGTCAATTTACAAACAGTAAATTTCGCACAAACGGCCATGAATTGAATAACAAGAAAGATTGTTGGCCAGAAGACTGGAAGAAACTGCCTTCTCTTTACAACTTGAGGCATGGGAAACTTTGATGTCCACAGGTAGATCGGCTGAGGTTTAATATCTCATCCAAAGCATGGCACCTCTGATAATTCAGCTCCCCCCCAGCACTGCATTGGAGTAGCAACTGTGACTTTGTGAGTGCAAAGCCCCAACATGGGGCTCCAACCCACACCTTCTGACACAGAGATGGGAGTGTTATGAAGCCAACAGCCCGTCAAGCAGTAGTAAAGAGCATGTAGAAAAAGCATGTAGGAAATGTGAGAAAAAGATCTGCCACAATCTAACAAACTGAGAAAGCTCAGGAGCACTATTAGCACTGGCAAAGACTGGCCACTTTCCATGCTATACACGACGGCCATTGGAGGCCTATAAGATGTCCTCCTGATGTGAAAGACACTATATCAAATGCAAGGATTATTGCTATTACAATCCTCGTATCCATTGATCTCCTCAACATTTGCCCCACTCTATGGTTCTGGGTCAGGAGACTGGCAAACTGAGGTGTCCTTCCCGGTTGGAACAGTATTATCCTTGTGAAATTGGGGCTTCTGAATCCCTGCATGGTTTAATTTAATGTCAAAGGTTTAAGTAGAAATGAACACAACTCGACAACAACTCATTTGTAGAGCACCCTTCATGTGCGGCAGTGACTCAAAGCGCTTGTGTTAAAGGATGGGACGTCCTCCCGACGTGAAAGGCGCTATACAATGTAATCTTGTTGTTGTTGATGAAAGAGGTCAACTCAGTGAGGTCGGTGGGAGTTCTTGCCTGCTAGGAATCAAATCAACCCCCAGCCCCACAGCCACCTAGTACTGCGGCAACCACCTAGGCTGAATTTATGACCTTCCAAACAGAAATTTATGGAAACCAGGAACCCTCAGCCCCTGAAAGGTTAGAGCACGGGTTTACATTACAAACACTGTGAGGATTGGGCTGAACTTATCAGCGTGAGAGAGTGGTTAATGGGTAAAGACAGAAAGCAGAGCTCGTCTCTGTGATCAGATAGGAGCAGAGAGGCCACACTGTAGCCCAGCGGTCAGAGATAGAAAGAGGCATTGGAGCTGTAAACCTAACCGCAGGCTGGTTAACATCTGGCCCTGCAGCTGTGCCCGAGGTCTCTTGTTTGTATTCTCATAATCCTTTATCTTAACCCAGGACCATTGCAGGAACGTTTGCGAGGTTGTGGGAGTGGGTCTCCTGTGTGAAAAGCAGCTCTCCAGCTGGTACTTCTCCGATACATTCTCCAGGTCCTCGGTGGCTAGCGGGGACCCACAGACTCGTTGGGAGGTGAAGGAATCCAGCGGACACATGTGTGCGCGCACACACGGCTGTAAAATCTAAAGCCTTTCCTGTACTCGAGGTTTCTATGAAAAGAAAACGTTCAACCTGAAACCTGATCGCTGTGTGCTCCTCGAGCAATTATTAAGTTCTGGTGGACTGAAACCCCACAGGAAATGTATGGTTTCACTCCCGAGCCTTTCATTGTTTCGCGCCTCAGCTCTACCTCTGTCAAGTCTGAGGAGCAAAAGTAAACTTGGTTTGTTGTTGTGGTTCTGTTTGTCTTTCATTTAGAGATGCAATGTGGTATCAAAGCTGGAAACGTCTGCTTGACATCTAATCCTGAAACTGTGCCCAAGGTTTCTTGTTTACACTCTTCTACTCCCTTCCTCTCCTGAAGGTGCTCCATCATGCTGGGTTATGCACTCAGTGGTACCTTTCCCAAGTATATAATAATAATACTCCATGCATTTGATATAGCACGTTATCACGTCTTCGAGACTTTTCAAAGCGCTTCCCAGAATATAGTGTAAAATGAATTCACTGTATATTTGTGGGTGAAATGCGGCAGCCAATTGTGCACAGCAATGCATCTTAATGTTTGATCCCGCACACTGAACATATAATTATCAGCCCATTGGTTGCTCAGCTCCTGTTGATCACTTACCCAGTCCCGTCACTGTTACTCTGACCTGGGCCTGTATCTTCCAAACTGGTTCTCAGCCTCACAGACGTACGTGGCCTCATCATCCACCCAAAGATCTGAAGAGAAGAGTTGCGTTAGTTACGATTCACGATTGTGCCGCATTGAATAACAGTAAAATAAAAAAAAATTACATTTGATACAACACCTTTCGCTATGGGAAGATGTCTCAAAGTACTTCAGATTTTTTTTCCTTAAAGTGTAGTGATTGTGTGGGTTGTGGATGAACCTGGCAGCCAATTTGCACACAGCTGTGTCCCACAGACAACCATGAAAGTGAATTGGACATTCCAATTTTATCTTGGGCAATTGTTGGCCATTAGAAACATGCAGACAGGACCTCAGTTTAATGACTCATCCTAAAGACTGCACCTCCGACAATGCGGAGGAGGTTGCAGTGCAGTACTATGTTAGTAATAATAATAATTATATTCAAATTTTATGAGAGCCTTTCACATCAGGAGAACGTCTCAAAGTTGCTTCACATAAGGTTACATTGAAGCCTTGCTTCTGTTAAGCGGGTACAAGCGATAGTTAATAGTAACGTCGCACAACCAGTACCAAGTCAAAGCCTTTATTAATTTGGATGAAGGAGGAAAACAGCCAAGAGAACTGCTGTCTTTCTTTGAAATAGAGCCAAGGAATTTTTAATACTCATGTGAACAGGCAAAATATTACCTTGGTTTAAATTCTAACCTGTAGATCAGTGAGTCTTAACTATGTGGAGAAAACTTACATGACTTTGTAACTACCGCGGTGCCTGTGCTCCCTATTTTATAGGAACATGATATCACAGAACTCACTGTTAAAGAAGAGGCTTCCGGTTGTCAACTGAGTGACCAAGCTGACGGCTCGAGGCCTGGAGTAAATGGACAGTCCATCCAACCGTCGCCACCTGACCCGTGGCTCAGGGTAGCCCTGTGCCTGGCAGGGCAGAGTCAAATTGGAGCCAATGTCCACTGAAATATCCAGCGGAGACTGAAAGAATGTAGGGGCAGCTGTGGAAGGAGAGTGAAACCAGTTAAATATACTAACCGCCAATTCTACCGATTCTATGTATACCTCCATTCGGGTTTTATCTGTTGAAGAAATTATCCCCAATGCCAAACCACCACTGAACAGAATCTTGTGTAGATTTGCCAAATGAGATCGCAAACCAATTTCTGTAAAGTGCAGACATCTCAGTAATCTAGACAATGCATGATTCAGGTCACTTTCCCCATGGTCTGATTCCCCCTCCCCACCCCTCTTCACTTGAAGTTGATGGTGATCAGCATAAGTTCACTCATAACTGCAAACAAAGCCACCGCCATCAATAGTGCGTTTCACTGCAAGTTGCAAATTTGTTGTAGAAACTTACAACCGACTTCCAAAGTGACCTGCCCGGTGTCTCTTCCTGCCTCGTTGGTGGCCACACACATATAATCTCCTGCATCCAGGTCCTGGCTGCCCTGAATCCTCAAAGTGCCTTGACTGGTATCGATTCTTAAGAAATTAGAAGGTCTGAGCTCCAGGTCGCCTGAAATCACAAAGAACATTTAGTTTTAAAAAAAGTGAGAATAAGCATAACTGACATGAGTCAGATACAATTGCTCACAAGCCTCAAGACACCTCCCACCTCCCCCCAAAGAACAATGAACTGAGGTGATTGCCTCCTGCTGGTTAAATCGCGCAGGTGAGGCTAGGGTTGGAAGTCACAGAGGAGGTGGTAGTCCACTGGCCCAATCTTTCAGAGCGAGAGGCTGAATGCTAGAAATGGGGAAGAAAGGTTGGGGTTGTGGAACTCCACAAAGACAATTGCTTGCTTTAAGAGCTCCTTGATGCTACTCTGTGCTCCAGGTGAAAGGATGTCCCCAGTCACTCAGAGGTATTACTGGTTTAAAGCATATACATAATTATCAGCAGCTTATGAGACCAGAGTGATTTTTAGCTTTCCTCAACTCAACCAAAATGGAAAATGGCAGGAGTCAATGGTAATAGTAATCCTTGCATTTGCATTTTGATACAGTTAAAGACCTGAGAGGAATAGGAATTTCTGGCTCGCAAGGCATGAATCCTACTGCCTTTTTGCCGAGAGGGGCCCTCGAAATGATGTGGAATTTGCACAATCTACCTGCTGTCAGCAGCTATTTTCCACAGCTGTCTGAAGAAGCCTAGTGGTTCGACAAAAAGCACAAACTCAATTCTTTTTTTCTCAATTTCAGACTGATCGGAATGTCAGACTAGGAGCACCGGTGGGGCTGCTAACATCAATGCTGATGTCACACTCCACTCTTTGACTGGTCCGGAGGCAGTGTTAATAATGTGTTAATAATGCCAAAGTCCGCAAACATGTGCAACCTGCTCTGGTACTGGCAGAATTCAGGTTAGTTTCACCGGCAATTAAGCCTCATCTTAAACTAGTTCATTCATTCTTATAAGCAACAGGTTCATCGTCAAATTGCGTTCAACCTCCAAACATTTGCACTTAAATAAGGCAACAGGATCAACTGGCTAATGAATGTTTTTGTACGCAATGATGTCTAAATTATTCGAGGCGGAAGGAGTAAAAACCAACAAATCTGGGCATGTTGCAGCTCCCTTCCAGAACTCTGCTCCTCACTGATTTCACAGAAGTCGGAAATGAGATTAGCACCCAGAGTGGAGTTCAGCCTTAGAATCACAGAAACGTACAGGTCAGAAGGAGGCCCTTTGGCCCATCGAGTCCACACCCGCTCTCTCTCACCTTTGAACCACTTCACTTCGGGCGCTGGAACCCCAGTGGCTGGACATTCCAGCACCGAAGTGTCACCCAGACCAACGAGTATCTCCTTTCGGACCACGTTGACCTTTGGAACCTCTGAAGAAGGAAAAGAGGTAACAAATCACATCTCCAGTCCAGACTAATCCTTTATTACTCCCGAACAGAAGGGAGTTTCTCCCAGTGTCCTTGCGAACAAATTCCACAAACAAGATATTGTTTACTCGCTTCATAGCTCCATTTGCTATCCGCCCACAAAAATACAAGGACTGTCAGACTGACCTATGTAGGTGAGAACTGATGCCTGTCTATCAGTCCCTGCAGGGTTACTGCCCAGGCAGGTATAAACTCCAGCATCTTTCTGCGTAGCGTATCGGATAACCAGGTTGCCGCCTTCAATCAGAATATGCCTTTAAAACACAAAGTGCAATGTGATGTTTCAGATCAATGCCTTTTTTTAAAAAACAAGTTAAAAGTGTTGGAAAAATAATAATTTATCAGGGAACAGCAGCAACAAAGCGCTGGTGACTGCATCTGATAGATTGGAACATAGGAAAACAAGAATGAGCCAGACTGACTGGTCCATCATCAAGAGGATCTTGACTACAGGAGTATCGTAGTGGTTAGCGTGCTCGCCTCGCAAGCGAGAGGACCCAGGTTCGATTCCTGGGCACAAGTTTCCTTACTCCAAATGCCTCTGTTTCCCTAGCAGTAAGTAGGAACCCGACTGTTAGTTGATTGCCGACTCGCTTTCCAAGGATCATAATCCTCATGATTATGCTGCTGCATTTCACCCATTTTTCACGCACAAATCCACTGCATTTCATCCACAAAAATACACAGTCAATCCGCTTGATACTATATTCTGTGAAGCACTTTGACATGTCTCAACGATGTGATAATAATAATAATCCCTGCATTTGATATAGCGCCTTATCATGACTCGAAATATAAGGCACTATATCAAATGCAAAAATTATTATTATTATTAATAAAGGCAGCTGGAGATCGGAGGTAGCTCAGCAGCCACCTCTGGTAATGTTGCAGAAAGTGATGACATCTTGAAATAAGGCAAATGAAAACCACAGTTAAATGAGTGCATACCTGTTGGATCCCATTATGAACATATCGTTGTGTGTCCAGACGATATGTGGCTGGGGGTAGCCCGTAGCAGAGCAGCGGATTCGCACCTGCTTTCTCTCGGTGAACGTCTGTGTTTTAGGATGGACAGTGACTCTCGGGGGCTCTGATATGAAAAAGAATATTCATCGTTCATTCAGCGTAACATATGAAGCAACACGTCAACGCAGAGAGCCATTGAATAATAGGACTAAAGAACCTTTCATTTTTGTCTCGAAACCCACATCGTGAAAACATTTGAGAATTCTATATAACTTATGTATTTCTATCTTTGTAACACTTTGCCCAATTTCCACGGGCTCTCCCTACTTCTAACCAATCCTCAACGGCAACATGGTCACCCTAGCTTCCGCAAGCTATCATTAATAGCACTTTGCGGGAAGGCAACAAAGGCGAGACACCACTGACCTTATGTGACTCAAATATACCTCTCAGTCTATATACTCCACAATCCAGCTTAAAAGCAGTAAAAGGGTGCCAGCCTGGCTCAGTTGGTAGTGCTCTAGCCTAAGGCAGGAGGTTGTGGATTCTTTGAACTGCGTAGTCTAGGCTGACGCTTCAATGCAGTGCTACGGAGAGTACTGCAGAGAGGTGGCGTCCTTCGGGCAAGACGTTAAATCAAGGTCCCGTCCACTAGTTCAGGTAGATATTAAAAATAACAATCCCGCAAATAAAATTGGTCATTCACTTTGTGGCTGTCCACAAATTAGCTGCTGTGTGGTCACTCACAAATACACTGTAAAATCCTGCGAAGAACTTTAAGACATTCCGACGACATGAATAAGACACTACATCAATTGCAAGGATTATTATTAATTTCTACAGACTCAATTTCGCCAATATAATGTGTCCATTTCTGATGGAGAAATAGGAGGCGAATTTTGGGCTGCGACTGCACTATTAGACAGGGTTACGGAAAGCAATGAAAAAGCTTGTTAAAGAGATTATATGGATCGATTTACATGTTGTAAAGAATGGCAAGCGGGAATAAATGGTGTGGAAAACATTTCCAACTCATATGCTCAGGACGTCAGCTGAAAATACTGAACTGTTGGCATTTCTTCACATGTTATTTTTAGTTGTGGTCTACATTAAACTGGCCAAACAGAGATTTTATTTTCCCTGAGTTAAGCACTCCAAGATGCTACCCCACATGAAATGCAAGTTGTTTAAATACAATTTTTTTTGAAAGGGGGTTTGAAGGCCTTCTTCAAGGTGAGACTTTGGAGGAAGGTGAAGAGAGAGCGATTATTGGTGGCGGGGTAGGGGGTGGTGTGTGTGTCTAATTATTTCCGCAGAAGGAATCCAAGTAGAATTACCATTGACAGCCAATAAACGTGCTTTAGAAGTAGATCATGGCAGAATGGAGGGATATACTTCAAGTTATAGGAACATAGGAAGACAAGACAGTGACTGTATTTGTGGGCGAACACAGCAGCTAATTTGCTAAATACAAAGTGAATGACCAATTTTATTTGGTCTCGGATTCATTTTATATAATCACAAAATACTGCAAACTAGACCGAGCATTGTGTTCTTTTACTGTATTGGATGATATACCTGGCTCTGGACCAGAGAGCGTTTGATTTTCTGTCAATTGGTGTTACTACTGTGTTTCACACCCCCGCCCCCTCTCCTGAATGGCTTTCACTCAGTTTGCTTTTGTTTAATAGAAATCAAACCAGGCAAATCAGCCACAGAGGGTAAACGTGGACAATTTTCTCTAAATCGGAAATCTCTTCGCCCTAATGTACGATCAGTGGATAACTAGATATTTGGCTTATTACATAACTAATAATAAGCATTTAATAGAGTGCCTTCTGTCATTGAGAAATTGGAAAGCACTTCACAGAATGTATTGTAAAATGCAGTGATTGTGTATTTTGTATGCGAACACTGCAGCCAATTTACACACAGCAATGTTCCACAAGCAGCTGTGAAGTGAGCGACCAATTTTATTTGAAGGATTGTTGGCCAGGACACTGTAGAAAGTTTTTTTTGAATAGTGAATCTTGAACATCCACCTATTCCCTGGCAGACAGGACCTCGATTTAACGTTTCATTCAAAGTATGATAGTACATCGCTCCCCAAGCTCTGTATCATATTGCGAGACTGTGAGCTCCACAAAGTCTCAACATCCTGAAATAAAATCCTGAAATAATATTCCTTACATTTGACGTAGTGGCTTTGACATCAGACGGAAGCCTCAAAGTGCTTCACAGGATTTACTGCGCCTTGGGACATCCTCGTGATGTGAAAGGCACTATACAAATGTAATTTGTTGCTTGTTTTAAAAAAGTGGGGCGATGGTGCACTTTGTGGGTGAGTGGGTGAAATAACACACTGTATGGCTCTCATGCTGGATAGGTTAATGAAGAGCACTGTGAAAAATACTGCTCTCTGACATGTTCTCTTTAGAGGCACAAAATCCCCTCCCCGAGCCCCCACCCTCCCACCTTACCCTGCACCAGCTTAGGAAACAAACCAGACCAGGCTCATCGCTCCAGTCCTCGAGTGGTTGGCGGCTACGTTAACTACAGATATGAGTCATGTCAAGTCTACTTGAGGGTTAGACAGAGCAACATGAAAAGGGCCTCATGTCAGTTGTGTGGGTGGGATTATTTAGGCAGGAAGATGTGAAGAGAGATTGAAAGGAAACCTCACAGGGCAAAGTGATTTCTACCAACTCTCGCCACTTAGTTTTTTATGCTCCGAACCAAAAGTGGTAGAAACACAAAGGGGGAGGGTGTCAGAAATAGACGTTTCACTTGACTTTAAAACTCGCAGATTGTGCTGCGTTCGTGTTGAAGGCAAAATCTGGCTTCCCTTTCCAGCCTCATTAACATCACTGAATTCTAGTCCGTCATTGCTCCCCACTGCCCGTGAACTCAGACGCTCAGTACCTTTCTTCTACCTGTTAGTGATCTCACATCAAAGTGGGAATAATGACTGTGATCCAGCCGGCTGTGGGTAGCAATTAAATGTCCTGAGGGTATCCTGACAGCTGTTTATATGAACAAGAGCATTCACGTTTCCAGCACCCGAGATAAACCGCACACAACAAAGTGCGCAGCCATCAGGGGAGAAGTCTGCTCTGCATCTGGCAAAAAGACAATGATATCAACCCAGCACGTGGGATCCTCTTATTGTTCTGGTTACATCTCTCTACTCTGGGAGGGGGAAAAAAATGTGAAATGGAAACGGGCAGATTAAGTTTGAGTGTGAGGAGGCTGGCAGGGGGAGGGAAGGAAAGAGTCAACATTACACATTGGTGTGTCAGCCCAAAAAAGTAACACATCCTATACTGAGCTCAAGTACTGACTTGGGAGTTTGAACCTGTAACCTTTCGACCCTGATATTCATATGATATGTATTTGAGGGCTAAAATTCCACCTGGTCTTCGCTTGTAAGATCATTCATTTTCAAATAATAAAAAAACAATAATTTGACTGATAATTATGAAATCACACAGAACAAAAGTTAATTGGTCAACAATCTCCCAGATTTGTCATTCAATTGGTCACTCACTCCCCAAATTAGCTGCCATGTTCATTTATAAAATACACAATCACTATATTTACAATAACCCTGTGAAGGTCTTTGAGACTTTTCGTTTGTAATAAGGCACAATATCAAATGCAAGGATGATGATAATTATTATTAATAAATGATGGATTCTTAAATTGCGATTGCTAATTTCACAAAACGACTGAAGTCAAACAATATTGGTTCATTCTGTTCCGTATATCCTGTGAAGAGCTTTGAGATGTCATCGCAAGGTGGAACCCACTGTATTACAGCAATATAATAATGACCTTACAATTGCTTCAGCACCTTTTTCATAAATTCAACTAGCACAAGAAATCTAAGTGGTTTTGATAGGAAACTGAAAGAGACTCGGGTGAATGTACAACTTAAGCGATTATACGATTTATAAAGATAAGAGTTAAGCAAGTTTTACTGTATTACAGTGGGTAATTGTTACACCGTATAACAAAGTCAGCGAACTGTACTACTTACCTTGTACCACCAGATACACCGAGCCAAGCGTCGCTCCTCCTTCATTTGAAGCAATGCAGTTGTACTGCCCAGCATCAGTCGTCCGCACACTTCTGATCTCCAGAGACAAGTTGCTCATTACTTGAGCTCTAAGTCCTTCCGTCAGTCTGGGGTCAGCACCGTATCTCTGCCAGGTGAGGTTGTAGCGCACCGTGCTCAGGGTCAGACAGGTCAGCACGGCTCTCTCACCAGGAACCACCGTCACGTTGTTGGGCACCTGGATGGTGGGAGGAGGTTCTGCGGGGTTCAAGACCGAAACTAAAGATCAGATCACACCGAGGCCTGATACACGTATGGAGATTTCTAAACAGGATTCCTTTAATAGACGCCCTGCTTCCAGTAACTGGAAGTAAATCACTGTGTTATTGCAAGGGCAATGATAATTCATCGCTGGGGTAATATCCCATATTTGATCCATTCCAGATTTGAGTTAAATTAGACACTTAATATTTACACTCAACACCGTGTTATGGGACTAATTTCACTCCAGGGGGTAGCAATTCCACCTGGGTTGGTTCCAGACTTACACTATTTTCTTAGCATTTTCAGAGTGTCCAAAATTTGGCAAATCCATAAGTTATTTTGAAGCCTTTTTTTTTGCACATTTTTTTTCAAGATCAGCAAATGGCTTCAGAGTTAAGACCAAATTCAACCACTTGCCAAGCTCTGAAATGTTGGCATAAAGTAGAGCAAATCTAGACCCAGGTGGAATTTCTCCTGAGTTTTATTTACATTGTAGGTGATGAAACACAACATTACCTACAAAGTAATTGCCAAATGAGCATGTTTGCATTCCTTAACAGCATGGAGCACATTCCCACTGATATATATTTTTTGCTGATTTAATGCTCTAGTGTGCCATGCAGGAATGCGTTAGAGCAGCTCTCATGAAGGCTATTAATGTGATTTTTCACGCAAAAGGTGAGTGGCAATCTGGAACTCCCTCCCCCAAAAAGGCCATGGATGCTGGATCAATTGAAATTTTCAAGACAGAGGTTGATAGATTTTTGTTGGGTAAGGGTATCAAAAGAGATACGAAGCAAAGGTGGGTAAATGGAGTTGAGGTACGGATCAGCCATTATCTAATAGAATGGAAACAGGCTCAAGGGGCTGGATGGCCTCTTCGTTTCCTGTTCCTATGAGCTGCTGAGCCTTTTGTGCGGAGTTAGAACGAAAGTGCAAGAATCCAGTGTGAATCTGGCTTAAGAGGTACAATCCCTAAGCAATTCCCATGGGACCCCTGACAGCCAAAACCACATGGAGGACATTGATCTGCCTCAGGTTAATCCATCAGAATCCATCTCTTGAAAGGTCCGGGGAGGAGGGTGTGGGAAGGCGGCCGCCTCTAAAGGATCACTTTTAACATTCTTAAAGAGGGACTCTTTAATAACACTGATACATTTAGCAGCACTGGTTAGCAGAGCCCCAACTATGCACTTAGAACTTTCCTCAATCCTGGCCAATGTTAGCCTGGAGGGAAAAATATAAATCAGCCTCCCCCTGCTGCTCGCTCCCCTGGTGGAATGTGATACGAGATTTCCAGCAGTATACAATAGCCATTAGGCTTGGCGCAAGGAATGGGAGAGGCAATTTCTAAAGTGAGACCCTATTCTTAAGTGCTTTGAGACGTCTTCTTGATGGGAAATGTAACCTATATGAAAAGTAAACTATATTGTAAATTGTATTGTGTTGACACGGCGTGGGAGACTGAGCAAGGTGGAAGATGGGCCAGGTTGTCGTGGGGTGAGAGGGGGTGGTGAGAAGCAGGAGGAAGGTGACCAATTAAACAGTCAGAATTTGGGATTTTGAAAGAGGAATGTTTAGAGAGTTCCACAGAATGAGGGGCAAAGTGGATGGAAGTTTATCAGCCAACTGTGGGGCGGAGGACGTGTAAATTAGTCTAAATGAGCACACCGAGCGGAGCTGTACGTTAAGGAACTTGACGCTCGATGTTCTGTTCCCCACAGCAGAGTGTGGGTGAGACTGAGGAATGCCTATAGCCCCAGTAAAGCATTAAAAACTTTCAATTTCCATCAGCTCGAGGCTGAGCTGAATTTACAGCTCTGGAACCACTCTGCTTTGACACTGGAGCCCAGCAGACAATAGCATATACAGCAGGGATCCTGGGGCGTAGAACCATCTTGTAGAACTGAGAAATGTTGCTTTTGGCTCAGGCTGAGAGAGTCTGTGGGGCGAAGTTTAGAGGTGCATGGAAAAGCCAGAAGTTGAGCGCACTAAGAGCTCTATGGTTTTAGTAAGCTAAATAAAAGCTGATTTCAGGTAAGTTGGGCCAAAGCTCTGCAACTCCCAAATAGTATTTGCAGTTTATGTTTTAAATGTACCTCGCGTGCCTGCACCTCATCGCATTCCCCTGGGGAAACGGTACATAAATCCTATGACACAAGATGAAGCAACTAACTCGAGGCGACTTTTCGTAACACATTTGGCATCTGTGCCAACCAATCGCCTCTGTTTCGACAAAATGTGAAATCGGGAAGCAAATGAACAAATGAGCAGTTTTACCGCTGAGACCCTCGAAGGCCGGTCAGTGCCTTTTTAAAAAAAAATTAGGATGAGCAGAATCTTGGAAAGTTCTTGATTTGGCCGTTCTTGTTGAAAATTGGGGAAAACCGTCTTCCATAATAGAGATGCATCTCCCAAAATCATGCATGGACTCAAGTTTTAAGATGATGCTTATAAGGCTGAGGCCAAGTGGAATTTGGGTTCCTGGGAGTGCGGGAATAATCCTTACCCGACACGTCCAGGAAGGTTTGAGCACGGCCGGTGCCAGCACTGCTGATTGCGATACATTCGTAGTATCCTTCATTCACAGCAGAAACACGAGGTATATCCAACTTCGCGCTGGTAGATTCTCTGTGAGAAAGAAAGTGAAACGAGGAGGTAAGAGGAGGGAAATTAGAACAATCTCCATCAGTGTAAGGATTCTTCATATAAACTCTGGGGGTGTAAAGGTTCTGTATATAATCTCTGGACATATAATGATTCCTTGTCTAATCTCAAACAGTGTAATAGTTTGTATGTAATATCTGGGATGTTTTGGCATTGTATGTAATCTCTGTGGGGTGTAACTGTTTTGTATGAAATCTGGGGGTGTTAATAATAATCATTAATTGTTATCGTTGATGGTTTTTATTATTAATGGTCTGTATGTAATTTCTGGCAGTGTAATGGCTTTGTATGTAATCTAGGGGTGTAATGGTTTTGTATAATAATTAGTAGTAGTAATGGTTATTATTAATAATGGTTGTGCTTGTAACCTCTTCGATGTAATGGTTTTGGCTAACCTTAGGCAGTGTAATGGTAAGTAGAAATTGTAGCACATTCTATAGTGATCTCTGAGTATAATACATTCAGCTCTCTGCACTTTGTGTTGAAATGAGTTAGAATTCCTGTAGAGTACAGATTCTGTCTGCTCATTAAGTTACACTAAGTTATGGGTGGTCTACAATTAGGTCAAATATAATTAAAATGTTGATGCCAAGCAGGTGTCCCACTTCACAATCTCTGCTTAGTTTTGTTTAAAAAAAGGTCAATTTCAATTAAATTAAACCTATACTTGACTGAGTAAAGTTTTGCCTTTGTGTGTTCAGGAAGGTGGTAATTACTCTGAAATTGTCCTTTACAACCCTGAACACTGTCCCACTAGGCATCATGCTCCCTATTTAATCTGCAGTATCATTGCAGATCTCTCTCCGAAGGCCTTGCGTTTTCATAACCTATTTCACACGTTCCATTCCCCCGCCGAGTGTGTTTTTTGTAGAATTCAGATCATTTTGTCTCAGAATTTAAGATCGTGTGGGTAAAAAAAAAGTCTTAAATGTCTTAATTTGGAAAATCTGTTCTTTTTAAGAAGTGCGGAAACTCCGGCTTCCAAATTAAGACTGAATTTAAGAGTTTCCCACAAATCGTACATTCCAAGACAAGAGGAAGAAGAATTCCGGCCCTGAAACTCTTGGGTACAATAAGGTGAGAAACACTCTACGAGACTGTAAGCGTTCGTACGTACTTGAAAACCTGATCGGCTCCGAGCTTGGCGCCACCTCTGCTGAAACGCAATGTGAAGGGAATGAGACTGTTGACGGTGCATAGGAGGGAGGCCGTCTGCAGGTAGTAGCCAGGAGTCCGGGCTGGCATTATGACCTCCGGAGCTCCTAGAGAAAAATATTGTGTTTGAATTTTAGTTTCATTTGGAGGCAGACCTGGCTCAGTCGGTAGCACACTCAACCTCTGAGTCAGAAGGTTGTGGGTTCAAGCCCCACGTCGGGTCTTTGAATTCACACTATCTATACCGACATTCCAATGCCAGCGCAGAGCATTCTCTGCACTGTTAGAGGTGCCGTTCTTCAAATGAGGTATTAAATCTGGATCCCGTCTGCCTGTTCAGGTGGACTTTAAAATTTCTCTCCATGTCCTGGCCAACAATTCCCCCAGATAAAGTGGTCATTCACTTCATGGATGTTTTATGGGACATTACATTTCAGAATCACTGTGCTTTACAGTTAAGGAGCATGCTTGCGATGTCGTCTTAACATGAAAGGCGCTGGATCAAATGCAAGAATTATTATGAATATTGCAAGGACGGCTGGAAATTCATAATGCGCTCTCTTTACATCTCTGCATGTGTACTGCAGCCTTCAGTTCCCTTTTCTGGTAATAATAATCCTTGCATTTGTTATAGAGCCTTATCACATTGTTGAGACATCTCAAAGCACTTCACAGAATATACTTCAAAGTGAATTGAACTGTATATTTTGGTGGGCGAAACGCAGCAGCCAATTGCACACAGCAGTATCCGAAAAGCAATTGTGGATTGAGTGACTAATTTTTTTTAGGGGATTAAAGAAAAGCAATTCCGCCAATCGACTAATAACCAGGTTCCTACTTACTGCTAGGTGAACAGAGGCGTGTGGAGTAAGAAAACTTGCCTAAGGTTTTGCCTCGCCCGGGAATCGAACTCAGGTCCTCTCGCTTGCGAGGCGAGCGTGCTAACCACTGAACTACAGGGCTCCAATTCTAAGGTGGATGCACATCAGTCACTGTGGGGAGGGAATCATTCCACTCAGCTCCTGTTGACCCTGCAAGCCAAAGCCCTAACGGGAAGGGTGGTCCTAGCTGGACAGGCAGCAGGAAAGCTTGCTGAACAGCAATATCAATGGCAAGCTATGCGGTTTTAGCTGGTTAACCTCCAGGAGTACCCCAACAAACATTCTAGGGTCCCCAAGCCTTGGCTCTTGCCAACCTGAGCCTAATAATTTCTGGATTTAGGATGTCCCTCCAGGGAGAGCATGCGCATCCAACTCCACCAACTATCTCTGGAATTTCCATGCGTAGATGGGATGCATGGAATTCTCAGTTTGGTTTGGATATGAGTCTGAAATGCTGAACTCTGTCCAGCAGCTTGAGACGTCCTCCCGAAGTGAAAGACGCTATACAAATGTAATCTTGTTGTTGTTGTTGAATACTCTTAAGCATAGTGATGGGCTTCCACATGTGTCAGACACCCGACTGATCAAAAACACAAAAAGCACAAGTTTTTGGTCCAACTGATTATCAATGGCAGAGAAGTAAAAGTCCATCGCAGATTACCACAGCAAGCACCTCCACTTCGTACCTGGGACAATACTGGAGTAGGAGACACTAGAGACTCGCTGGAAGAGATAGCCTTCCTTATCGTAGCCGGTCACTTTCAGGAAGAAGGCTTCCTCAGGTGGAATGAAGTCGGACACGTTTAAGATACTGTACGGCTTGCGGTCAGGAAAGTACTTCACGGGAAAGGTCTTCAAAGCGCTGCCGGATATACTGAGAAGGTCCACCTGGTCCACTCGTGCGGGCGGGGTGAGCCCTGTGGTGTTCAGCAGCAGGTATGTGGGTATACCTGTGGGCACAGAGAACAGGACACGCCTGTCAGGCATAGAGTACAACAGCTAAGTGGAGGCAATGAGAACCGACTGGCCTATTAAAACAAGAGCCCTTTACTTCCTATAGGAAGCACACTGTCATGGCCCTGTCTGGAGAGTTATTACTGAGGATTTATAGTCCAAATAATCCATAACTGCCGTCAGGTACAAGAACATTCTAGACTCCCTGGATGGCTATTTTGTTTTTAATATACATATATATATAAAAACATTTTTAAGGTCACATACAAACATTAAGTTATAAAACTATTGAAATGCGGTGAGCAGCTTTATTATGAAACATTAACCCTAAAATATGGGCTTGTACGTCAAATAAAATATTTCCAAGAATTACTGCTCAGTCTTACAAGCGTCCTCCTGTCTGCCGTTCACTTTTCTTCTCTTGCAATTGTGATTTTAACCTTGACTTTATTTCTGAGAAACACCTTGTAAGATGTTGCCCCAGTAATACCAGTAAGCTTAAAAGGCTTCTTCCTTGGTGTCCCTCTGAGTAAATTCTTGGCGTCTGTCCTGAAATTGCCCTTTCTCACCATGTCCTCTTGTCCTGCTCCCTTGGCCTCTGGTGGCTCAAAGGAGATAACTCACTGTTGGTGGAGTACGGGGATGAGCAGCTGTAACACACTGACCTTGAACGGGCCTGTTGGCGATATTCTTAAAGTCCATCGTTGGCTTTCTGGAAAATCCACCTCGGAAATCAATACTGCTGAGGCCTGTGATTCGAACTGAATGTCTTCCACCACTTGAGGTCTGAAAATACAACCTCATTGAAATGACTTGAGGACCACCATCATGTGCAAACACATAAATAATTATAATTCTTGTCGAGCCTTACCACATTGTCGAAGCATTTTATTGTTGAAGTGTTTCTCAGGGTTTACTAGAGTGAGGTAATGGTGTTTTTCTTTGTAGGCAACATTTCAACTTGGCTCAGTGCATAGCATTCTCCCCTTTGGTCATGGATTTAAGCCCCACATGGTCTCTCGGGTTCAAATCCCACAGCCCAGGGCTCAGGATAGTCCGACTCCAGGCCTCAGCACTGTGACATTTTCATTTTCTCAAATAGCAGAACATATTTCCGCATTTTGAGAAAATAGCTAACGCTGGGAGGCAACTGACCAATGGTGTTGTATCTGAAATAAAAGCCTGGGCTTCATTGGGAAGGTCTAATTTAACATTCAGCCTGAACACAGGCCTCCAGGCTTCTGATGTCAGTTCCAGTTTTAGGAATGCTGTAAAACCTGTGCTCTTAAAAGACATTAGTTTCCACACAGACAGCAGCATAAAACCACAGGGCTTCCGCTTCCTAAATTGTTCCAATGGATCCAACATCTAATTTTACTGTAACTTCTCCTCCCTCCCCCCCGCAAAATCATCTAACAAGCTCTCTGCAAATCTCTCTGTGGGGATGTGGATGTCTTTACTGGCCGGGGGTGGGGTGGTAGCACGAAGGGCCATGGATGCCAAATTGATTGGGAATGTTTATAATGAGGATAGATGGTTAGGAAGTAAGGGTGTCAGGGGATACGGAGAAGCAGCTGAATGGAATTAAAACATTTGCTGTGATCTAATAAAATGGCAGATTGTGCTCAACATGCAGAATGACGTTTAGCTGCCTGGGTCAGTCGCTAGTAATCTCGCCTCTGAGTCAGAAGGATGCAGGATCAAACTCCACATCGAGACTTTGAACTCACAGTCCAGGTTGACACTCGAGTACAGTGCTGGAGGAGGTGTATTGGATTATCAGAGGTGCCGTCCTTCAAATGAGACATTCATTAAACCAACGTCTCATCTGCCTATTCAGATGGATGTTAAAGATCCCATGGCACTATTCAATAAAGAGAAAGGTGTTTCTTCTGGGGTCCTGGCCATTAATCTCTTAAATAAAATTGAGCATTAATTTGATGGACATTGCCGTGCACAAATTGGATAATATGCTTGCCTACAAAAGTCACGGTCACAACGCTTTACAGCATATCCTATAAGCTCATTGAGTCATCCTCCCAACATGAAAGGCACTACATCAAATGCAAGTATTATTGTTCCATGTTCCCAACCTCTTTGACCTGGTTGAAGATCAGTTTGTTCAAATAGTCCAGTCATTTTCATTTGCTCTTCCTATCCCTCATCTGAGACAACCCCCGTGACTTTCCCCCCACCCGGCAAGAGAGGGTTGCACGTGTCTCACAAAGGCCTGGCGCTGGCCCAGCTCATTGCGCTTAAGCCACCTAATAATGGAATAATTATTCCTCCAGTTTTGTGAGGTGAGCTCATATGGTGCACTTTTTTTTAAAGGTTTTAAAGCTAAAAGAATGGAACACGTCAGCTTCGAGCTATGGTAATCGCAGAGAGACTCGAGGGATTAGCTCCATTCATATCAGATGTCTGGTAGCACTCTTGCCTCTGAGTCAGGAGCTTGTAGGTTTGAGCCCCCAAGTCGGGACATGAGCTCATAGTCTATACAGGAGCACTTCAGTGCAGTATTGAAAAGCATTGCATTGTTAGAGGTTCTGTCCTTTGGATGAGATGTTTAACCGAGGTCCCTTATACCTGCTCTTCAGATGGACATTTAAAGGACTCATGACACTGGTGTAATTTAAAAAGAGAAGGGAGATTCTTCCAGTGTCTTGGCCAACAATCCTACAGACACATTGCTCATTCACTTCATGGATGTTTGAGGAATAAATAATAATAATCCTTGTATTTGATATAGCACCTTATCATGTCTTCGAGATATCTCAACGCGCTTCACAGAATGTACTGTAAAGTGAATTGACTGTATTTTGTGGGTGAAATGCAGTAGACAATTACGCACAGCTGGGTCCCACAATGAGTCGTGCAATGAGTGACCAAATTATTATTCAGATTTTTTTTTGAAGGAATTATTACCCCCAGAAAAGGGCCAATTCAAGACAGGGTGAGCACAGGACCTGATCATGTGCAAGGAATTTGTTCAGGGCCTCCTGGAATTGCACAGTCATCTCACTGTGGCTCAGAACATTCACTCCATTTGTAATCAACTCTCATTCCGTCTCCTTCTTTGAGATATTTCTTTTTCGTAGAAGGAGCTTCACAAAATGTGAGTTGAACATTCCAAAGATAATAGTAGTCATAATCCTTACATTAGATACAGGGCCTTATCACGGCATTGAGATGTCTCAAACCGCTTCACAGAATATCCTGTTGAGTGGATTGACTGTATATTTTTATGAGTGAAATGCGACAGCCATTTGCGCACAGCATTGTCCCACGAAAAACAGTCGTGGATTGAGTGACCACATTTTTTTTCAGGTATTATTACCCCCAGAAAACGATCCGCCAATTAACTAACAACTGTGTTTCTACACACTGCTAGGTAAACAGAGGCACGTGTAACCAGAGTAAGGAAACTTGCCTAAAGTTTCGCATGGCCCGGGAATCAAATCCTCTCGATTATTACATTTTGAAGATAAGATGCTGAATGAACAACTCAGCGTGCAATTTGTTGCAAATTTACTTTTATCTGCCGTTTAGAGATACTGATCCGAGCAATTCTTGGCAAATGAGCTTTGTGTTTATCAGGACTGAGCCGTACTTGCTTGGCTCCAGCTCAGAGTCGCTCTGCCCACCACAGTCCCATTAAACCCCTAGGTTCTCTTTGATTTCTCTCGGGAAGCTGTTTCTGTTTAGATGTCTTTACCTACAAGAACGTGCTCGGAAACGTAAGCAGGGACACAACAAATGATTTAATTATAGGTGAATTCCAAGGACAAGGCTTAGGGGCTTTATGAAATTAAACCAAAATCAAAAGCAGCTGTTGAGAGCACAGCGTTACACTTTGATTAACCTTGGCAAAAAAGAACAATTAACTGGATGGAGTTACATTTTAATCTGTTGCCAGATTTCTGTTCGAAGAGACTAAATTTTGTCAATGTCTGAAAAATATTCCCAACATAAGTTTTGCAGTACGACTTATTTTAAATATGGTTCATAATTGGATCCAACAGTGAGGAAAGCCAGAGATAAGAACAGTTGTCTAAACTGTCTGAACCTTTGTTCAAAATGGCTTTTTAATGAAAAAATTACACAATTAAAGGCCCTGCGGATAGGTATTTGAGAATGAATTTGAATGCTAGGGACCATTGTCAGTAAAACAACCATTTGCATTTATATAGCGCCCTTCACAGCGTCTCATAGCACTTAACAGGGATGGAAAGATTGGCTGTTCGTATCTAAAGCGCCAGCTTTTCCTTCAACATTCGCTCTGTCCGGCACAACCAGTTGTTCTGACTCTGAGTCAGGTCTTTCCCGATCTGGAGTCGGCAAGACCATCCATTTGACCACACTAGTTATAGTTACCTCCCGGGATGAGCCGTACCTTCTGAATAGAGTGTTAATAGCGCAAAGGCAGTGTTGTCTGTTACGTGCAATTGTGCTTGCCACCATCAGAGGCAATGTCTTCAGATCCTACTCCCTAACCTATGGAACGCCCTATGTCTTAGCCCCCCCACCCACCCCACTTTCTGTCCTTGAGCTCACTGTAAAACCTATTCACTTACAAATTTGGCCCACAAAATATACAGTCTATTCAGTTTACAGTATATTCTGTGAAGTGCTTTAAGTTGTCTCGAAGACGTGATATCAAATGCAAAGATTATTATTAAAAATACAGTCACTTCATTTTACAGTGAATCCTGTAAATTTCTTTGAAACATACTTCTGACATGAAAGACGCTATATCAGATGTAAGTATTATCATTATCTGTTTGACCACATCTCTCCCTTCTCTCTTGCTCGGCATCTGACCCCATCCTTGTAAAGAGCTCTGAGACATTACCCTTCGTGGAGAGCATTATATAAATGCAGGCTGTTGTTGAAAACCCATTTCTCCCGCAGCCTCTTTGAATGAGGGAGGTACTGTATTTGTACTCTTAGTTCTCCTGCCCATTGTTGACTGCCGTCAGTGGATACGAAACAATAGTCAATGGTCTTACTCCAGTTCCTATTGGACTTTCCCAGCAGAGGGGGCACCAGTTATAGGCTCTCTTCCGAGAGAGCAGAGTCAGGCCTCTCTCGCTGCCAACCTGGCAAATACCTCGGAGCAAAGCAGAGTCAAAATTACACTAACTACATGCTTCTCAGCAGAAGGATGTTAGTGTATCTTCCCATTAACACTGCCTTCCTGTCAGCAGTCTTTTTATCTCTCCATAGCCCTAATGAGTATAATTGCCTGTGTCTTGTCATTAACTGGTATCCAAGTGCAATTAGTTACAAACTCCAGGGGCTGGGGGTGGTGAGGGGCGAGGGGGTGCATGGGGGGGCAAGAGGAAAAACTTTTGTTATTGAGTGATAAAGAAGAATGAAGAGCTTCATAAAGGGAAGCAGATAAAGAGGTGCTGACCACCCAGGCAAGCACGTCCCAGACATCGCATTTTAAGTTGGTTTGAGCTATGGACCACCTCTCTGTTGGTTTTACCTATAGACAGCATCCTCTCTGTTGGCAATCTCGCTGCCACTGATGGTATAACCATCAGGAGATAGGGCACATATCAGTGTACACTTTCTGTTGTAAACTTTCATGGATCCGAATTAATAATAATGCTTACATTTGATAGGCGCCTTATCACATCATCGAGCCACCCCAAACGTTTCATAGGATATACTGGTTGCCGCATTTCACTCCACAAAATACAGTTAATCCACTGAAATGTGAAGCACTTTGAGACGTCTCGATGAAGTATAGGGTGATATATCAAATGTAAATATTATTATTATAATACAGCTTTGTAAAATGATGTGAATGAGTATATTTTGCGACAGTCAATTTGCATTCAGAAGTGTCCCACAAACAGAATTCTCTTCAGTAAAAGGTGATCAGTGCTCAAGGTGAGAACATCAAGTCAGATGTTTTACCAGCACGATTATCCGTTTGCAGCACAGAAATTCCTGAGGACACTGGGCTATTAAATGAAGCTATTCCTCAGTAACAGAGGAGACGAGGACTCTAGCAACAACAGAGCCATCTGCGCTTTTAATAGCAAAGACTTACCTTGATGGTCCACCTCCCAGGCTCTGGATCCTTGATGTTAACCACCCTAGCAGAGTTTGCAATGTGTAAGAGCTCGACCAGGCCAGAGCCCTTCTTGATCAGCTTCCCTGCAGATGAGAAAACACAAAGCTCTGATCAATGAAAACCCAACACAGGTCAAATTGTCACTGCAGCGAATCTAAGGACACAATCAGTAAAGCCATGTCTTTAGTTGTTGTTTTTAGTGACCACTGCTATTTTTCTTTCTGCCCTTGGACTGAGCATAAAATATTTAGTGGCTGCCATGATGGAGGACCCAGGGCCACGCTTATCACACTTCCCACTCAGCTCCTTTTAACCCTTAACTTAACTTTTAACAAAGTCCAACAGACAGGGTGGTTCTAGCTTTCCAGACAATGCTCTCAATGGCAAGCTATGCTGTCTTAGTTATTTAGGCTCCAGCAGTATCCTAACGCATACTCCGGGGGTCCCCAAGCCTTGGCTCTCACCAACCTGCGCTTAGTCAAGCTCCACAACTGTTCAACACCAGCACCGAAGCATCACCCCGCCCTGAGTGTGCTGCATAATTAGGAAAGTAGGGTGTGACCCTCCAGGGAGACAGTGCACATACCATTTCAGACCTAGACATTTTCATGTGTAGTTGGCTTAGATATGTGGCACTCTCAGTCTGATTTGAATATTCTTAAGCATGGTAATGGTTCCCGTGGGTGTCAGACACTGGCTGATCAAAATAAAGATCACACTCATGGTATCAGCGCAGGATGTTTGCAAACCTGGCAAAGTATCACTTTGTACAAGTCATGGGGGTTCATTAATACTACTATGTAAATTAAAAAACTTACAGCCAGAGCTAAAGCTGTTGGTCAAAGTACTGATACAAGAAGATAGGCATATCCTTTGTCACTGGAAACTAGTGATTGTTTTCAGCTTAGAAAATAAAGGTTTGTTGTTACTGATGACAGTTGAGATCTACAATTTACTCTAGAATTATGGCTTGCAAAAGCCTTTCGCATGTTGGTGCAGCTCCCTAAAAGAACATCAAACCCTTGTCAAACGTTCAGTGCCTTGCATTGAGTGTGAGACCCTGTACCTACCACAGTGGGTTACATCTATGTGCTATTTGGAGCTATTCACTCCCTGACCTTTAACTGTGACCTTTGTAATGCACGGTTGTCGCTTTGCGTTCAAAGGTGCATTTTAATCAGTGTCACAGCTTGGAATTTGTTGAGTGCCAATGCAAAACCATTAGCAAATTGATCGCTTTAATTATCAGGGAAATAACTCCAATTGTTTTCATTGTAAAAAGTCCTACTGGAACCCAGAAAGCTGGAGGTTCCCATAGAACCAGATACATTGTTATTCATCAATGACTTTGCCCAATTCGCTTCATCTGTCAAATCCGGGCTCAGTCATGTGTGTGTGTGTGTGTGTGTGTGTGTGTGGAGAGAGAGAGAGAGAGTTCTGAGTCTAAATCTACAATCCAGTTTAAACAACCTGTTTATTTTACAAACAATTATAGTGGCATTAGTGAAACACATGCCGGCTAGTGAAAAAATTAAAACCATAGCTCTCCTCAGGGAACAAGCAGATCATCTGAACTCTGTGATTACGATCCAGAGATTTCCGTGTGGAAGTCAATTTCTGGTACTGGTTATATTTCCAATGAAAAGTACTGCTTTAGTTGACTATTGATTTTTATTCCTTTGTTGCGCTGCAGTTTAGTATGTGATGCTCAGCAAAATACAGGTTACCCCCTGGATGGGGAGTGTTGTCCACAACACAAAATTAATGCCTTGAGATGCTGACAAAGGGGTTGCTAATGATTTTTAAATCTATTGGCCATCACCACTTTATATCATTAACCTTTCTTGCTTCCCTTCAAGTCTCTGTAATGATGGGAGAATCCTACCTGTGGGATCCCGGAGCTCAATGAAAGGGGCCGGACCGCTGAGAGACACTGTGACCTCTTTCAGGCTGGGATCAAAGGGGATTTGCCAGGTGTTTTTGGCTCGGGTCAGGTGGTCTGTGGAGAGCAGGTGGACTTTGGATGCCTGGACAGCCTCTTTCACCCATTTCAAAACCTGCAAATGAAAAGAGGAACAAGATTAAGAACAACAATCCCCTGTAGAGAAAGTGGCAATGTGGGATTTACTGGGGAAAAAACATCCAGTGAATTTCAACATAAACTCTTTTTTTAAAAAAATCCAGTAGCCTTTCTCTTTCAGTTGTGCTCCTTGTTTATTAGCTAGCTGGATTGTCACTGCAATTTGATAGTTTTTTTTTAAAACATCTTCTTTTCACTGCATTAAGCACTGACTATTTCATTATCACAGATCAACACTAGCCAGTCTCACCCCTCAGATTCTTAGCCTGCAAAGCTCAACTCATGGCGAGCTAGTTACTGGCTGAACAAGCCAAGAAGGCAGAACAATGCAAAAAAATCTATCTTTTCTTATGTATTGTAGGTTTTGAAAATGTACAAGGCAAAGAGCAATCCAATTAATATCATGTGTAACTACCATCTAATATGTTCCCTCAAATTCTACTTCTGATTCCCTCCAGTAATAGCCAGCCCAGCTGAGTTTCAAGGAAAAGAATGACATTGGCTCTGTACCAGCAACGGTCTTCCACAGAGGAGAGGTAGCAGAGGAATTCCATTAGTGGACTGGCATTTAAACTGGTTATTAAATGCTCAAGATTGCAGTTCTCTGTTTGACATCAAAAAGCAGATAGGCTTATCCAGCATCTACTTTGTGGAGTCCTGTAGCACAGTGGTTAGAGCACTCGCTTTGCAAGCGAGAGACCTGAGTTCAATTCCAGACAGGGCGAAACCTTGGGCAAGTTTCCTTACTCCACACGCCTAATAATAATCCTCCAAAACCAAAAACAATAATAAATTGGTCATTTTCAATCAACGACTGTTTGTGGGACATTGCTGTGCGCAATTGGCTGCCGCGTTTGCCCACAAATATACAGTCAATTCACTTTACAGTGTGTTCTGTGAAGCGCTTTGGGACGTCCTCCCGACGTGAAAAGCGCTATATCAAATGCAAGGATTATTATTATTATTACTCAATCTACTGCAGTGTTTCATTGGTACATCTGAACAAGAATCATTTTAAATAGAGAGCTTTGGGATAGCACCTTGTGTGATAGACATGAGTTTCCAAAGACTACTGTTTAATTGCAGGAATTAGTCAGTATCCAACACAATGGGGAAGCCTCTTCCCTCCCCGATAAATGTGAATTTATTGGGGAGGGATCTACTTTGGCAAAAGACAACATTAAATAACATTCGACAGTGGCTTTCAAAAGGGAATTGGATAGGTACTTGAAAAGGAAAAATTTGCAGGGCTAGGGGTAAGACCGGTGGAGTGGGACCAGCTGGGTAGCTCTTTCAAAGAGCCGGCACATTAATATTCTATGATTCTAACATAAATAGGGGCAGATTATTAAGTATCAATTGTTTGTGCCATATGCCCAGAACAATTTCTTCCACTGTCTCCCTAAAAGCTCTGAACAACTGCCCTAAACACCAGAAACTGGTCCCAGGCCATTTCTTATATCCTTTTGGTGTGGTGCACCAGACCAACATGCAGTGGATATTTGATGCAATTGCAATCCATGGACACTGATGGGCTAACTCAGACCCACTTTCCCAGCAGAGGGGGATGTGTATTTTGTGGGTGAATATAGGAGTCAATATTGCACACAACAGCATCTTACAAACAGCTATGAATTAAATGATCAATTTTATCTGATGTATTGTTAGCCAGGACATCGGGAGAAATTCCACCTGAACAGGTAGACAAGATCTTGTTTAAAACGTCTCATCTGTAGAATGGCACTTCCAGTAATGCAGCACTCCCCAAGCACTGCACTGGAGTGTCAGCCTACACTACGCAAGTTCAAAGTCCTGACGCGGGGCTTAAACCCACATCATTCTGACTCAGAGTTGAAGGTGCGATCAACTGAGCCAGGCTGACACACAATAAAAGGAGGACAATGCAGTACTAAAGTCCTAATGTAGGGCTTAAGCCACGACCTTCTATCTCAGAGGCAGGAGTGTTAACAACTGAGCCAAACTGAGCTGAGTTTAACTTCTTTTTTTCAAACTGAAATTTCCCAGCAGCGTCCCGGTTCAAGTGCCAGAACTGAGCATCTGTTTTTAATCATCATCGAAATATCCCCAACCCCAAAAATGCACCATCGTTTACACCGATTCCCAAATGGGCTGGATGGAGTTTTGCTACATTTACTCCATTCTTTTGTAATTTCTTCTGCCATCTCCCAAAGAGTTCTGAACAACTGCCCATAACCACTAGAAACTGGTCTCAGGCCATTTCTTACATTTCTTTTATGTGGTCAACCAGACCAACAGACAGTGGATCTGCGACTGAATCGCAACCAATACACAATCCTTGTGCTTGGATACTAATGGGCTGACTGGGACTTGTTAGGTCTTTCTTTGCTTCCAGAAATTCAGATCAAACCAAGTGGAACAAAAGGGACTATTTATTTGAAGGAGAACCAGTGCCACTTTAAAATGAATCCATATAGCTATCATTTTCCCACATTACTGATTCAGAATGCAGCCAGAGGTAAACATTGACAGCACCAGGTCAAGTGGTGGGTCACTACTGTGCGCAAACTGGCTTTCCGCCCACAAAATACAGTCAATACACTTTACGGTATAACCTGTGGAGCACTTGGAGACATCTCGATGACATGTTAAGGCATTATATCGAATGCAAGGATTATTATTATTATTGTGAGAAAGTGACATGTATCACATCAATGCAATTAGTAGAGTTTACATTTACAGAGCAGCTTTCAGATGGGAGGACGTCTTAAAGAGCTTACATCACCAATTGTGGCAGTGCTCTTTTAAAGGCCACAATAAGATATGCGGGAGTTGTATATAGCAAGATACTCAATGGATATGGAGGGATGGTGGGCAGGCAGAAAGCAGGGAACAGAAATCAGTGGCTTGCCACTACAAAGCCATTGTGACGTAAATTACAAGTTAAAAACAAATGCTGTATTTTAGTAGTCAACTGATATCAAGGGATTAAAGACCAAAGATCAACAAGGATGATATTGTTTCTGTCTATTACATGATATAAATGTGTAAAATGAACTATATGAACCAGCCAAGCCCTGCAATTATGTGCTACAATTGGCTAACATTTTACTGAAGGAGCCGTTTAGTTTGGGCTTTCATTCAGCTTCCCAGATGAGTTTTGAATGAGCCCCACACCTCTCCACTACAGAATAGAGATAAACATGGGTTTGCCTCTTCTCTTCCTGTTTTATCATGAACTCAAAAGCAGAGGATGCTGTGCCCTGTGCAATTACTGGTCACCGGTGGTCGTCCTCTCTTTGAAGTCCTTGGCTTTTTGGCACTATTCAGAACAGATCAGTTTGAAGTCCAGAAATCTACCACTCAGCATAGAAACTAGCCATTCAGACTCTGTAATTGGCTGGTCCAGTTTAAGCAATATACCCCCAAATCCAGTTCACCCTCAAGGCAAGTCAATGAAGGTTTGGATATACAATGCATACAATTTACATTTAATTTACATTGATATAATTCCTTTCACATCAGGAAGCCATCTTAATAAATTCTAGAATCCTTAATAAAGTCGAGAATCCTTAATTAGGGATGTCGTAGTGGGGTGCTTCGATGACCATAACATGATTAGGCAGAGTCAACATGGCTTTACAAAAAAGGAAGTCATGCTTAACAAATCTTTTAGAATTCTTTGAGGATGTCACTAGCAGGTTAGATAAGGGGGAACCAGTAAATGTAGTGTATTTAGATTTTTAGAAGGCATTCAACAAGGTGCCACATAAAAGGCTGCTACACAAGATTGGGGCCCATGGAATTAAAGACAATATATTAGCATGGATCAAAGAGTGGCTAACAGGAAGAAAACAGAGAGTAGGGATAAACGGGTCCTTCTCAGATTGGCAAGATGCGCTTAGTGGAGTGGCAAGGATCAGTGATTGGGCCTCAATTATTTACGGTCTATATCAATGATTTAGATGAGGAAATAGAACTTAAAATATCTACATTCGGGGATGATACTAAGCTAGGTGGGAGAGTAAGCTCTGAGGATAACAAAAAGATTGCAAAGAGATATAGATAGGGTAGGTGAGTGGGCAAGAAGGTGGCAGATGGAATTTAATGTGGGTAAGTGTGAAGTTATTCACCTAGGTAGTAAAAACAGAAAAACAGATTACTTTCTAGAGGGGGAGAGATTAGATAGTGTTAGTGTTCAGAAGGATTTGGGTGTCCTTGTACACCAGTCACAAAAAGTTAATATGCAGGTACAGCAAGCAACTAGGAAGGCTCAAGGCATTTTGGCGTTTATTGCAAAAGGGTTAGAATACAAGAGTAGGGAAGACTCGATGCAACTGAATAGGGCCTTGGTGAGACCATACCTGGAATATTGTGTGTAGTTTTGGTCTCCTTATTTATAAAACGACATACTTGTCTTAAAGGGGATGCAGAGTAGATTCACTATGTTAGTTTCTGGGATGAGGGGGTTGACCTATGAGGTTAGGTTGAGTCAACTAGACCTATATTCTCTAGAATATAGAAGAATTAGGGGTGATCTTATAGAAACATATAAGATTTTTATGGGGCTTGACAAGAGTAGACACTGTGAGACTGTTTCCCCTGGTAGGAGAATCTATAACTAGTGGTCACAGTCTTAAGATTAAGGGTCAGCCTTTTCAAACAGACTTGAGGAAACAATTCTTCACTCAGAGGGTAGTAAATTTATGGAATTCTCTACCCCAGAAGGCTCAGTCCTTGAACATATTCAAGACTGAGATTGATAAATTTCTAAAGGATAGAAGGATTAAGGGATATGGGGAAAGTCAGATATGGGGCAGATGGAGTTAGGTTAGAAGATCAGCCTTGATCTTATTGAATGGCAGGGCAGGCTCGAGGGGCCAAATGGCCTACTCCTGCTCCTAATTCCTATGTTCCGATGTTAATGCACTTGACACTGCTGGCTAGGCCATCCAAGGTGAATATGGAGCCGAAGGGGTGGGGAGGTGGAAAGATAAC